CAGAATTGTGAAGTTGGAAGGGACCCTGAGGATCATCGGGTTCAAGCCCCTGCAATTCAGGGTTCGGCCAAAAGATCAGCCACTTCCGACTCCTCCTCTCAATATTGTCACCCCTGCAGTAAGAATTATGCCATGCAGAACTGGCGCCAGCACTTTTGCTCTTTCCATTCCTCCTCCCTCTCAGTACCTTTTTCCTTTAGTGATGTGTCTTCTTTTTTTAGAGAGAGAGCACCAGCTTTCCCACTGATATTTGCAAGCTTGCCTATGAGGCTTTTTCGACCTGAAAAATGCTTCTAAGCTGAGAAATAAGCATCACCAAGCCCTGAGGTTTGGTGGAAGGTGAGGAGGCAGCGAGGGGGTGGGGAAAGCCTCTGCAGCAAATTTCTGGCAGGCTTGTAGAGCAAGACAAGAAGGCCGATGCTAAGCAGGCAAAATGAGGTCGGAAGGTGGGGGGTAGAGAAGAGATTTACTGCCTGGCCCAGGATCAGCAGCGGAAGCCAAGAGGAGTCGGAGCCAAGATCTTGAAAGGGCTTGGATTTGCCAGCTGCACCAGGGCCTCGTGGGTGGGGGATTCCTCACCAGTGGAGGCCCTGGTCTTACACCAAACCTTTGGGGGGGGGTGGCCAGGTTGCTTGGAGGAGGACAGACAGACGGCTTTGGCTTCGCCTCCTGCCTGGCCCTCCCTTGTTCAGGCGCTCCTTGTTCGGACTGTGACCTTGGGGCGGCTCTGGACCCCCCCACCACCACCTTGGTGTGACTGCTGGCAAACACCCCCCTCAGCCCAGTCCCTCGGTTTCCCCATGAGAACAGGCAGTGCCAGATTTCGGGCAGTGCAGGCAGTTCCCCCCCACGGGGTGAGGAGCTGAGGGGATGCCAAACCAAGACGCTCCATGATTGAGAAGGTCCATTTGGTGAGCCTGCCGTGGGGGAGGCGCTGGGAGGGGAACCCCCCAAAAGGAAGAAGGCTCAGAGCCTGGGGATTGGAGGTGGAACACCAAGGAGAGGTCAGAGGGAGAAGAATGGGAGGAGGGGTTGGATCCTGAGGGGGCAACAGGGTTTTGTGAGCAGGAGGAGTCTGTGACAGGGAGCAGTTCAGACTCCCGGCTGAAGCAGAGGAGGGGAGTCAAGAACCAGGAGTCTCCCTCTCTGACTGCAGCAAGCTCTCTCCAAGAACACGCAGAATAACACGGAAGGCAAAACAGAGGCCAGTGGTGTGCAGACACAGTTTGAGACTGCTTGGGAAACATCTGGGAGAGGAGAAGCCTTAAGGTGCAAGGCAGGGACTTGCAGTCCTGGCAACGGCTCCATAGGGACAAGACCACTGGGGAAGGGTTGCTAAGTTGTATGCCATTTCCTTGAATAAAGAGTTAACTTCACCGTGAGTGGAGATGACTGGTGTGTGTGTGTTATTGGGTTGTTGTTTTTATTTTGATTATATATTTTATGGTTTTCTATTTTTATTTTGTTCTGTGAACCACCCTGAGACCTCCGGGTATAGGGCAGTATATATATTCAAATAATAATAATAATAATTTATTTCCTTTATTGGTGACCTGCGTCTGACAAAAAATGTTGGCCTCGCTCAGGGAGCCATACAGGGCTACATCGGGTTATAAACACTTCGGGTTACAGACTCCGCTAACCCAGAAGTAGTACCTCGGGTTAAGAACTTTACCTCAAGATGCGAACAGAAATTGTGCAGCGGCAGCGGGAGGCCCCATTAGCTAAAGTGGTACCTCAGGTTAAGAACAGTTTCAGGTTAAGAATGGACCTCCGGAATGAATTAAGTTCGTAACCAGAGGTACCACTGTATTACGGAAGATTACTGCAGTCCCTTCACTGCCTATGATTCTTAGTCCTCCCTCACAGGGTTGCTGTGAGGATAAATGGCCAAGCCAGCCGCCTTGAAGAAAAATGTTGGGTCAAAACGCAATAAATAAGCAAACAAGGTAATAAACAAGGCCTCCAGTGGCTGGTGGTTTGATGGGTTGGTGGGTAGCAGTTGCCGCTTCCTTTCCAAGAAAGGCAGAGCAGTGGCACCTCGATCGTTTGCCCACCGTGAAGTCAGTCCTTGAAAAGCGTTTGCTGCTGCAATCTCTTTGTTGCAACGGGTGTGTGTGTGTTTCTTTTCTTCTTCTGGTTGTGGCTGGCGCACCCCGACAGCGGAAGGGGAAGAGTTGAAAGAGGCGTGGATGGAGTGGAGTTGCTACCTTGGGAACGGTGTCCATGGCAACCGAATCAGGGAACCCCTCCAAGAACCTCAGCTGATGGAGAGCGAGAGCGAGAACATGTGAGCAGCAGCTGAGGCACAAAGGCACAGCCTGGATTTAAGGAAAGGGATATTGTGGTCAGAGCACCTGCTTCACACCCAGAAGGTCCCGGGTTCAAGCCTCCAGGCTGTCTTAAGAGACCACAGTGGGTGCCGCCAGGGTCGAAGTCAAACGGCTACAGCACCCAAGTGACCTCTCTGGGGTACAACCTGGGCTGTGTGTCGCGGCCTCATTGAGGGTGTCCAAAGAAGAGCAAGTCATTTGGAACCCGCTTGGCTGCACCTTCCAGGCGCCTTAGGAACTCTGGATTTGTGGAGTCTTTTCTTCTCCCAAAGATATCCTGCAAGGCAGCAGAGCTTCAGAATCAGAGTTTTCCTTCTCCTCGATGGACTCCCTTCCCAGATGGACGGGCCCCACCTGCCCCTCGCTTCCCTCTACAGCACAGGCAGAACTTGCCTTCTTGACCCTTGGACCCCCCTCTGGTCTCATTCACTTCAGCCACCAGAGCCTCTCTTCACATGCAAAGCACATCCCTAACCCACCGAGGGTTTGAGACCCATAGGCTCCCCTCACCTGGTTCAGTCGGGCAGTCGAAGCCATTTCTCGGGATTGTGGCTGCTGTCGCCTGCTGACAGCTTCTAGGAGGTGCAGGTGAGAGCTGAGTGCAGGGTGGGGATCAAAGGTGGGCAAACTGCCGCCCAAGGAGCACGATGTGTCTCCCAAGAGAGGTACAGCCCCTCCCCCAATACACCTGTTTCTCCATCTAGGGCTGGGGAAACAAACCCCATTCCAAAACCCTCGAGAGCCACTGCCAGTCAGTGTAGATAATATTGAGTCAGGTGGGCCAGCGGTCTGATTTGATAGAAACCAGCTCCCCAAGGCTTCCTGCTTGAAACCAGCTCCTTATCACAACCATGAGGACTAACACCTTAAATTTCAAGAAAGGGCCGTGGCTCAGTGCTTTGCAAGGAGGCCCAGGTTCAGTTCTCAATGGTGTATCCAGGTCAGGCTGTGAGACCGTGTCTGAAAGAAACCTTGGAAAGCTGGAGCCAGTATTGAGGAAGATAGACGCGTGGTCTGATTAGACAGAAGGAAGTTTCCTGTATCTCAAAATCTGCAGTGTTCAGGAATAACTGGAGGCAGTTATTCTGGCCTGGGTGGTGTTGGTGTTTCAACTCCCCTAGGAATAGTAAAAAAATTCATATGCCCCCCTCTCTTCAAACTTGAGTGCGATATGCAGGGAGCTGCAAGTTTTTTCAAAAACCACAATCAAACAGCATGATGCACTAAGAGCCGTCAAGTCAGATCGGAGATGCTGGAATCCCCACAAGTCTTTGCGCCTCTGCTCTCTTCTTGAATAGCTGAGAGGAGGTTTGGGAGTGGGACAAGGGGGGGGCCGGGGGCTCTCTGCTTCAAAAAAAGCAACACCTTGAAAGGTAGCGGCAGGTGATAAGAAAGATGAAGGCTGCCTGCCAAGACCTGTTTCTTTAATCTCTGCCAAGGCAGAAGCGTGATGTGAGATCAGAGGGGCGTTTTGGCAGATGAGGAGCAGCTGATGGCAAGACCAGAAGAGCAAAATTCCTCTGCCGATCTGCCTGCTTCTTCAGCAAATGGGGTCCCCCCCTCATTGTCAGTGCTGTGCAGCTACTCTGGAGGGGCTAGGAGTAGGTGGGCCAGTCTGCTAGGCGAGGGTGTGGTTGAGGGAGACACAGAGCATCCCAATCTGAAAAGTTCAGAACTGTGCTTGATACTAAAGCTGCTGCGTGAAAAAAGACGCTCAGGGAGAGACCACAGATCCTTTGGAGGGGAAGGAAATTCTTGTCCTCTGTCAGAGTTAAGGAAAAGCAAGAGTCTGCAGTAAAAAACATGGTCTGCAGTAGGGCTGGACAATATTCGGTTTTCAACATCGAAATATACTAAATACACTGGCTAAACACTGCAATATACTGATATACCACAATGTCTGAAATAGCGATGGTTTTCCCCACATTGTGATTTTTGCATAGTGCACACGCACACATAAAGATCCACAATATATTACCAGGTCATAAACTATGAAACTGGTATCATAACATGGACTTCAAACCGGTTTTGGGTGATATATCGCTGTATCACCCAGCCCTACTCTGCAGTTTGAAGCAAGAAGGCAGACTCTGCATGATTTAGGATGGTGTTCCTCCTCATGCAAGACAGCCATATTATTATTAGTAGTACCCCGCCCATCTGACTGAGTTTCTCCAGCCACTCTGAGTGGCTTCCAACATATATAAAGACACAATTAAACACCAAGCATAAAAAAATTTCCCTATACAGGGCCACCTTCAGATGTTTTCTGAAAGTCATATAGTTCTTTATCTTCTTGACACCTGGTGGGAGTGTGTTCCACAGGGACCACCACCAAGAAGGCCCTCTGCCTGGTTCCCTGCAACCTCACATCTTGCAGTGAGGGAGCCACCAGAAAGATCCTCAGAGCTGGATCTCTGTGCCTCAGAGCTGGATCATCTGGCATCCTTTGGGTGTTGCTTGACTACAACTCCCATCAGCTCCAGTGCCCAACGATCATGTACGGCCACCTGGAGGATGGAGAAAGGTGCCTTCAGGAATTCCCTGGAATTCATCTTCCCCTGCCCCCTTCCGACTTTCGAGACAGGGCTGCATTGCGGGCATGAGGGCTAGGAGCTTGGCTCTTTGCTTTGTTGTTGTGAACGCCAAACTATCCAAGGCCAAATCACAGTTCTAAAAAGTCACTTTTATTAAATGATCTGCATGTCTGCCCCCCCCACTGGGCTCCCCCTCCCCAATTAAAACTGAAGGCATGTTTCAACTGTACCCTGATTTCCTTCAGCCTTTCCCTTCATGAAAAGAAATACGTGTAAGACAAAGAACTATCTGCTCACTACCCAAAAAAGAGCACAGACTCATGCAGAGAGGCACTTTGGGTAGGTTGGACTCGCCAGAATTTGTATTTATTGACAGAGAGTTTGGGGGTTACTGGTCTTAGTTGTTGGGGTTAGAGAGCAGCCTTTCCAACCTGCCGCCCTCCAGCCACGCAGGGCAAAGACTCTGCAGCAGGAGGACAGTAGTTATCTCACAAATTTTCATTTTGGCCTGTCTCTTCTGTTCCCGACTTTTTCGTCATGGGACGAGAACCCTGAGAATGTGTCGAGAGTTTGCAATTGAACACACTGGTGGCAGGTTTCAGCTTCTCTTCATGAAGATCTTAACAACCCAACTCCCAAGTGGAGGTGCAGCCACCCCAAATAAGATCTAGACAGAAACGCTGATATTTCCTCCTCCCCGTGGCTTATAATTTATAGGAGGCACCCTGTTTTCCCATCAGCTGGATTTCTGGGGCTGAGAGACCTTCCATCGCTGCAGTCAGTCCTCAGGATCCAAACCACAAAGGACCCAGGAAAAGCTGGGTGGTGCAACTGTTTTCGGAATCTGTCAGCAGAGCGTGGGTACAAGAAGAGAGTAGAAACACCGCAGAGACAATGAAGGTGGTCTTGTAACTAAGGAATTCGTTTGAAGGTGATCCTGTAATGAAGGGACCAGTTTGAAGGGTCAAAAGCAACTGGAACAAAAGTCCCAGCTGTGTGGAACGAGAGATACTCCTGTACAGGCACGAGAGTAACCACGGTAAACTGATGAAGATAAGGTGCCCAGTTCCGTATTCAGATTTCCTGGGAAACTGGATTCCCAGCGATCTCCCAGGGTGAGAGGCTTGGAGAGAGAGGGATACTCCCAGGTGAGAGTTGGGAAGGCTCACCTTTCTCTGTATGGGATAAAAGTTAAGATACAGCAGCGAGAGAGGGCTTTGTAGTTTCCTATCTCCTTTCTTTTCTTCTAATTTCTCTCTTGTTGTTAGACCTTGTAGATTAGTCCGTTCTTTTTATTCTCATGGAGAATTTCAATAAAACTGGATTCCCAGAATCCTCCTGTCCTGTCCGCAGTCCCCCCACCTTCTGCCCCAAGAAATAACTTTTGATGGAGCCCATCTTGGCTCTGGGGTGCCCTTCTCAGCCTGGGGCCAGCCCTGGTGGGCGAAGAGGTGGGACCGCGCCACTTCTTCCCCACACCAGACGGAAGGCACAAGAACCCCAGGTGGTGAGGGGTTGGGGAGAGGCAGTCTCACTTCTCTGCCGCCGGCTGCTTCCGTTGTTGCTGCCGCCGCTGCCGCTTCTTCCGTAGCTTCCGATGGAGGACAACCTGCTTCTTGTCTTCCAGGACCTGCTGGACTCTGCTCCGAAACTCAACATTCTTCTTCCTGATCTTTGCCAGCTCCGCTTTCCGCTGCGCCTCCAGGTCTGGGTCCTGGTGAGCGAGGAGGAGAGAAGGCAAGGAGACTGAGAAGCAGACCCTCTTGGCCAGAGGTGGGCAGAGCACCCTGACTTTATCAGTCTCCCACTGCCCACAGGCTTTCTTTTGACATCTGACCAGGGCTGTTCTGGATGGGCACCTGCTGGAGGCCGTTCTGCACCTGCCGCTTACTGAGGAGGGGCGTGGAGAAGGGTTTGCTCCAGGACTAGGGGCTGGGTGATGTCAGCTTTTCAACATCGCGATGAATCACCAGCCAAACATCACGATCTGGTGATACACTGCGATGTTGAAATCTGGCCGAGCCAAGGCTGCTTGCTGCTGCTGAGAGCAGGGAGTGGAGAGGCGGGGGCAGGGGGTGGGGGTTGTGAGCTGCGCTGCCAAGAGACCCTTTGTGCCTGGAAGGGAGCTGCAACTAGTTGCTGCAGATATGGCGCTCTTAAAGACCCCCTAAGGCAAACAGATGTGGCGAGAGGGGGAATTGCTGCAGAGGAGGGAGGGACACACAGGGCCATCCCCTGCCCCAAAATGATCGTACCTTTCCTTCTAGGATCATCTGTTTCCGTTTGTTTATTTCCTTCTTCTCATCAAAATCGGTCGCCTCCAATCTCTAGGAAGAAAATAAACATAAAGGTTGTTTTAAAGCAGTGTTTCCCAGAGCGGGCAGTACTGTTGGGGGGGGGGAGGGATTACCTACAGAGGGGCTGGTGCTGTAAAGGACTACTGGGATTAGAAAAGCTGATATTGCTGGACCAATGATTCCATCAGTTTTGCTGAATTAATTAAACTAAAAAGGTTTTAATCAGATTTTGAACAAACATGAAATTAATTTCGAGTGTTTTGAATTTCATTGTGTTGTTATCTTGCTTAGCGGGTCATGCAAACCGCTATTCTGAATAATGCTTTTTTAAAGGGCAGGGGGCGCTGGGGATGAGTTCATGGAACCACTGTTTTCAAAGCATATCTGTATCCCCAGGCTTCCGTTCTGCTTTACCTGGGGAGGCAGGGAAACGGGAGGAGGCTAAAACATCAATCTTGGAGTGGGGAGATCCGAGTTCAAATCTGTGCTTCCCCACAAAGTTCACTGGTATTCCCAGACTGCAGATCTACGACCCGGCCCACCCCAAAGCCCTCACTCACAATCTCGCATTCCCGTCGCACAACGTTCACTTGGGTAAGGATGTTCAGTACGGTGTGTTCCTCCACGGAGAACTCCTGAAGCTTCATCTCTGCAAGGCAGAAAGGCATGGGGGTGTTCCTAAAGGATCTACACTGGTTCCCAGCACATTTATGAGCCCTATTCAAAGTGCTGGTGCTGACCTTGAAAGCCCTAAATGGCCCCATATACCTGAAGAAGCGTCTCCACCCCCATCGTCCAGCCAGGGTCCAGCTCCGAGGGCCTTCTGGCAGTTCCCTCCCTGAGAGAAGTGAGGTTACAGGGAACCAGGCAGAGGGCCTTCTCAGTGGTGACGCCCGCCCTGTGGAATGCCCTCCCATCAGATGTCAAGGCAATAAAGAGCTGCAGTGGATGCTTGGGTGGCGAACGTGATCCACGCAGGAGGCACATTCGCAAACCGCAGCGCCGCATCTGCGCATGAGCGGGTAGAGATTCAGCACTTCTGCGCATGCGCAAAACACGATTTAGTGTCTCTGCGCATGCGTGAGCGCCGAAATCAGGAAGTAACCCATTCCAGTACTTCCGGGTTTGGTGCGGTACGCAACCCGAAAATGCACAACCTGAAGCGTCTGTAACCCGAGGTATGACTGTATCTGACGTTTAGAAGAAGTTTTTAATGTCTGATGTTATATTATGTTTTTATATTTGTTCAAATCCACCCAGAGTGGCTGGGGCAACCCAGGCAGATGGGTGCAGTATAAATAATAAAATTATTATTTTTAGGTGCGTGCCAATGGGGGCGCCAATGGGGCCCCTGCCTCTGCTCACACAGCACTTTCAGAATTGAACTGGTACCACAAGGGGGATGAGGCTGCATCTTGGGCAAGGATTTGAGACATTTCTTTGCACCTCCACTGAACCTCCTCAGCCTTTTTGGCTTTCTATCTGGCTGCTGTTATTGGCTGGTTTTATTGTTACTGAACATGTGTATGTTGCTTAAGGTCAGAGCAGGTTTCTAAGAAGCTTACAAGTTTAAAACACAAATGAACTTCAGTGGTACCTCGGTTTACAAACTTAATCCATTCCGGAAGTCTGTTCTTAAACCGAAACCGTTCTTAAACCGAGGCACACTTTCCCTAATGAGGCCTCCCGCAGCCGGTGCCCTTCCACTGTTTGGATTCCCTTCTTAGACCGAGGTAAAGTTCACAAACCGGGACACCTCTTCTGGTTTGCGAATCATTCCTAAAAAGGACTGTTCTTAAACCGAGGTACCACTGTACATGCAAACAGAGGGTCAGCAGTGGCAACCAGGAATGGTGTGAAGAACCAGGTCAGAGGAAGCAACTGCGAAACGAGTGGTCTGCCAGTGGGATGGGAGGCTGATAAATGTCAGTAAAGCTGACTAGGGCTTGACTGCAGCCTTCCCCAACACGGTGCCCTGCGGACTTTTCGGATTACAACTCTGTGCTGGGTGGGTGCTGATGGGAGCTGTTCCCGCCTGGAGGGCACCAGGTTGGAGGGAGGTTGTGCTGCCACGTCTAACCCCTTCCCAGCCATTTGCATCGCCCTCTTTCCCAGGTGGCTGGAGGAGCCGCCAAACCGGTAACTTGGCAGTTCCTGTGCGATGGGCTGTCGCTCCCAAGCTCTCCTTCTCAACTCACTGATCTGCTCCTCAATGGCGTGGACCAGGTGGATGTCATACTGCGTCACCAGCGTGATGGCGATGCCGTTTCGGCCTGGGGAAGGGTGGAGAGAAGAAGGGGGTTCATGCACACAGGACAATTCTCCTCCCCACCAGGGACCCCCAATGCAAAAGAAAGTGCCGCATGTTCCATCCATGCGGGAGCCAGTTCCTACTCTGATAATGGTGGCTAATCAGCAGGTTGTAGCAGCCATCCTTACCTGCCCGGGCAGTTCGGCCTACCCGGTGGATGTAGATTTTGGGGAGCCCCGGCGTGTTGTGGTTGATGACCACTTGGACTGTGGGGATGTCAAGGCCCCTGAATTGAGAGAGACAAAGAAGAGAGGGGCAGGGTTAGAAGTTGGGAAGAACCGTCCACCCAACACTGTCCCCACCAAAAATTTAAAAGGTGAAATATATACATTTAAAAGCACCAGAGAGGGATAACAAACTCAGATGTTCCCAAGAAGGTACTTAATCTTTCTTTGTATGTGACAACAGCAGCAAGAATAATCTATGCACAAAGGTGGAAAGACCAAGAAATACCAACCAAAGAGGAATGTCAAAATAAACTGATAAAATATGTGGAGTTGGCGAGAATGACAACAAAAATTAGGGATCAGGAGGAATCATTGTTAAGGGAGGAGTGGAACCCTTTGCAGAGTATTTGAAGAAGAGTATTTGAAGAAGTTAAGCAGTCAGATAAACCTACAAGTAGGACTTGAGCTGTGAGCAGCAGCGAAAAATAATTAGGATATTAAATATAGATGGAAGCGGGTGGTTAAGAATGATAGGCAGTACCCACCTGGCGGCCACATCTGTAGCGATGAGAATCTTAAAGACGCTGGATTTGAACTTGGCCAGGGCTGCAAAGCGCTGCTTCTGTTAGAAAGAGTGGAGAGAGAGAAGGGGGAAAGGCGGTCAGAGCAGGGAAATGTAGGAAGTGGCTGGGCTAAGTGTCCAGGTGGGTGGGGAGGGAGAGACCCCTGCCTGTTGGTGGACCCTTTTTAAACTGGAGGTGCCAGGGGTGAAACCTGCAGGCAAAGCAGGTGCCCTCCCCATTAAGGTACGGCCCACCCACTGGAGGAAAGCAGAGGAAGGAAGAACTAACCCCAGCAAGAACTCCCTCTGTGGGTGTGTGGTGGCTCCTGGCAAAACAAAGAGGGACCACGGATTCTCTCACACCAAAGAATCCACACGGCAACTGTGTCTTGCTTTAAGAAACATCAGCATGTGGCTCTGCTTGCCCCCCCCCCCCGTGTGTTGCCCCTTCAGCTGTTAGTGCAAGGCCTCTGCCAGCCTCTGGCTCACCTGCTTCATCATGGAGTGCAGAGCCACCGAAGGGAAGTTGAACCTCCTGAGCATCATATTCAGGATTTGGCAGTTCCTGCAAGAACAAGAGATCTAAGTCCTTCCTCTGGCCTGCCCCGGCCCCTGCTCTCTGGAGGGGAAGAGGGTCAACCTTGGCACTTCAGGGGAACTCTTGGAAACCCTCTGCCACATCCAGGGGGCCAAGGGTGTTCCGTTATGGTTGTTGCTTCCGTTCTCTGTGGCCACAAATTACTATTGCAGGACCGAGGTCAGTGTTTTCCAAACTTGGGTCTCCAGCTGTTTTTGGACTACAACACCCATCATCTCTAGCTAGCTGTACTTTACCTGGCAGGGCTGTTCAGAGGACTGACTTCCCAACCTTGCAAATATCACCCTGACTTGCCTAGAGGGGAATGCAATATATTGGAAAGACCCAAAAAGGTTTCTGTCTTACTCTGTCTTACCCTTTTTCTCTCCTGCCCAAGCATATTCTTGTATCTGCAAAGCTGTTTCTCTTCTACAGGTCAAAAGCTTCCACAAGCCAGCTGGCAGGGAAGAGTGCTTCTAAGCACAAGCAAACTGCCCTTCGGCCACCTCAAAGGCTTCCTCCTGCAAGGGGAACATCCAAAGAGGCCCAAGGAGGTCCTCCATCTAGTCCATCTTGGGGCCAACCAGAAGCCCCTAAGGGAAGCCCACCAGCAGGGTACCAGGGCCCTCTCCTGCTCTTCCCCAGAAATGGGAATTCAAAGACAGAACTCCATGGGGTTCTAGACAGCTACCATAAAAGCCCTGAGGGCATAAGAATTTCCCTACCATCTAGTCCAGCATCCTGTCCTCACTGTGGTCAACCACATGCCCCAAGCAGGAAGCCCACAAGCAAGATCAGAGCAAAGCAACTCTCTCTGCTTGTGATTCCTCAGCAAATGGTGTTACCCAGAGGTGTTTATTCCCTCCAGACAGGGAAGAGTAGAGCATTGCCATCATAGCTAGGAGCCAATGACAGCCTCAGTTAATCCTCCGGGGACAGGAGTGAGGAGTCTGGGCTGAACCTGGCACCTGCCCCTCCCTGGAGCAGAAGTTCAGGATTGCCTCCAAGCCAGCTGTGAGCCTGGGGAACTCTCCCCTCTTGGGAATTAAGAACGGAAGGTGAGCTTTTGAGCCAGCAGGGAAGAGTGGCCGAGAAACAGAGGGAGGCCAACCCCAGACTCACTTGCACGTGTTGGTGAAGATGATGATGGACCAGTCTTCATGCTCGTCCTGGAATGTCTGGACCAGGTGGACCAGGTAGGCGTCCTTCACCTTCTCAGGCACCAGCAGGTAACGTTGGTCCAGCTGCTCCACTGTCCGGACTCTGGGAGGATGGGGAAGAGGAGGCCCAGTTAGGGGGGACAGAGAGTTTAAGAACTTCCTTGCACCAGACCTGGCTCTGTGCCTCCCCAGCACAAGGCTGTCTCTTAGTGGCCCTGAGTCTCCAGTAGTGGTTTCCCTGACTCTCCAAAAGGAGGGGACTAAACATGGGACCTCCCAGCATACAAAGTGTGAGATACAGTCTCTTCCCCTCCATTTGCAACAGGGCAAGAAGATGGCAGGTTGGGACTGAGACCGGCTACATGAGGGTTGTTGCGAGGCCTCCGAATCATCATCATCATCATCCATATAATAAAACAATATATAACAACAATGACAATGACAATGACAATATAATGCATGTTTAGGACATTTGGCTGCCTCTCATCTATCCATTCAGGTATCTCTTAAGCCAGGGTTTCCCAAACTTGGGTCTCCAGTTGTTTTAGGACTACAGTTCCCATCATCCCTGACCCTTGGTCCTGCTGGCTAGGGATGATGGGAGTTGTAGTCCAAAAACAGCTGGAGGGCCAAGTTTGGGGAACCTTGGTGTACACTATCTACCACTCAGAGCCTGGAGGTCAAACTCACTCAGATTTGGATTCCCAGAAGAAGGGCTTGTTCATGGCAATCTGCTTGAGCTCGTTCAGGGTGTCAGTCAGAGTGGCACTGAAGAGCATCGTCTGCCTGCTGGCTGGGACTGCGGCCAAGATGACTTCCAGGTCTTTGGTGAAGTCGGTGCAGCCCTGCTCCAGCAGCCGGTCAGCTTCATCCAGGACCTGAGCCAAAATGGAGGGGGCAGGGACAGGTGTGTCACCAGTGAACTGCCAGAGATGGAAGAGGACGGAGCAGAAAGGGAAATCCTCCCAGGGAAAGACAGGGATTGGAAAGCATGTGGGAATTTTAAGTTGCTGCAAGGTTTTTGGCATTTGCTTTTGACAGAAAGGATGAACATTACTAAAGAAAATATTGTTTGTTTTCCAAAATAAACGCCACTGAATGCTTTTGATTATACCAATGTGTTGTTAAAAGAATTGGTGTTATGTATGATATTGACAGCCTGAATAGTAATTGCAATTCAATGAAAAACAACCCCAAATCTGACACTGGGTGCTTGCCACCCTTTGTACTGCCCCTTAGCCATAATGGAGAAAATGACACCTAATGTGAAATCTGGGCAAGGGCAGGAAGCACCAGACACTTTCTTTATGATCTGGCAGTCTTTTACGACATACACAGCAGAACCATTTTTTTCAAGACAAACCTGGAACGACACTTGATAATCGGGTAAGGCTGATATTCTTTACTTGGACCTTGCTATTCTAACCCATGTGCAACTGTACATGCCTGTTCTATAGTTTTCCACCTTTAAATTTTCCTCTTTGTTCTAACCGCTGTCTCTGCTTTACATACAGCATAAAACCACATGGGAATGTCAGACCTCCAGGCAGCCCATTCTACTCCTTCTCAGGGCAAGGGACTCCCAGCAGCCCCAGCCAATGTTCATGCCTGATGGAAGGCAGAGGGGGAGATACTACTACTACTACTACTACTACTACTACTATTTATTTATACCCCACTCATCTGGCTGGGTTTCCCCAGCCACTCTTCCAGCACATACATAGACAACATTAAACATTTAAAAACTTCCCAATACAGGGCTACCTTCAGCTGTCTTCTAAAAGTCTGATAATTGTTTATTTCTTTGACATCTGATGGGAGGAGATTCCACAGGGCAGGCGCTACTACTGAGAAGGCTCTCTGCCTGGTTTCCTGTGACTTCACTTCTTGCAGTGAGGGAACCACCAGAAGGCCCTCAGAGCTGGACCTCAGTGTCTGGGCTGAACGATAGGGGTGGAGAAGCTCCTTCAGGTATACTGGGCCGAGGCCGTATATTGAATGAAGTGTTCAGACCAGTAGAGGAAGCTCTCAGTGCATCAGTATATCAATCAAACTTTTACTGTGCTAGCTGAATGCCATGACATTATCCATATACAAGATAAAATAAAGGGGAGTTGCATGCAGATTGTGTAAGTTAGATCTCAGCATCCCCTTTACAATTAATGGTTCGTTTAACTAATTTATTTGCCCTAATCTTCCTGGCTGTCAGAGCATAGAAAGCAACTTTGTAAGTTGTAAAGTCACCCTCTCCGCCATGGTTAAGCTGCTTTCCTGCACAAAGGTTTTATAAATCGATTCCTTGGTTCTGCATAAAGTGGGCATTGAACATGGGTGCCTGCAAAACCATCAGTATATGTGAATGTCTGGCTCGCTTAAGACTCTATAGAACTGTTATTCACAATAATAATGGAACTTGGGAGGCAGATAATACTTTTATTTTTATGAATCTTTATTATTTGCAAAGGGAATCTTTGTTAATAGTTGCCTATCCCTTTGAAGCTGTGCTGCGTTTTTGTCCTTTTGCCCTTTCAGGCTGTGAAGGCTTACGGTTCATATTTTTTATTCACATAATCATAGAATTGCAGCGTTGGAAGGGACCCTGAGGGCCAGCTAGTCCCACCCCCGGCAATGCAGGAATCGCAACTAAATTATACATGACATGTCCTTTGTTTCTTTTCTTTGCTGCATTTGCACTTTTTCTTGCTGAGAAACAGAAATGCAAAAAGCCAAAAGCTTTCTAAGCCGCTGTGGGGAGAGAGGCATCGCACAGCCCTGCGGAGGCTTGAAAGTGGCCGGACGCAGGCCTGGCTGCCGAACTAGGGGCCTCCTTGGAAATTAGGGTGAACTCTCTGGGACTTACCAAGAACTTGATCTTTTGAAGGCTGAAGGTGTTGGAACTTCGCAGATGGTCGGCCAGCCGGCCCGGGGTGGCGATGACGACGTGGGGCTTGCGGGACAGCTCTAGGGCTTGAGCCACCATATCTGCAAAGTGGGGAAAGAAGGGGATACCTTAGCCCTCTCAAAGGGCGCAGAGTGACACCCCCCACACCCTGCTGTGTGCAGATTTGCCAATATATTATCTTCAGCTGCTCGGTGGCCCTTCAAGCAAGATGCCCTTAATTTTGTTTGGGAGAAGGGCGGAGGAAGATCCCCTCCGTTTTCTGAACAGGACTTACGTACCCATCCCACCAACGATGATGCAGTCCTTTAGGCCCAGCGGCTTCCCCAAGACCCGGAACTGCTCGGCGATCTGGTGGGCCAGTTCCCTGCCGGAGAAGGAATGACAGGAGATTAAAAAAACACGCCACTGTTTCGCACCGTGTCACTCCTTGGGCAGAAAGAGTGGGGTACGATGATGATGATAATGATGTATTTCTTGTTTTTTATATTGTCGTGAACTGCTCTGAGACAAAAAAGCGCTATCTGAACTTAAAGATAAAGGTAAAGGACCCCTGACAGTTAAGTCCAGTCGTGAACGACTCTGGGGTTGTGGCGCTCATCTTGCTTTACTGGCCGAGGGAGCTGACATTTGTCCGCAGAGTTATTCCAGGTCATGTGGTCAGCATGACTAAGCCGCTTCTGGCGAAACCAGAGCAGCGCACGGAAATACCATTCACCTTCCTGCCAGAGTGGTACCTATTTTTCTACTTGCACTTTGACGTGCTTTCGAACTGCTAGGTGGGCAGGAGCAGGGACCAAGCACTGGGAGCTCACCCTGTCGTGGGGATTCGAACCGCCGGCCTTCTAATCAGCAAGCCCAAGAGGCTCAGTGGTTTAGACCACAGCGCCCCCCGCGTCCCTATATGAACTTAATAAATAATAATAATAATAGTAATTCGATTAACAACAATGATATCTGAGCGTTGGTTCAACGCAGGGGCCGCCCTCGATGAGGACCAAGGACTTTTCTCCAGCAAGAAAAAGCAGCAGGCTGGCTCTTACCTCGTGGGCGTCAGCACCAGGCAGAAGATGCCATACGGATCTTCGGAGAGCTTCTGCAGGATGGGCAGCACAAAGGCGGCCGTCTTGCCGCTGCCAGTCTGGGCACACCCCATGCAGTCACGGCCTGCGGGAGGAAAGCAGAGGGGAAGGGCAGCAAGCGGGGAGGCGCTCTGCACGTGCTCAGAGGCACTCTTTCCCCAGCCAGGGCAGCCGTTCCTAGGAAAGGCTGAGGCAGCTGCTTTGGAGCAATGGGGAGAGGGGGGGATCAACAGGCCTTGCCATCAATGGGCGTGGCCTGTGTGAAGGGGCGGGGTGTCTGTGGAGGGGCGTGGCCAGAAGAACAGGAGAGTGGGCCTCATGGAAGAGGCGTGGCTTCCAGAAGGGGGCAGAGTGGGAGGGGCTTAAACAGCAATAGGGTGGGCGGGACCTGCGTGAAGGGGCGGGGTGTCTGCGGAGGGGCGGGGCCAGAAGAACAGGAGAGTGGGCCTCATGGAAGAGGCGTGGCTTCCAGAAGTGCGGGTACAGTGGGCGTGGCTTAAATAGCCACGGGGTGACCGAGGCGTGGGCGGGGCCTAGCTCACCATGACAGGGGGCGGGGCCTGCGTGTTTCCTGAGGCGCGAGGGAGCCGCGCTTACCTTGGAGGGCGGGCGGGATGCAGGCCTCCTGCACCGGCGCGGGCCTCGACAGGCCCAGCTGCTCTGCCTGCGACACCAGCCAGGGCGACAGTCCCAGCGCGCGGAAGCCGGACATGGCCGGAGCCCCTCGCCGCTCAGGAGGAAAGAGTGAAAGGAAGGCAGCAATCCCACAAGGCACCGCGACAGCGCCGGCGCATTTGTTGCGCGTCACGCCTCGCTCCCCTCCAATGGCCCGCCGTTTGGACTACGACGCCCAGCATGCATTGCGCCCAATAAACCAAGCCCTATTCCCAGCACATACAACTCCAATGCGGGGTTCAGGGGTTTCAATGGCTCTGACAGGAAGAGGGCGGTTGTTTTGTTTAAAATATTAGCTAGCTGCTTGTTTTCCAGCAGGCGGAGCCCGTATGCAGCGAGCGGGTCCCTCTTCCCTTTTCGTATCTCTAAGCAGATCCGGCGACGTAGCGCCTCTCCCGCCCCAAAACTCCGGCTCCCGGCAAGCAATTCGCCCGCGGGGCTTCCCGATTGGTCAGGCGGGCGGGTGGGCGCGGCGAAAGGGCGAGGGCCGGCCAATCGGCGCTTCCCGGCGTGCCTTGCGAGGGAGCTCCGAGGAGAGTTCGGAGGCGACGACGTGTCCGCTGCTGGTCCCGGAGAGGCGACGGCGAGGAAGCGCAGCGATGGCGGCGGCGACCCAGGGCGAGGCCGACGAGCTCTTCGACGTCAGGAACAACTTCTACATCGGCGCCTCGCAGGCGGCCATTAACGAAGCGCAGCGAGTCAAGGTCACAGAATAATAATAATAATAATTTTTTATTTATACCCCGCCCTTCCCGGTTCAGAAAACCGGGCTCAGGGCGGCAAACAACAAATTTAAAGCACTTAATTGATGCAGCAAAAAACAGCATACAATACAGTATAAAACGTGAATAACAATAAATTCAGAATTCAGAAATCAATTTAGGGGGGAAATCCATCCAATAAGCATTAGATGATCCTCAGGGCTAGCTGGCTGAATTGGTCCTACTTGGGCCAGTGAGGAGATCAGGGGAGAATTAGCTGTGGGATCCCAGAGCGGGTAATCTTCATAAAAGGGGAGGGGGAGGGAAGGAAGGGGAATAAAAGATCAGGCTAAGTTCAAATTGAAAGCCAGGCGGAATAGCTCTGTCTTACAGCCCTGTGGAAGAAGTTAACTCCTGAAGGGCCCTGGTCTCCTGGGACAGTGGATTCCACCAGGTCGGAGCCATCACTGAGAAGGCCCTGGCCCTGGTGGAGGACAGTCTGACTTCCTTAGGGCCCGGGACGTCTAAAGAATGGTTATTCATCGATCTTAAGGTCCTCTGCAGGGCAGACCAGGAGAGGCGGTCCCCATAAATACGAGAAGAGCCAGAGATGCTGCGGGGGGATGTCTGTGGGGATTGATTGCGCCTCCCCAGTGGAAAGAGTCCATAATCAGCTCAAGTCCATAATCAGAACAACAACAACAACCATTATACCCTGGGTTGCTCCAGGCACTCTGGGCAGCCTCCAGTGTATATAGGAACATAATGAAACGTTACACATAAAAAACCTTCCCTTTAGGTGTCTTCAAAAGGTTGTACAGTTACGTATCTCCTTGGTTCGGGGGTCGCAGAACTCCAGACCCTCCAATGACAATGGGGCATCCTAAGGGAAAGCGGGACATTCCAGGATCAATCAGAAACTGGGATGACTTCTGTAAATCCGGGACTGTCCCGCCAAACATATCCTTGAAGCTTCCTGGGAGATAGGACAGGCGAAAGGAGTGAGATAGAGGATGGCATGTCAACAGCCTGCCAAAGGCCTGTTTGTCAAGGGAACGGTGATCAAAATGTGACATTTCTGCTCAAATCCTGCTTGAAGCTTTGGGACATCTGCTTGGCCCAAGCATGGTGGACTAGATGCCCAACCACCCCTGGCCTGAACCAGCTGGTTTTTACATTTCTTATATTTCTATGAGACTTTTCTATGAGACTTCCTCTTCTATGTTTCCTCCCACTCCAGCCCTTCAACTCTGCAAATGATTCTACTTCCCCCCCTCTTGTTTCTTCAGCCCTCCAGTCCTGACAAAGAGATGGAAAGGGATATCTTCCTGTATCGTGCCTACATTGCCCAGGTGAGGCTTCTGAAAAAAAGGACAGTTTGCCTGCTTCCAGGCTTGCCCAATGTGTGGGTTGAGTTTTGAAGTTTATAACACCACTGTTTATAACACCTTGAAAGCAACTGTCTCAGAAACAGCCATGCCTTCTATCTTTCCCAATTCACTTTTGAGACTTCCCATTTCTCCTTTTGTACAGCGAAAATATGGCGTGGTGTTGGATGAAATCAAGCCCAGCTCACCTCCGGAACTCCAAGCTGTGCGGATGTTTGCAGAATACCTTTCTAATGAGAGCCAAAGGTGGGTCTGGGTGCCCAAACACAGCAGCCTTTCTCCTGGAAAATCAAATTCCTAGGAATGGTGATTGGATTCTAACATAATATCCAGATTTTAAAATTGCAGCGCAGTATGCCTGGCAGGTTGACCCTTAGCATGTAAAAGCTGTTCCCAGTTATCCCTATTACATATGTAGATAGAAGGAACTTTTGATGAACTTTCCATCAAAAGGAACTTTTTGATGAACTTGATGAACTTTCCATCGTGCAGCAGTGGAAATCATTAAAAAAAACCTAGCTCTATCCCACTGATATACCGTAAAAATCCTTTGAATTTAGTTATTGCAGAAAAAAATAACACATAAGTTACGGGTCTCTAAGGGGCAGGAAGATCCTGATTGTTTCCATTCAGTGTGGTGGGATTTTATTTCATGTAGTTTAGTTTCAAATGTCTCTCCCTCTTCCATCTAGAGAATTATGGTTGACATGATTTTAGATTTGATGTTAATTCATGTGCTTAGCTTTTGTAGGCCCTGCCTCTTGTTGGATATATTATTGGATTTTTGTTGTTGGTTTATTTGTCTCTGTGGTTCTATAAGCATTTTGATAAGCAATAAAAACAATTTTTTAAAAAGCCTGGGGAGAGCCTACTGCAAAAGGAGTGCAACCACTGAAAAGTCCCTGCCTTTTGTGGTCCCCTCAGATGAGGTGCATGCGTTGGTAGAAGCTAATTGCAAAATGGCACCTTAAACCTGGGTTACAGTCGACACAACAAAATGCCTAGGTGTCATTTTCCCCCCAGTGAAATTTTTTATTATTAATCATTTCATTTCTATACCTCTTTATATTTTGAAAAAAAATTCCTCAAAGTGGTTTATAGCGCATTAAAACATCAAATAAAACAATACAGAATAAAACAAATTCAAGCTTCAAGGAAAAGATTTCAGATCCTTCTCTAGGTGACATTCTGCTTCCCCCATATTTATTTGCCTACTTAATTTATAGAGCTGCCCCATAACAGAAGGATTCTATGAAGCCAGTGGGGTGTAGTGGTGAGAGTGTCGAGACTAGGACAGGGTTTGGCAACCTGCGGTCCATGGGTGACAAGTGGCCCACGGGGGTTGTTTAAACAGCCCACAAGCTGCTCCCAAACCAAGCCGCCCGGTCAGTGAGTCCCCGTCCACCGCACTAAACCTGTGGAGCGGGGACTCCTACAGCGCCGGAAATCACGTCTGCCGCATGGATCCGGCCCACGGAGCGATCTCTGCGGGAGTGAACCAGCCCAGGTGAGGTAAACCTTGCCAATCCCTGGACTAGGACCTGGGAGATCAGGGTTCAAATCCCCACTCAGTCATGGAGCTTTCTGGACGACCTTGTGAGTCAGTCACAGCCTCTGTGTTGTTGTAGGGATTAACTGAGGAGGGGTGTTGGTGAACAATGGACTCCTTGGATAAAAAGGTGGGAGATAAATGCAATAAATAAGCTCTTCTGCTTACTTGCTTAAGAAAGCTGGAGGGGCCAGCCAGATGGAGATGTTAGTCGCCAAGCTGGCACCCAGAGAACTCCACGTGGTCACAGCTGGCCTTGCGCCAATTGCAAAATGCGCCTGGGGAATTTCTGACACTAGGTGTTCAGAGAGGGGCCTGTGAAAAGGACCGCAGGATCCAGGATCATGTGGGGAGAGGCAGTTGCAGGTGTGCTTGCAAATGGTGGTTTTTGCCATTAACAGTGGTCTTCAAAGACACCCTGGGGCAACTCCCAGGTGAGAGCTGGGAGTGGAGGGGTCTGGGATGCTTCCATTTCCTGATGCTTACTTTAGTGGCATTCCTCTCTCTCCCTCTCCCCACCCCGGGCCCTGCGTCAAAAGAGATGCGATTGTGGCTGAACTGGACAAGAAGATGGCTAAGAGCATTGACGTCACTCACAACACTTTCCTTCTTATGGCGGCCTCAGTCTACTTCCACGACCAGAACCTGGATGCAGCATTGCGAACCTTGCACCAGGGGGACAGCTTAGAGGGGTGAGTGGAATTGGGTTGTTGTGGCAGCGGCTTTTTTTCTTGGCTTATAGCACAAACCTGAACTGTGCCAGCTGACCTTTATAAGAACAAGTGTTGACGAATTGGTGCCTGAGTTTGATTTCCCCCTCTTCCTTCCCTGCACCTTTTTCCTTGTGTGTGTGTGTCTTCTTAGATTGTAAGCCTCTGGGCCCAGAGCACCTTGTTTCAATTGAATACATGTCAGCCGCTCTGTGGGAGCCTTTTTGGTTGAAGAGCCCAGTACAAACGGTCAAAACAAAACTGTGGCCGGGGCTTCTCCAGGAGAGTGGCTCCTTCCATATTTCGAGGAACTGATAGCCAACCACATTCAAAGAGTTGCACTGAGTTGACTAATGCTTGCTCTGCTTGTAGTAGATGCGCTGAACTGTACACATGGCTAAGTTAGGTCTGCTAATTTCAGTGGGGCTACTCTTGAATAGGTATTGCTCAGGACTGCAATTCCTCAAGGACCACCTCTTTCCATATGAACCTACCTGGACCCTGAGATTAACTTCTGGGGCCTTTCTTCATGTGCCTCCACCACGAGAGGTCTGGAGGGGGGTAACATGAGAACAGGCTTTTTCTGCAGTGGCTCCTCTTCAGCTGGCACCTTCATTATTCACCTTTAGGTGCCAGGCAAAAACCTTCTTCTTCAACCAGGCCTTTGGCTGATTGCCATCCAGCGCCCTTTTAAAATGTGTCATGGGGGGCGGATTATTGTTATGGGAGGGGGGATTATTTTTGCTATGTATTTTGTGTTTTTATATTGAGAACCACCCTGAGACTTGCCGGTGTAGGGCGGTACACAAATTTAATACTGATACTAATAGCAAAATCGGACTAACATACAGCCCATTGAAATTAATTGAACTAAGTTAGGTTCTATTTGCACTGAACATTTAAAGCATTATCTTTTAAACTGCAAATAATACCAGGAACTGTAGTTTTCTAAGACTGCTGAGAGTTAAGAGAGTTATAACTATTGGAATGTTTTAACAACCAATCCTTCTTCCCTGGGAACTGTAGCTCTGGGAGAGGATTTGGGGGTGTCTCCTAACAGCTCTTGGCATCCTAATCAAACTACAGTTCCCAGGATTCTTTGGGCACTAAGCCCACGAGTCTTTCAGATGTTAAGAACTTGGCTCTTGTCTGACCAAAGGTCCACAGGCAGCAAACTCACAGGTGCAAGTTCCTAAAACTCTCCCTTCTCTCGTTCCCTCTAGCATGGCAATGACTATTCAGATCCTTCTGAAACTAGATCGCCTGGATCTGGCCCGGTAAGTTTCCCCAGAACCGGAGTCGCTTTCAGCACCAGCCGGCTTCTGTCTGTCCATCCCCTCGTCCACCTCCTCCTGCACGTGTGGTGCAGTGCGAAAGCAGCCACAGAAAGCTTGGCTCTGTCACACTTAAGCGAGGTCCAGTTTGGAGTCACATGATTGGAGACCTCTGCCCTCAGCAGGTCTCCTCTGAGCAGCAGCACCTCAGAAGCTTTTAGGCATGATTTTGGATGGGTCTTCTCGATGTGGCCAGTCAATTATTATTATTATTAATATTTGTTTATATGCCGCCACTCTGGGCAGCCTCCGACAAAAAATAGTCAAAACACAAGGCAGCATCAAACACTAAAAGCTTTCCTGAACAGGGATGCCTTCAGATGTCTTTTAAAAATCACATAGCTGTTTATCTCCCCTCTGATGGGAGGGCGTTCCATAGGGCACGCGTGACTGTTGAGAAAGCCCCCTGCCTGGTTCCATCTAACCTCACTTCTCTCAGGGAGGGAACCACCAGAAGGCCCTCGGAGCTGGACCTCCGTGACTGGGCTGAAAAACGGGGGTGAAGATGCTCCTGCAGGTACACAGGGCTGAGGCCATTTAGGGCTTTAAAGATCAGCACCAACACTTTGAATTGTGCTCAGAAACGTACTGGGAGCCAATGAGGATCCTTTAGGATCGGGGTTATATGGTCCCAGTCACCAGTCTAGCTGGTGCATTCTGGATTCGTTGTTGTTTCCAAGTCACCTTCAAAGGTAGCCCCATGGAGAGCGCATGGCAGTAGTCCAAGCAGGAGATAACCACTCCGGTGAGACAGGGAGTAGACAGGCAGAGTCTCAGCCGGCGTAACAGCTGCAGCTGGTAAACATCTGCCCTGGGCCATCCCTAACCATTGGGAAAGGACTATAACTCAGCAGCAGAGCCTTGGTCCGAAGGTCCCAGCTTCAGGCCCCATTGGCATCTCCAGGCAGGGCTGGGAGAGAGTCTCTGCCGGTCAGTATAGACCAGGGGTCAGCAAAAAATTTTAGCCACGGACCGGTCCACTGTCCCTCAGACCATGTGACGGGCCAGAGAAGCGGCACTGGGGGGAGAGCTGGAAGAAGAGCCGAGGGGGGCAAGTAGTCCTCCTCCCCAGCCCCGGCTGCTGCGTTTACCTTCCCTGGGGCTGCTGCTTCTCATGGGTAGGCAGAGCGAGCTGGTCTGCTCCGTTCTCTGGCCCACAGGAGCAGCAGGGCAGTGGTGGTGGAGGGAAGATGAGCAGTGCAAAAGGGCTGGCTCTGGAGAGGGGCTGCAAAAATGGCTCTCAGCCAGCTCAGCCCAGCCCCCTTCCTCCTCTAGGCAGGGCGGGGAGAAGCCAGGAGGAGGGAGGGAGGAGGCGCCGCCACGGTGTGTGTGTGGGGGGGATGGAATGGCTCAAGGGGGGGAAATGGTGCAGTCCAAACGAACAGAATCCCCACATTGATCCACGGACAGTCCGCGGGCCGGATCCTGAAGGCAATTGGGCCTGATCCGGCCCGCGGACCTTAGTTTGCCGACCCCTGCTGTAGACAGTACTGAGCTACATGGATTAAATCGTCTGGTTCAGGATAAGGCAGCTTCCTATGTTTAAATCATCTTTTTTGCTGTGGACCATGAGGACTAGAATCTTCGAGTGTCTTTATGGGAAAGAACATGGCTGAGTGTTACAGAACCTGTGTTGCCTGCAGAAGGTCCCAGGTTCCATCTCCAGTAACATTCTCTCTCCCTCCATTCTCCAGGAAGGAGTTGAAGAAGATGCAGGAGCAAGACGAAGATGCGACTCTGACCCAGCTGGCGACGGCTTGGGTGAATCTCGCCCTGGTGGGTACCATATCGTGTATTCCTGTGCCAAGGGTGAAGCCAAGTCATTCTGTCATTTCTTTATTAAAACACCGGGAGATGGATATGGCCTAGCAACCCCCTCCCCCAAAAAAGGCTTCAAGATAGGGAATGGAGAGACTCCCCTGGGAAGAAAGTTTGCAGTGTTTTGGACTTTTTACTTCAGAGAAAAGGTGATAAAGAGAGGCATGGCAGAAGGGGACAAAATCACACACGGCATGAAGACCGTGGAGAGTGGAAGGTTTTCCTCCCTCTGTCATAACGCCAGAACTTGTGGTCATCCAGCAAAGCTGAACGTTGGAAGATCCAGGACAGACAAGAGGAAGTACCATTGTTAACCTGTGATACTCCCTTCCACAGGAGGCAGTGATCACCACCAACCTAGATGGCTTTTAAAAGAGGATTGGACAAATTCATGGAGGAGAAAGCTAGTGATGGTTCCTAGCCAGGGTGGCTCTGCTCTGCTCCCATGGCTGGAGGCAGTCGTGCGTCTGAATACCAGTTGCTGAAAGCCCCAGAGAGGGACGGTGCTCCTGTGATCTGGTCCTGCTTGCAGGTTTCCCATTTGGAGCATCCGGTTGGCTGCTGTGAGAACAGGGCGCTGGCCTCGGTGCGCTGTTCTCCTCTTCTTCGCCATGGCTAGGGAGCATCATGTCCAGGGGGAAAACAATGCTGTTGGGTTGTAAAGACTGCGGAGAGGATAATTGGGTGCACTCTTCCCACCTTGGATCAAATCTATGCTTCCAGGTGTCATAAGAAAGCTGCAGAGATAGCGCAGGATAGTGCGCACCCCGGAAATGATCTCTTTCAGCTTCTGCCTTCTGGAAGAAGGTCCAGGGTTATAAAGACTAGGACTAGCTGCCTGAGAAACAGTGTCTATCCAAATGCGATTTTGGTTTTAAACGCAGTGTAAGGTAGTCTCTATGGGAGTATATTGTATTTAATTATGGGGTATCAGAGTTTTTAGGGGGTTAACCAGGCTGGGATAGCTGGGATAGCAGGCTTGTTGGTTTTTGAATGTCTGGTGTAGATTTTTTTCAATTTCATTGTTCTGTATGGGACAATGACAATAAAGATTATCATATCGTAGAGGCCGCATGTAGCCCTCCAGGCCTCTCCCCTGGCCCTGCTTTACACCATCCTTGGAAGGTTTTGTTTATTTTATTTATGAAGGGTTATTGTTTTGTTGTTTTGGTTAAATTATTTACTTGTCTTTTATTCTGTGAATGGCCCTGCGATCTTTTGATGAAGGGCGGTATGTAAGTATAATAAATAGAAATAGTGAAAAAAATTGCCTGGCTGGAAATGTGTCATCAGAACCCTTGCTGGACAGAGTAGTAGAGTGAGGAGCATGTGCAAGAATGTGCCTGCCTTGCTCCACCCACCTTTAGCCCCGCCCACCACCGGCCTCTGGCTGGAAAACGGCTTGGGGTGGCATCTCCGCTTGTGACTCTCTCTCTCTGCAGGGCGGCGAGAAGTTGCAGGACGCCTATTACATCTTCCAGGAGATGTCTGAGAAGTGGTCGCCCACCCTCTTGCTCCTCAACGGCCAGGCCGCTTGCTACATGGGCCAGGGCAAGTGGGATGATGCCGAGGGGGTGCTCCAGGAGGCTCTGGACAAGGTGAGGGACCCTCTGAGATCCCCACCTGGGAGGTGGTCATTGCAGCAGTTGCTCTTCCCCATTGGAACTGGCAGGGTGGAAGCCAGGGGGACCCCAACGGCTGACGTGGCAAACCAGAGGCAGAGGCGACGCATTCCAGTTCTGGTCCTGTCCTCTGTTCAATGAGGACTAGAACATTGGGACTTACGAGGTTGTCTCACCCCATCAGCAGAGCTGCTCCTGTTACAGGTGCTACATAACACCTGCTCCACATTCAGGGTGGCAGCTCCTAAACTTTGGAACTCCCTACCAATTGAATTCAGGCAGGGAGACTCAGCCCTGTGTGGACTGCACCTGGCATCTTCTGCGGCCCAAGAGGTTTTGTGCCACCAGCTCAGGGGCAGATAATCACAAGCTAGAGGAATTATCAGCTGGCCTGGTGATGAGGTGTCCTCCCTTCTTAGAATAGCAGAATGGAAAGAAACCCCCCCTCAAGGGTCATCCCCCTGCAATGCAGGAATCTCGGCTAAAGCCCCCACCCCCAGGTGGCCTGCCAGTCTCTGCTTAAAAACCTCCAAGGAAGGAGAGTCTGCCACCCTCTGAGGGAGTTGAGCATCTCTTACCCCCAGAGAGTTGAGTCGGAAACTCCTTTCTTGCGATTTGAATCCCTCGGTTCAGGTTCTGCCCTCTGAAGCAGCAGAAGACAAGTGGTTCCTTCTCCTTTAGTTTTGACTTCTCCTCCCCCCGCCTTCTCCTCCTTTCCTACAGGACAGCAGCCATCCTGAAACCCTGATCAACTTTGTCGTCCTCTCGCAGCACTTGGGGAAGCCTCCAGAGGTGAGGGCCGCCTCCTCTTTATTTCTTTATTTAGGCCTGGCGGGGGGTGGGGCTCTGAAACCCACCAGACTCCAGCTCCCAGCATCCCGGCAGCGGTCGGGGATCCAGCCGCACCAGGAGGGATGCAGATGCTCCCCTTCCATTTCTGGAAACTAGCACCCCCTATGCCTGTTTCTCGCTTCATGGCACCTTCTGTGCTTCCCACCTGCTCCAAAATCTGTGCTTCCTGTACTTTCCAACTACAATCTGGGGTGGGGGAGACATTTGCACCAAGTGAAGCTTCCCAGCTGAGACCTTAGTGGGATTTCTTTTTTTTAAGACCTTGCATTAAAAAACATATAAAGTGAGAAGCTTCTGTCCCCAGCTCCTTGCCTTCTTCCCTCTCCACTGCCCTTCATCTAGGAAAATCAGTGCCGACCCCCATCTCCTCTCCTCCCTCCCTTTTTAAGGATATTCCCCTCCCCTAAATATTCGCTTGTGTTAATCTGGATTTCCTACACTTGGTGGAAAAAGACCAGAGGGTATTCTTTGGTTTCATGTTGGTGCTTATTACTGTTTTATTCTTATTCTTATTATTTGTTGTTTTTCTTTAATTTCATGAAATGATTGTGGAAAAACCTCAAAGTGATTTATAAAAAGGAAAACTTCCTAGTTGCTTGTTACTCAAAGCTCTCCAAGCGACCTGCAGCGGATTTTTTAATGTTACCATAAATAAGCATGCATTAGATTTAAAAGAACACATTTTTTATATTAAAAAACTTAAAACAGAGTTACATAATAAATAAAACTCTTTCCTCCCAGAGGGTGGATTTGCTTCTGAGTAGGATGCAGCTTCTGTCCAGCTCTTAAATTTTCACGAACATCAATAAAGTAATTTATGGAAAGTGTGGTTCCATGGTGTTCCTGGTGTGTGAAAGCCATGCTCCGTGGATTCTGCATGTTGAATAAAATGCAACCGTGGCGCTCCTCATCCCCCTACCATGTTCATGCTTTAAGGCAGTTAATTTGTCCATGAGCATCAAGCCCCAGGCTTGTAGAGCCAGCGTGGTGTAGTGGTTAAGAGCGGCAGTCTCGTAATCTGGTGAACCGGGTTCGCGTCTCCACTCCTCCACATGCATCTGCTGGGTGACCTTGGGCCAGTCACACTTCTCTGAAGTCTCTCAGCCCCACTCATCTCACAGAGTGTTTGTTGTGGGCGAGGAAGGGAAAGGAGAATGTTAGCCGCTTTGAGACTCCTTAAAGGGAGTGAAAGGCGGGATATTAAATCCAAACTCCTCCTCCTCCTCCTCCTCTTCTTCTTCTTCTTCTTCTTCTTCTTCTTCTTCTTCTTCTTCTTCTTCTTCTTCTATGTGAGACCTGAGCTTCAAAAAAGGTCTCTGCTGAGAGATCTCCACTGTCTGGCGATGACTAGCTTTGCAGCTGTTCTCAGGTGCATGATTAAATCTTGCTTTGTTAAGCTGTGAAACTCTGGAGAGATGTGTAGCTCTACCTCTCGGTCCATAGGGACAATTTGCTCCGTAACTGTAACAGCAGCAGGAATTTCTGCCAGCCCCCAAAGAGCAAAATGTCACAATCCCATCCCATGGAAAACCCCCCACCTGTGCCATTTTCTCCCCTCCTGACGACCCCTTTACTCTCCCTTTGTCTGACCCTCCGTCTTCTTCCTCCCTTTGAGGTTACCAACCGTTACCTGTCGCAGCTGAAAGATGCCCACCGACATCACCCCTTTATCAAGGAACACCAGACCAAGGTAAGAGGACCGTCTCTTCTCTTCTGTTCACCCAGCCCGGGGTGGGCTGGGGATCATAGGATCATAGAACTGTAGAGTTGGAAGGGACCCCAAGGGTCATCCAGTCCAACCCCTTGCAGTGCAGGAACCTCAGCTAAAGCCTCCCATGACAGATCCAAGGATGTAAGAACAAAGACAGAGCTTTTCAGCCCAGGGTTTCCTCAACTTGGTTCTCCAGCTATTGTTGGACTACGACTCCCACCATCCCTATTTAGCAGGACTAGTGGCCAGGGATGATGGGAACTGTAGTCTAGAAACAGCTGGGTACCCAAGTTGGGGAAACACTGTCTTGGAGTTCCCATAATTTTTTTTTAAGATGTTACTTTTAATGGGAAGTAAAGGGGGGGGTTTACATAATCTTTAGGGATGCAATAACTTGATTGTTCATCTATTTTCCCATGTTCTGAACATCTCTTCAAGAGCAAAATATTTTCACAATGCTTTTAAAACAGAAGAGAAGGCAAGTTACTGGAACATTACAGTACAGTCCTTTTTAAAGAAATACAGTGACAATCCCAGAGATTGAAACTATAAGATTACAAGCATTTAAGACACCTAGTTTTGAAATACTTGCAGATGATCAATTTCACTATGAACAAAATATAGGTAGATTGGAATCTGATTTCTTCATAAATACTTTCACAAGGATGGAGAGTTTACATTTTCTTCATTGGCAATAAAAAAGTGCTCAATTTACAAAAAGGGATACATCAAACCCAAAACATGCAATGGTTGTTCATTTTAAAAAACACCCATAAGTTAAGAGTTCCCACGAGAGCAGTGGGTGGGCAGGGCCCCCCTCACACATTCCCAAGGATGTGCTTCGGGAGACTTGATTCCATGCAGGGCATAAACTGTGGAACCCCCTTCGGCAGGAGGCAGCGACGGCCTCCAACCAGGATGGCTTCAAAGAGGATTAGACAAATTCATTGATGGCCACAATGGCCTGGCTCTGCCTCAACGGTGGGAGGCAGCCGTGCTCCTGGATCCCCGTAGCTGGAAGCTGCAGGAGTGGAGAGTTGCTCTTGTGCGCTCGTCCTACTGGCAGATTTCTGGTTTGGGTGTGGTTCACGCAGAGAGGCGAGCGACAGGCTCCTCTTTCGTGTCAGGCAATTCTGCTACCTCCAGTCACGTGGAGGTGAAAATTCTGGCCCCAAGCAGAGACTGGTTGAGAATGCCGGAATGGCACACTCTTGTCAGGTCCACGGCCATCTGTCAGCGATGCTTTAGCTAAGATTCCTGCCTAGCAGGAGGTTGGACTAGGTGAACCTCGGGGTCCCTTCCAGCTCTACATTTCTATGATTCTGGGTCTGTTTCAATCAAGGTTTCATCCCCTTGTAATTCTTCCTTCTGCTTCGTCTGTCTCTTTGCCTTGAAGGAGAATGACTTTGACCGCCTGGCTTTGCAGTATGCACCCAGCGCCTAGACTGGCCGGGTGCAAGGAAGCTCCGGATGGCAATGTCTTGCAGAGCAGGATTCTGTGTGCTGGGATCACCGCTTCTCCCGTACAGGTGAAACCTGAAACCGGTCCTCCCCACGCGAGTCCGCCATGGGGCAGCATCGAAATCCCAAAACATTTTTTGCCCTGTGCTATGCAGAAAAGAGATTTCTGCAGACTGTAGTTCGAAACATTCCCAATAAAACCTCTGCTAGATTTAACTACCTGGCTCTTTCTGATTGTGAAAACTTTAAGCCGCCTTGGACTAGGGCAGCCCAGGATCGTCAACATGGAGATGAACCTGGGGCTTTACAGCTGCCGCACTAAGCTGAAATCATTTCCCTGCTCCGGAGTTCACCTTCGTGGGAGCCCAGTGATATTGACAGGAGGTTTGTTTTGTGGCCCCCCAGACCAGAAGGACTTCACCTGGACGGTGCCCACTCCCCCAGGTCTGCTCCCCTCCTCGGCTCAACTCCAAGCCCCTGCTTGAGTACTTCCAGCTGGCCTATTTCCTGCCCAGGCAGAGAGAAGCGCGCTTTGGGAGGACAACCAACAAAACCTCTGGCTTTTGGTCTAGCCCAAATCTCTCTATATATACAATGGGGCCCTTTGCTGCTTTTGCCTGGGGCCTTACGCACACTGGCATGCAACCCCCCCAAGGTGGAAATTCAGATCATGTCGCCCTGAAAAGTTTTCCTTACACCCTGGGATAAAAGAACCATTTCCTGACCCTTGGGTTTTCCTTTACTTTTTATTTATTAGTAGATACCAAATGAAGTGTGTTTGGGGGGGGGGTCATTTTGAAGCTCTGGCAAAAATGGGGCACCCCTTTCAAGATTGGGGATTTTGCCTAGAGATTTTGTTTGGTTTTTTAAATAATAATATTTTATCCCTTTTCCGTATAGAAAGTTGCATTTATTACTCAACAATTGTATTCCAATTCAACAGAACTAGTGACTTCCCACTCGCCCAACATCAGTGTTTACATACAATGGCATTTTACAGTCCTGTCTTATCTAATTTCAGCCTAACATGTTTCTTAATATGTTCTGCTGTTTTCCTACTCTCCAAATACCGCTGTGGCTTTCACTTATGAGAAACAACTTTTTATATAGACTAGGAAAGTCTCCTTTAAAATATTCAAAATTTGTATCTCTTATCAGCGCTATCAATCTTCCCGTCTCTGCATGTTCTAAGATTTTGTTTGATTTTTTGAGTGATAGGGAGCCCATAATGCAGCGAGGTTTCAGAAGGACATTACTTGTTGTTTACTATTGTAACAATTGTTTTCTCAAAATTTATTTGCTGTACCATGAAAATAAATAAAAACAGTATGAAAAATGAAAAAGAAATAAGTAGTGTTGGGAAGGTGGCCTTCAATTCAATCAGATCTCACAAAAATCTTGATGCCTTTTTTTCCAGGGTAAGCTGCTCAAAAGACTCAAACCATGTTCTCGAGGCCTTGGGCAGCTCCTGCGCAAGAGTACAGCCAGCCAAGATGCATGAAATTTCATGGGGACAAAGGGCATTTTTCTGTTTCCTGCAAGACAGGAGCAGTTGAGAAGCTCCTTTCTGCCTTCCAGGGGGCAGTTAGAGCCCTTTAGCTCATGCCAAAAATTGCACTTGCTATTCAAAGTGGGAGGTAGGGCGAGCCCTTTGCCCTGCTGAGGTGAGCCCTTTGAGGGCCCTGCTACACAAGAGACCAGAATTGGAGGTGGTTCAGGATTTGAACCCAGAACCTTCCACTGCATTTCATGAAATTGAAACCTCTTGCTTGTCCCATGCAAGGTAGACTTGCTCTTTGTAGAAAGAATATGCCCAGGCCCTTCCATACCCTCCATCATTTCTCCGGTGAAAATGTGGATGTCCTATTGCATAATAATAATAATAATAATAATAATAATTTTACTAGTTGCCGCGGTCAGTCTGGGTAGCTTCCAACATATATGAAAACATAATAAAAATTTAAACATTAAAAAACTTCCCTTTACAGGGCTGCCTTCAGGTGTCTTCTAAAGGTTGTATAGTTACTCCTCGGCTCGGGGGTCGCATAACTCCAGGCCCTCCCACATTTCTCGGATGAAAATAGGGACGTCCCAAGGAAAAGCGGGACATTCCGGGATCAAATCAGAAACTGGAACAGCTTCTGTCAATCCAGGACTGTCCCTGTACCTGGGGAATCTTCGCAAAACTAGCTGAGGTTGCAAACCCAAATCTTCCTGTGGGGGACTTTCTCTCTTCCTCCCTCCTTCCTTGTGCTCTTTCAAAGCTGACTTTGAGGTGCAGGGGTTAGAGCTTGCCTTAATGCTGTGGCCCCCACTGCAGCGGGGGGAGGGGGGAAGCTACATTGTGTAAGGTGGTGGGGAGCTTTTTCAGCTCCCCCCGCTGTCAGGCTGCGGTGTCCTGTGCGGCACATGCAACATTTCTGAATGGGGCCCTTTGTCCTTCCCGGGGAAAGCTGTTCCCTGGCAGAACCCCTGTGGATGGGGAGGGGGGCCGAATGAAGGTCTCCTTTGTCTAGCAGTTGTGTAGGAGGGGAGAGAGCTTTTTTCAAAGAAAGGCAGGCTTGTGTGTGTGAGTGTGTGTGTCTCAGCGCCTCTAGACCCCTGCATGGGGGTTTGGAAACAATGGCCGGACTCTGAACGGCCTGAACAAAGGCGATAGGGCCGCTGACCCCATTCCATTCTTCTGTTTCTCCCTCTCCCCACACCCTGCATCACTCTGGGGGTTTGGCAGCAAGAAGTGGGGGCTATTTTCCTCCCCAGCTGGTTCTCTGGACGTGCTTTGAAACCTGGAAGAGGTTGGCCATCCTCTTCGCACAACAGCGTCAGCCCAACAGTTGTAGAATCAGAGGGTTGGAAGGGACCCCCAGTGGTCTTCTAGTCCAAGCCACGTCCAAAATGTGCCAGTTGATGGGCACTGCCATTCAAATGGTGTGTTTGTACTGTGTCTTGTGATGGGTTATGTGGGGTGGGGCTTACCCGCCCCCTCATATTTTATTCAAGTTGGCACCACTGCTTCCAACTCCTCCTCCCTCCCCATCACTTTTCCTCTAGTGCTGTGTCTCTTTAGAGTGTTGCTCCTGTGATTTGTAAACTGTTCTGGGTGCCTCTTTTGGGGGTGGGGGCCAAAGAGCCGCATGATAAAAAAGTTATACATAATAATAAAATAATGAACAAATGCAATGTCGGTCCTATGACTGTGAAACGTGGATCTGGATGACCAGGGTGTGAATGCAGAAGGGCCATAACAGAGGGGTTAGCACACCTGCTTGGCATGTAGAAGGGGCCAGTTTCGGTCTGCAGCATCGTTAGGTTGGCTGGGAGAGGCTGCCACCCAGTGTGGACAACGCTGAAGTAGGTGAAACTCAGTAGAAGGCAAGTTCCTGTGTTCTTCATTTATTTAGAACCACGAGGACTGCAAACTTAGTTTATTTTCAAGAAGAGGCCCATGGCACCTGCTTGGCACGCAGAAGGTCCTGGGTTCATTCCCTGACTGCATCTCCAGACCCCCGCTTGAAACCCTGGACAGCTGCTGCCAGTCAGTGTGGACAACACTGACCTCAGTCAACACCCCTGATCAATGCAAGGCAAACTAAACCCCCAGCTTAAGCCATGAAGTTCAGCGCAGGTTGCCTCTGGAGCAGTGGCTGTTATCTCAGCTTGACCCACCTCACAGGGTCATTGTGAATCTACAAATTGGGGTGGGGAGAAGCCATCCTGAGCTCCTGGGAGTAAATCTGGAGCATAAATGTGGTACCACTTTTGGATCGGAAAATGCAACTATATTATTTATATCATTAAATACAATAATATTATTATATCTAACAATACAGCTCACAAATTATAAGCAGTATCTGGGATTTTCCACCATAACAAATCCCAGATATATCAACAGTATATTTTATAAGTTACAGATAAGAAGGTAATTAGATATTTAGGATTTGATACCTACCGACAAAATATTTCACAGATTATAAAATGGATAGATATATTCCTCTGTCTTATAATTTATGAAATGTATTGTTAAAAGAGATCCAAGTCTTCTGTATATAATTTAGAAAATATTTTGTGGACAGATGAATATCAAATCCCAGATATCTATGGATAAAATATGTTGTTATTGCTAAATCCCAGGCATCTATTTTATAAATCATAGCTACTCCCAGATGCCTATCACCTGTCTGTCTTTTAAATGATTTTTAAATAAACATTGTTGAGAAGAGAGATCTGGGATTGGCTGACGACAATATTAGATGGAAGGTAGTATCTGGGAGGGGCTATAATTTGCAAAACTGATACCTGGGATTTGCTATCATTAACATATATTTTTTTGTTAAATCGTTTTTATTAAATCATCCAATTAACATATCAAATCATAATCCAATAGAAATAATTTGGGTGATAATTTGGTCTTTTTTATAGCTTTTTTTTATCATTAACCTTTTTTGACCCCCAGGTACCTGCGGAGCCCGCCCCCCCCCCCGCCGCCCCCTGCCGGCCGCTCCCCTTTCCCTCCCCGAGGCGGGCGCGCGCGCGGGGGCGTGTGCGCGCCGGGCCGGCCCTCCAGCTGCGCGCATCTGGCGCGGGCGCGGGCGCTGCGGCAGCCTTCTCGGTGGGGCCGGCGAGGAGGAGGATGGCGGCGGCGGCGGCGGCGCCGGGCTACGAGGCTCTGGTGCGGCGCGGCTACGCGAGCCTGTCCGGGGCGCTGCGGAGCTGCTCGGGCTGCGGCTGGGAGCTGGCCCGCCGGACCTGGGCCGAGAGCGCGCGGCTGGCCTGGAGCGAGGCGCTGCTCTGCCTCCTGGGCGCCGTCGGCTGGACCGTCGCCCGCCGCGCCGCCACCCGCCGCCTCTTTCGGGTTCGTGGCTCCGGAGGGCGCCTGGCAAGGGTTTGATTGGGGGGCAGGACCCGGCTTGGCACCGCGAGGCTGAAACCCGTCACTGACTCGTCTTTCTATGTGGGGAGGGGGAGAACGGGGCTTTGCACGGCAGGGGTTAAACCCCCCCTCGACTTATAGCCTTGCTTTGATGGGGTTAAACTGGCCTAATATTTTGGGCTGGGGGTGGCTTTCCAATGCATTCCAACGGTGAAATCGGTGCCTGCCTCGTTTCCCCTGTGTGGGTGGGGGAATTCACTTTGCATTGCAAATGTTACATTGGCTCTTGGCTGGGGGGGGGGGGCTGGTTTTGCATTGTAGGGGCTACACTGGTCCTTTCCTTGCATTTTTTGGCGTGGGGATGATATGGCTTTGTACCGCAAGGGTCAAATTGGCTATTGCACACTGTCTTATTTTGGTGAGGGGGTGGAGAATCTGATTTTGCACTTCAGGGCTGTAAAACTGGTCATTTAAAAAACCCCTCTTTTTGAGCAGCAGTGGGGAGTGAGATGGGTTTGCACTGCAGGGAGGGTTAAAAACCATCACCTTTGAGGAAGAATCTGGTGCGTGTGGTGGGAGAAATGAAATCCACGGTGGAAATGGGTCACTGCATTGCCTCCAGAAAAAGGAGCATCTCGTTTGTGCATTGATGGAGTGCGTAAAATTGGTCAGATCATTGCATGAGGGGAAACTAGGTTTGTACGTGTATGAGCAAGAGAGCGGGGGCGCACAACCAAGAAGTCTATTTTGCTGTGGTGGAATAAAACGGTCTTTGCATTATATGCAGAGAGGCAAGTGAAATGTGCCATCGTAATTTGGGGGGGGGTGCAGTGAGGGGCAAGTGAAAGTGTCTGGTCCTTTGCATTGCCAAGGGTGGGGAGGAATCAGTCATTGTGTTGTATTCTTGGGGTGACTCCATTTGGAACAGGGTGGCCTTGAAAATTGCGCTCTCTCTGTGTGTCAAAACATGTCGTCACATCTTCCTGCCGGGTGCGAAATCTGCATCCTTGACATGGCATTTTTTGCAGCAAAATGCGGCGTTGTCTGTGAGGTGGCGCTGGAACGGGGCCTCAAAGTCTTGTGGCCTGAAGCCTGTTGTTGGGTACCCATGGGGGGGGGGGAGGCAGGGATGCAAAATTTGCAGGGAACGAGAAGTCTTATTTGTTGTGAGTTGGCTAGCTCTTTAAAAAACCCAGTTTTAGGAGTGTGTGTTCAGATTCGAAGATGGTATCTGATGTTAGATCCATCCTCAGAGTAGACTGACCAAAGTGGATGGATGCGACTAACTCAGTGGGACTAGTGGGGGGGGGGGGCTCCGAAATATACACCTCATAAATGTGTGCATCTCTTGGGGGGGGGACAACTGGGGCATATAGGAATTTTCTTCTTCTTCTTCTTAAAGCTTTGCATGTTAGAATAATAGAATCACAGAATGGTAGAGTTGGAAAGGACCCCAAAGGTCATCCAGTCCAACCCCCTGCAATGAAGGAATCCCAGCTAAAGTATCCAGGACAGATGGCCAGTCCAACCTCTGCTTCAAAACCTCCCTGGAAAGAGAGTCCATCACCTCTTGTGAGAGTCTGTTCCACTGCTGAACGGCTCTTACTGTCATAAAGTTTTCCCGAATGTTTAGTTGGAATCTCCTTTCCTGTAACTTGAAGCCACTGGTTCGAGTCCTACCCTCCAGAGCAGGAGAAAACAAGCTTGCTTCCATGTGACAGCCCTTGAGATATAGGAAAATGGCTCTCCCATCTCCTCTTTTCCAGGCTAAACATCCCCAGCTCCTCATCAGGCTTGGTTTCCAGACCCCTGATCATCTTTGCTGCCCTCCTCTGCACATATTCAGGCATCTCAATATCCTTCTTAAATTGTGGTGCCCAGAATTGGACACATTATTCTGACAAAGGCAGAATAGAGTGGCACTATTCCTTCCCTTGACCTGGACACTAGACTTCTGTTGATGCAGCCTAGAATAGCATTAGCCTTTTTTGCTGCTGCATCACACTGTGGACTCATGTTAAGCTGGTGGTCCACTTAGACTTCTGTTGAAATACTTCTTTTATTTAAATGATATTTTATTAAATGTTCAAAAGTTTAACATATGCACTCCAATATGTAATAATTTTTCTTCAGTTTTGTCAACTTCCCACCCCATTTCAGTTGTGTTTTTATTTCTCCCCCTCTGCTGTGCCCTGTCTTCTATCTCTTACACTATAACAACAATAAAATAATTTATAATTCCTTCCGTTGCTCGTAGTTCAAATCCTGCTCATGAGTTCATCATACTATAGTATTTCTTTAGGTAATCGGAAAAGGCTTTGATTGCATGTTGAAAGCTTTCAAAAGTACTGGATACTCCCTAATGTTATCGTTGGTTTGGATTTTAGAAAGGAACATAGCTCAGTGGGTAGAGCAGGAGACTCTTAATCTCAGGGTTGTAGGTTTGAGCCCCACATAGGGCAAAAGATTCCTGCATTGCAGGGGGTTGGACTAGATGACCCTCAGGGTCCCTTCCAAATCTATGATTCTACGATCCCTCATGCTGAGTCAGGCTATCTAGCTCAGTATCTGATTATTAGTTGCTCTCTGGGGTTGAGGAGATGATGGGGATTGAACCTGGAACCTTCTGCTTTCAAAGCAGGTGTCCTAGTTCTGAGCTGCAGCCATTCCCTGTGAGTTACTGTCTTTAGATGCCAAGAGAGGATCTAGTCCTCATGGTTCAGCATAAAGGGCTAGTTTAAACAGGAATGTAGAGAGCTTCCTTACACTTACCAGTTAACCGTTGTGAGAACAGGATACTGGACTAGATTCCCCCACCCCTGACCTGATCCAACGGCTGCAGGACCCAGTCTTAGGTTCTTAAGAAGTTCAGAAGAGCCTGCTGGATCAGGCCAGCGACCCACCTGGTCCAGCATCCTGCCAATCAGACACCTGTGGGAATCCTGCAAGCAGAATCCGAGCTCCACAGCACTCAGCCGTCCTGTGCTTTGCAGTAAAAATTCAGAAGGCATTATCATTCCCAACTGCAAAGGTTGAGCAGATCCTTCATGGGGAGCAGCCATCAAAAGCCATTCCAGAATGCGGCTGCCAGACTGGTATCCTCACTTTTCACAGCTGTAGCCTGTAGGTGGTGCATGCTCTGGTTATCTCCCGCTTGGACTACTGCAATGCGCTCTCCGTGGGGCTACCTTGGAAGGTGACTCAGAAACTGCAACTCAGAATGAGGCAACTAGACTGGGGACTGGGACCATATAACTGGTCCTAAAGGATCTTCCCTGGCTCCCAGTATGTTTCCGAGCACAATTCAAAGTGTTGGTGCTGACCTTTAAAGGCCTAAACGGCCTCAGGCCAGTATACTTGAAGGAGTGTCTCCACCCCCATTGTCCATCCACTGAGGCTCCGAGGGCCTTCTGGCGGTTCCCTCCCTGCGAGAAGTGAGGTTACAAGGAACCAGGCAGAGGGCCTTCTCGGTAGTGGCACCTGCCCTGTGGAACGCCCTCCCAGCAGATGTCAAGGAAATAAACAACTACTGGTATCTGACGTTTAGAAGACACCTGAAGGCAGGGAATCTTTTTTGTATGTTGGAAGCTGCTCAGAGTGGCTGGGGCAACCCAGTCAGATGGACGGGGTACAAATAATAAAATGATTATTGTTGTTGTTATTCATGAATTAGCTCAATTACCTTTTAAAGCTATCCAAGCTGGTGGCTATTGGTGCCTCCAGTGGCAGTGAGTTCCATAGTTTAAACCATGCAAAGGACTTCCTTTTCTCATCAGAACCTTCATTGGATGGCCACGAGTTCTGGCATTTTGAGAGAGGGAGAAAATGTTACAATGATCAGACAACGGAGGGTGACTCTTAATACCAGTTGCTATGAAAGACAAAGGGTTCTTTTTAGTTCCTTATGATTCCTCCGTGGAGCCTCCATGGAGAGAGGCAGTCTAACTTAGAATGGGAAGAGGCTGCTGCTCTCACTGGTCTGCTGCTGTGAGGACAGGAGGCTGGACTTAGATGGGCCCCCCGGGTCTCATCCTGCACAGCTCTTCTGCTGTCTTTGGGAGTTGTAATTCAGCCACCTATGGAGCAAGCCAGATGTTGGGGAAGAGGAAAACTGCTGCTGGCTGGATTGGGGTTGGCTACTGCTGTGCCCTCTGGATGTTCCTGGACCCCAGCTCCTGCCAGCCCCCACCAGCCAGCATGCCCAGTGGTCAGGGATGGCGACAACAGGCCCTTCCCAGACAGTGTGTAGTGGTTAGAGCAGGGTTTCCCAAACCTGGCTCTCCAGCTGTTTTTGGACTACAACTCCCATCACCCCTAGCTAGCAGGACCTGTGGTCAGGGATGATGGGAATTGTAGTCCAAAAACAGCCAGAGACCCAAGTTTGGGAAACTCTGGGTTAGGGTTTCAGACCAGGACCTGGGAGACCAGGGTTCAACCCCACAATCAGCCGTGAAGTTCATTGGGTGCCTCTGCGGGGAGCAGTCCTTGCCTCTTGGCCTAGCCTGCATCTCAGGGGTGTCGTGAGGATAAAATGGGGGGGGGGACCGTGTATACCGCCCTCCCCGGGGATCCTTGGAGGAAGAAAGAGGGAAGCAACAACTGACAAGCTTGCAGTCAAGGGGAAACATTTTGAAACAACCCTTTGTTTGGGGATCTGGAATGTTCTCCTGCATGTTTCAAGGATCTGGGTTGAAACATTTTCTTCTTTTTATTGTTAAAAACAGCGGAAGGAAAAGGGTGGGGAGAGAAAAGACTGTGTGCAAATGCTTAAAAAAAGAAGTTAGGAAGCCCCAAGGCAGTATGGGGTGAGGAGGAAGCATCTGGCAGCCATTGGCTAAGACTTCCGTGATGTCACAGAAAGCGTGGGATGAGCCCCTGGCTGCCATTGTGCCTGCAGAGGAGTGGAGGTTGTCTATGGGTTGCGGAAGAGTCTGGTGCAAGGGGAGGAGATGGAGGCAAGTTGGTGTGCGTGCGTGCGTGCGGAAAACCAAAGTGTGCACAAGTTTTCACACTTATTGTGAAGCATATACAATAGTATTGTGTCACCTACACCTTTGGCTTTACAAAAGGACCTGCAAAGAGGTATAGGTGGGGATGTGGACTTGTAACTTTTAAGTTTATTCACCAAGCTGTGAATAGAAACTTGCCTGCTGGGGGGGGGGGGACTTTATTGCCTCACCATATTTGAGGAAGTCAGGAAAACAGCATTACATGGGACAAATTTGCATTAGGTGAAATGATTTGGCCATTACCTGAATGTCCATTTCTGCAAAGCACAGAGGTAGTTTTAAGTCTTGGCTTTCAGCTGCCTGTGGTTGAGATGGGACATAATATTCAGTTTCTACCAGTGGTGATTTTAATCTCCATGGGTGGAATTCAACACTCCGCCTGCTCAGAGTAGGCACAGTGAAATTAAGGAATATGCCTGTTAGGTCTGTTAATTTCAATAGCCCTACTCTGAGTAAAAGCCAGTTTTAATCCCACCCCTTGTTTCCAGATGTGCCCCTTTCTCACTTTTAAAAATGGAATCAAGTTTCTAGCTGTCATTGCAGGGCTGAATTTAAAGAACACCAGGTGAGGGCTTTGGGTTGATGAGTTTGCTCATCTCTGCTTGCCAAAATTCCCTCTTCTTAGCGGTTTTGCTACAATCAAGCAGTTAAGAAGAATAAAATAAATTGGGGAGGACTGCGGAATAGAGATGTCTAAACTGAGTAACAATCACACCCTTTGAAAACTCCCTTGATGCAACTACTAAAGATACAGCCACTCTGGCTTCTGTTGCCTCCAGTTTCTAATCACCTTCCCCAAATCTCACTGTGCTTGAGGACTAGAAAGTTGCCTCCCATTTTTTAAAAAAACTGCCTCCAAATTTTCCAATAAAAAATAGAGTTGTGATTCTTTGCTTTTCTATGCAGCCTGCGGAGAAAGAGAGAGAGAACCCTTCCATCTTTAAGGCTGCATCTGGGCTTTGTGTCACCAGGCTCATCGGTTTTGGGGAAGGTCACCTCTGCATGATACATGCAGTTGCGCTGAGATGACCAACAGCGCTTCCAGACACTGCAACTTGGCTTCAGCTTCTCCTCTCCTCCAGGGAAGCCGGATGGGAACATAGCAAAGTGAAATGGGCTCTCTCCCCATCTCTCAGCAAACTGCTGCCTCTTTCTGAAAGCTGCTCTTTCTCTCACCCCACCCTCCCCGACTGCACATCCGCTTTAGTTCAGGATCAGATCAGACTGTGGTAGTTTCAACCTCTCTGCGTAGGCTGCAGAGGAAACCACGAGGGGAGAGAAATTGTCAGCAAAAGTCGTGGCTTCTCGCAGCCATGACCTATCTCTGTCTCAGCAAATGGGTCTTTGATCTGCTGTGGCTTCCCCTGGGAGGGATCGTGGATCAGTGGGGTTTAAAACACGGGTAGGCAAACTAAGGTCTGGGGGCCGGATGTGGCCTAATCGTCTTCTAAATCAGTGTGGGAATCAGCGTGTTTTTACATGAGTAGAATGTGTCCTTTTATTTAAAATGCATCTCTGGGTTATTTGTGGGGCATAGGAATTCGCTCATTCCCCCCCCCCTCAAAAATACAGTCCAGCCCCCCCCCTCAAGGTCTGAGGGACAGTGGACCGGCCCCCTGTTGAAAAAGTTTGCTGGCCCCTGGTTTAGAAGCTGAGGTTGTCTTAAGAAGGCCAGGCCAGGAATGTCCCCTTCCCTGAATGTCTGGAGATTTGCTGCCGGTCAGTGTAGGTAATACTGAGTGAGATGGAGCAATGCCCTGACTCAGTCTAAGGCAGCTTCCTATGCCTAAATTAGCTATTTGAAAGGTCCATGAGGACTAGAACCTTAGCATGACTTTACAGGAAGGCCCATACTGTTGGCATTTGTCTGTCTCAAGAGACAACGCAGTGTGCCTCCAGGGTGAAGCCGAACCTCTGTGTGAGCAGCACCAAAGCAATCTGCCCTGGGTGCAAGCCTGGGCTGTGTGTCTGGAGGTCCTGGGCTGCCCAGATGACAAGACAACATTTTCGGCTTCACTGATGGGCTCCAAAGGAAAGCAGAGCAAGACATTTGGCACCTGCGTGGGTGGAGGAGTTTCTGCAAGGACTGCCTTAGGGATTCCACTCCAGATTTGTGGAGGGAGGTGGAATCCTGTGCCTTTTCTTCTCCCCAAGATAAACCTCAGTGGAGGTTGAGGACCACAGTTTCCCTTCTCCTAGGTGAGCTCCTTTCCCAGGCGGATGAGCTCCTGTGGGATTCTAGACAACAGAGAAATATCCTTCCCAACTGTGAGCAGGGCGGGGGGGGGGGGAGTGAAGACAAGAGACAACAATGAACCATAACGCTCTTTGCTGCTCCTGCTCAGGCTGCACAGAAAATGCATTTTGGTTCCTGAAATTCATTCTGATTGTGCAGATAAAATAAGATTCTACAGGGTGAGGTATCAGTGGGTGAAATTATTCCAGATCCAAGGATCCCCAGGCAAGCACCACCAGATGGCGGAGATGTCAGGCGCCATCCTGGAGCCCAGGCATCTTCACTTGGTCTCAAGTGGTTGAAACACTGGTTGAAAGAGACCACGAGGGTCATCTAGTCCAACCCCCGCAATGCAGGAATACGTTTGCCCAACACAGAACTCGAACCCGCGACCCCGAGATTAAGAGTCTCATGCTCTACCAATGCAGCTATCTTATGTTCTGGCAGTGATCTGATCTGTGGCAGGCAATGGAAAAAGAACCTGATCGGTGTGTCGTTGTGGCGGGCAAAGGTGTGATAAGGACCAGGGAGTGTAAAGTTAATCTGGGTTGCATTTTACACCGCAGTGTTGTGTGTTACCATCTGCCCTGCTCAGGCAGCCAGTCCTGTTAAAATGTCTTCTGCTCCAGCCAGGCAGCAGAAAATGCCTTCGTGCATTCATGTATTTCACTTGACTCTTCCAGGGTGACCGTCCTTGTCTGTGGAGGAGGAGGGTAACAATATTTAAAACAGCTCTGTTTAATTCAGCAAAGTACAAAGAAATTAGGTTTAAAAGTAATCAGGTTTCAATAGCTTGTGAGAATCAAGTGTCTGTGTGCTTTCCTTTTCCCTGACACCAAAAAAGACGTAAATGTGTGTGTTTCTGCATCTGTGGAGGGAAACCATTTTTAAAGCATAAAAGCAGCACTTTGGCCAAGATTGTGGTGGATTTGCAGAAAGATGTGGTTAATTACCTAATCTAGATTTGCTTATCACGACTAACATACAAGGGAGATTGCTGTCTTGCAGCAGGTTATGTATTTTTAGCTTCCGCCTTCTCCAGCTGCCTCTTAAACTGAATCAAAAATTTATTGTGTTATATATAGAATCATAGAACTGTAGAGTTGAAAGGGACCCTGGGGGTCATCTAGTCCAACTCCCTGCGATGCAGAAATAGGCAGCTGTCCCTTACGGGGATCAAATCTGCGACCTTGGCATTATCAGCTGTAACCAAACTGAGCTAGCCAGGCATTGCTATATATTTCTATCATTGCTATGTTAGTCACTGTGCATGTGTGTGTGTACATGTATTCCTCATTATTTTAATGCATTGAACACTGAAAAATAAATCACACTTCCCCCCTATACATTTTAAAATTAAATCAGCGTCTTCAGGTAATCTTTGCTGCAACCCTGTGAGATGGACGAGTATGGTTTGTGCCCATACTGCAGATGGGGAAGACTGAGGCCCAACGTGGGCTTGCTTCCAGATCTGGGGCTGCCTAGCAAGCTCACCTGCAGAGACAGGAACCCACCCCTTCCTATTGTATAGGGCTCCGTTGGTGTACCCAGGTGCTTTTTACGGATTTCCATAATCCTGGTCTTTGGCCCAAGGAAAAAGCAGTCTAGAGAGTGAGGAGAACAGGGGAGTGAAATGCAGCTGCCCATCCAGCTGTGGTGGAAGAGATCCCAAGGATCATCTAGTCCAACTCCCTGCAATTCAGGAAAATAAAGGGGAACAAGGTGTCATTTAAGGAGGCAAGGCCTGTGGGAGTTTGTGTTGAGGTCGGGAGATGTTTAGGGGGTGAAGTGAAATGAAGGGGGTGTCAGGAAATCTGGGCTCATATGAGGCCTTTTAGAAGAAAAAACCTTGGGTTGGGCTGGGGCTTCCCTGCCTCGCAGGGTTGTTGTGGAACTAAAACAGGAACATGTGGCGGGGGGGGTGTCATCCTTGAGCCCCCAGGGGAGGAAAGGTAAGACACAGAAATGCACTCGCAGTTGCTACTGATTATAAAAGGGTGACGTTTCTAGACCTCAAGAACTTAGGTGGCACCAGAACAGAAGCTCAAAGAGAGGGGTGGGAGACCTCTGAAAATTGAGGGTGGAGGAGAGAGAGAAAAACATAATTTGACACAGGCAGAGGGCTGTTTCCTCAGACGTGTTTCATATATTCCGATCCTTAATTGCAAAAAGTAACCTCCCAAGACTGGGCTTTCTCCTGCCCCCGGGGAGACAGCTGCACTGCAGCCTCGGGCATCAATAATTCCTCCTCCTCCTGCTCCTCGCTCTCATTTTTTAAAATAAGTATAGGGTAGGATACATGAATGACAGCAGTCTGGTCCCCTGGCTGCCATCCAGCTGCTGTTGCCAGGGCAACCAGCACAGGAAGACCTCTGTTGCTAGGGGCAACCGGGGACCGCACTTGGAAGAGGATGCCTTTGATGGTGGTGTCTGTCTCTTGCGTAAGAAGGCAGGCTTTGCAGGCGGAGGTCAGGCAGAGAACTTGCTCTGGGAGGGTTCACCACCACAGCCCCACTTACTGACATTGGACTGCCTTCTGGCTCACCTACATCCAAAATGAGCCAAAGCATGTGGTTTTTCTTTTTTTAAAGGGCCTGGCTGGACATCTAGCGTTTGGAGAGAAAGATAAGGGGGGGGGGAGAGAATAACGTCAAATAATTTCTCTCTCGCACAATTTGATGGAATAAGTCCTGCCTTCCCCCAAAGCAAAACTTGCTTAACATTAGGGCAAAATGTGTTTAACTGGGTTGCATCCAGTGATAGTCCTACTCAGAGCAGGCCCATTGAAATTAAAGGGTGTGTCGGCAGCAAGGGTATTATTGGCACAAAAATGGAAGCAAGAAGAATTACCGACGAAAGAAGAATGGCGGATGAAATTGATGGACTATGCAGAATTAGATAAATTAACAGGAAGGATTCGAAACCTGCGGAACCACAGATTCTTAGAAGACTGGAGTAAATATACGAACTATTTGAAAAGTAATAGTAATGAACAGATTAGTCTAGTAGGACTGCAAGAAGTTCTGGAAGGAGGACTATTTGAAATATTGCAAGAAAGGCTATGAGGAGAACTATTAGTTAATGATAATTAAGAGTAATAGAGAAATTAAGAAATACAGAATAAGTGATAAAGAATGGAGAATCATTAGAGGTATTGACAGAAGTCTAAAATATTGTATAAGATAAGAAGTTATGTTAGATGATTGTCAGAAATGATATATTAAAAAAACTAATAAAAATGTGTGTGTGTGTGTGTGTGTGTGTGTGTGTGTGTGTGTATATATATATATATATATATATATATATATATATATGAAATTAAAGGGTGTGTTGAACTTGGATCCAGTCATTTCAATGGGTTGTTCTCTAAGTGGAATTTCATAGAATCATAGAATGGTAGAGTTGGAAGGGACCCCCCAGGGTCATCTAGTCCAACCCCCTGCAATGCAGGAATCCCAGCTAAAGCATCCCTGACAGATGGACACCCAACCTCTGCTGGAAAACCTCCAAGGAAGGAGAGACCACCACCTTCTGAGGAGACCATAACCTCGCAGGAAGCCCCATTGATTCATTTGGGGCCTTTGCATCTGAGGATCCTGTGTAAAACTTGCCACTTCTAACTGGATGGATACAATGGAGAGTCTTGTGGCCCCTTGAAAGACTTACCAGACTGATGATGAGGAGTCCATCAACATTGGGGCTTTGGCTAGATGTTTTTTTGGGATCCCTTCCAACCCTGCAATTCTATTATTCTTTTTGGAAGGCTCCACAGTCTGGAGAAGGAAGCCAATCATTTACAACAAAATAGTATAATAAAAAAGGGAGAGGGTTTTTTGTTTATTATTACTAGCCAGACTTTTGTGTATGAAAAATAGCGGGAGGGGTGGGTTGTCTTTGTGGATTACTGATTTGAAGTCCATACCACGATACTGGTTTCATAATTTTTGACCTGGCAATATATCATGAATCAAGATGTGTGTGTGTGCTATGCAAAAATCACGATGCAGGCTCCATGCTTATTTCAGACATTGTGATATATTAATATATCGTGAAGTTTAGCTGGTGATATATTGCGATATTGAAAACCAGATATCGCCCAGCTTTAGTCCTGACTCTTCTGGCTTCATTGGGTGCCTGCGAGCGCATCGCCTGCTTCTTCTGCGCTTCCTGGGCGTCTTTGCAGAGCAGGAACCCCACCAGGGGCTCGTGCAACACAAGGGAGCCAGAAAAGCAGAGGGAAATTCGAGGAGGTGGAAACTGGAAAGAAAAAAAAACCTGACCGTGAAACAGAGGCCACAACCTCAGCAGCTTTTGAGACGGGCTCCCTGCTTGGGAATGCTATATTAAGACCTCAGCTGCTGGGGTGATCAGTTCACAGCCGGAGCAGAACAAGCCCTGCTGTGGCAAAATCAGGGATAGGAGGAACAGCTTACGTGCCCCCCCCCGCCGCCCGAAAAATAAATCAAACTGACCTGTGGCTCTCCAAATGTTGCTGGACTACAGTTTGCCCTGTCCATTGGGCATGCTGGCTGCGTTTGGAGCCTCAGCAATGTTTGGCGGGATTTTGGTTCCCCTGTCTCTGATCTGAGAAGAGGCCTTCCCCTTATCTCTGGAGGGAATCTCTTATCTCTTTGAAAGAGGGGCCTGCCTCCTTCCATAGCCTCCAACATTAATTTTCTCCAATGAAAATAGGGACGTCCTGGGGAAAAGCAGAACATTCTGGGATCAAATCAGAGACTGGGACGCCTTCTGTAAATTGCGGGTTCCCAGGGCCAGATTTAGGTTTGATGAGGCCCTAAGCTACGGAAGGTAATGGGGCCCGTTATATGTCCAGCTGTCCTTTGTCAACAACAAATTGTTGCTTTTTTGTGTTGAATATATGCTGTATGGTAATTTATGGACCTAATAGGTTCCTAACGAGTGATATTTTAGGGAGCAGACTGGCCCATGACTTACATCATAGGAGCCTACACAACACAAAACACTGTTGCTGTATGTAGGTTTTATTTGTTTTTTATCTTATACTGTATTGTGGAAATGTACATCCAGGTTTTTTCCTTTAAAATTTTTGGGGGCCCCCAAGAGAGTGGGGCCCTAAGCTAGAGCTTGTTTAGCTTATACATAAATCCAGCACTGCAGGTTCCCCATCATCTCTCTAGTGATATCTGGCATCTCTCTAGTGATATCTGCTAGCAGCTAGAGGGACGCAGGTGGCGCTGTGGTCTAAACTACTGAGCCCCTTAAGGTTGGCAGTTCAAATCCGTACAATGGGGTGAGCTCCCATTGCTCTGTCCCAGCTTCTGCCAACATAGCAGTTTGAAAGCACGTCAAAGTACAAGTAGATAAATAGGTACCGCTGAGGCGGGAAGGTAAACAGCATTTCCGTGCACTCTGGTTTCCGTCACGGTGTCCCGTTGTGCCAGAAGTGGTTTAGTCCTGCTGGGCACATGACCCGGAAAGCTGCAGACGAACACCGACTCCTTCAGTCTAAATGTGGAGATGAGCGCCGCACCCCATAGTTGAATTTGACTGGACTTAACTGCCTGGGGTCCTTTACCTTTACCGATACCTGGAGCGATAAGAGTGCCTCATCCCTGATGCAAAAAGAGGCATTTCCATCTCTCAGGAGGAAAGGCCTTTTCTAAACAGACTCATTCCTCCACCTCTTAGTTTCAGTAGGGAATGGGAAGGTTTTCAGCTGAGGTTGGGTGGCCATCCCTTGTGGATGCATTTGTTGAGATTCTTGCATTGCAGAAGGGTCGGCTGCAGCCCTGGACGCAGAATGGACCTGCGCCTCCGTGGACAGCTGTGAGTCCAAAATGACCCCCAGGCTGCGCACCTGATCCTTCAGGCGCAGTTACCCCATTCAGGACCAGGGAGTCGCCCCCCCCCCGTCCCCTAGAAGCAGCCCTTTTGTCTTGTCAGGATTCCACCTGACTCCATTAAGGGCCTGTCCTTTCTTCTCTCTGCCAGCCCTTTGCTGCGTGGTGCCAGCTGCCCCCCAAGGATGCTGCCAAGATGCCCGAGAGTGCCTGGAAGCTGGCTTTCTACACCCTCTCCTGGTCGTACGGCGCCTACCTGCTCTTCTTCGCTGGATACCCCTTTTTCCATGACCCTCCTTCCGTCTTTTATGGTACGGTAAGCAGCGCAGGTCGAGTCAAGATTAGGGCAGAGGCTTCCCTCTTGCAAAGCCTTTTCCCAGGGTAACTCGGGCCTGTGAACCTCTCTGTCCAACCCTTGAGACTCTTGCCAGGCCACCCCCTCACCTCACCCCCCCCGGGTGTTTTCGCCAGACTGGACGTAGAATCATAGTATTGGAGAGTTGGAAGGGACCCCCGAGGATCATCTAGTCCAGCTCCCTGCAATGCAGGAATATGCAGCTGTCCTCTGTGGAGATTAGGGCTGCCACCTTTGTCCTGGCAAAATACAGGACAGGGCGGGGTGCTTGGGGGGCGATATTGTTTTTATCTGGTGCTGAAGTGACTTCAGAGCAATCCATTACAATCTATTGCATACCCGCCAACATTAATTTTCTCCAATGAAAATTGGAACATCCTATTGTCCAGACCCTCCAACATTTTCCCGATGAAAATGGGGACGTCCTGAGGAAAAGTGGGACATTTCGGGATCAAATCAGAAACTGGTGCGGCTTCTGTAAATCTGGGACTGTCCCTGGAAAATAGGGGCACGGGGAGGGTCTGCTATCGCAGCCTAACACAATGGCCCCTCCAGAATTTGACACACACATTTGTGAATCTGTCTGTGCTTGGCTACCTAGAGCTTAAAAACGTGACCTTTCAAAGATGCATTTGGAGAGAACCCCTAATTTGGCAGAGAGAGAGAGAAGGCCTGGAATACAGGGCAAAACTGTATCAATACAGGACATAGCCTTTTATATTGAAATACGTGGCAATCCTGTATTGTATAGGACAGCTGCCAGTTGAACCTGCATGTCTCCTTCAACTCCAGTGATGCCCCTCTGCTTCCCTGGGTGGAGGATGGATGTTGCTGAGTCTCTCGCTCCGTGTGGGAAGAAACTTGGCAAAATTTACATTTGTTGCCCCGCCTGCTTTTGGCAGCAGGAACTGTGCCACTAAGCTATCACCCCTCCCCTAAAATTAAGACAGGGTGCTAGTCCTCAAGGTTATGAATGAAGAGCTGGTGTCATGGGAAGAAAGGAATCTGCCTCACAGCTGCTCTTCCTTCCTTCAGCCCAAGACTGTCTACACTGGCTGGCAGCAGCAGCTTCTCTGGGGTTTCCTTCCCCTACACAGAGATACCATTGAGGCTTAAACCAGGAACCTTCTGCACACAAAGCTCTGGTCCTTGAAAGAAAATAAAAGAGGGCCTCTTTTTTTTTTGCTAAATCATTTTTATTGATTTTCCAAATTTTAACAAATCAAAGCAAATTTAATACAATTTTTCCAAAAACTGGCCTTCCACATTCCGTCCTCAATGTGCCCGTAATTTCTTTTTGTTGCTGCATTATTTTCCTAGTTATTTCTGAGTCACCTTCCATTCTCTATAATTAATCTTATATTACAATTTTTTTTGTTGCTTTTAACTTTTTGTCCTGAACCATCAGCTGTCCACTTGCCAATTTCTGCACGTACAATATTTTAACATTTCCAATATCTACAAGGGAGGCTGTTCATCAAATTGTCAATCCACAATAGTTCAAAAATTATTATTTCTAAAATAAACTTCCCTTCCTTCTGCGTGGATGAAAACCTAATAGTTCACTTTCACTAGATGTTTTCCCTTCTTAACTGCGCATTGAGCTTTTTTTCCTTTGCCTTTTGCAAAATAGATAAGACGGGTGCCTGCATTTCTGCAGCTGCAAAATCACAGGTGTCTCTGGGGATAGGATGGGACTCAAAAGTGAATTAATCTAAATTCATTTTTTTGCAGCAATGCCCCCTTGTGGTCACAGCCCGGAATGTCCATTCAGGACGCCCACTAGCTAGCACGCTTTGTTCTTTCCTTGCTGGTATGACTGCAGGATTCTGGGGCATCCGGGGTTCCTGATGGGGGTGAGAGTGGATCTGGGGTGTGTGGCAACTCTGTCCCTTGAATTGCTTTGGCTCCCAGGAGGCTGACCAAGGGGAAGGCTCTCTTCTGCCTTGGTCGGACACCACCTGGAGTCCTGTGTCCAGCTCTGGGCACCGCAATTTAAGAAGGATGTTGACAAGACGGAATATGTGCAGAGGAGGGTGAAGGAGATGTTCAGGGGTCTGGAAACCAAGCCTGATGAGGAATGGTTGAAGCAACTGGGTATGTTTAGCCTGGGAAAGAGGAGACGGAGAGGAGACAGGAGAGCCATCTTCCAATAGCTCAAGGGCTGCCACATGGAAGATGGAGCAAGCTTGTTTTCTCCTGCTCTGGAGGGTAGGACTTGAACCCAGGGCTTCAAGTTACAAGAAAGGAGATTCTGACAGCAAAAACAGGAAAAACTTTCTGACAGTAAGAGCTATTCAAGAGTGGAATGATCTCCCTCAGGAGACTGTGGCCTCTCCTTCCTTGGAGGTTTTTAAGCAGAGGTTGGATGGCCATCTGTCAAGGATGCTTTAGCCGAGTTTCCTGCATTGCAGGGGGTTGGACTGGATGACCCTTGGGGTCCCTCCCAACTCTGCAGTTCTTTGATTGTATTATTCTTGCCCCCTGGCCCTGCTTGCAAGCTTCCTACAGCCGTTGGCTCAGTTGGTAGGGGGCTGTAGATGGAAAGCCAGAGTGTGAGATCAAATTCTCCATGGCAGCTAGAATAATAATTGCTTCCTGCACTGTGGGGGGTTGGGGGGTTGGGCTAGATGACCCTTGGGGGTCCCTTCTATGATTCACTGACCTTGTTTTCTGCCTTCTCCTTTGTGGCTTTCCAGGCTGGAAGAGGGGCATGGAGGTCCCGCCAGACATTGCCATGGCCTATTTGATGCAAGGCAGCTTCTACGGCCACTCCATCTACGCCACATTCTACATGGACGCCTGGCGCAGGGACTCGATCGTCATGCTCGTCCACCACGTGGTGGCCCTCATGCTCATCACCTTCTCTTACATGTTCAGGTGCGTCCCCATCCGCACATGCTCCCTCCCTCCTTGTTTCCTGCCTGGCTACACCTCTGCATGCACAAAGTCCTGGGTTCCAAACCAGACTAAGGTCCCTCTAGTTCAGCATTGCCTGCACTGATTGGCAGCAGCTCTCCAGGGTTTCAGACTTGGGGGTCGCACCCAGCCCTACCTGGAGATGCCGTTGGAGATTGAACCTTGGGTCCTCTGTGCTTAGAGCATGTTTAAGGCCACCAAACTCTGGTCCTTCCCCGCAGGATAAAGTAAGATTCTAGTCCTCAGTGTTTGAAATTAGCCAGGCTCCAAGCACATTTTGCACCTGGCTTCTGACCCCTTGCGACCAAGTGAAGATGCCTGGGGGCCAGGATGTGGAGGTGCATGCCTGGAGATCCTCGGATCTGGGCTGTTTTCACACACTAATACCCCTTTCTGTATAATTCTATCCATTATATTTTTTTCTGCACTATCAGAAAGAATCTCAGGAACCAAAACGCTTTCTTTGTGCAGCCTGAGCAGGAGCAGTCGGCATAAAGAAAAAGAGGTCTGAATGGGCCAATATATATGTGGACCATCCCTGGATCAAGGGACTTTTCCTCTTTAAGTTCTCAAAGCTCTTATCTTAGCTCAAGGTTGTCCTCTGAACTAGGCGGATGTTCAACTGGGAATCATTTGCAGTCAGTCCATCATTTGGAAAATAAGACTTGCCCCACAATGTCCACTAGACATTCCATTTTGGCGACTGTAACCTTGGTTTAAGGAGCCATTTGGTCCCTGGCTTATACACCTGAGTTTCCCCCACTGGTCCTCATCGTCTGAAATAGGAGCATAGGGTGCCGCATTGCACTAGTACAGACTACTTATAGGAATACAAAGCCTAGTAGAGGCTCTGTGGGGTCTTGGGCAGAGATGGGCCTTTCCCACCAGCTTGTTGGCACCCATCCATCTCGAGAGACAACGGAGTGCACCTCTGGTGGTGAAGTGAAACCGCTGGAGAATCACAGTGCACACTGTGGCTGAAGATACCCGTCCCTCTTCGTAACTGCTGAGGTGCTGCTGCAAAGTGACTGGGCAGCGTGTCTGGAGGTCCTGGTCTGCCCAGACAACAAGACCCCCCTCTTGGCCTCACTGACGGCGGGGGGGGGGGTCTTTAAAGATTTTCAGAGACTTTGAGACTAAAGATTTCATTTTGAACTTGCTATGGTTTGAAGGAATTCTATAAATTGTGTTGCCTAGACATTGTTGAGGTCCCGAGGGAAGCAGAGCAAGGCTCTTGGCACCAGCTTCTTCCATGTTCCAAATTCAAAAGTAGATTACTCACCAGAAAAAGGTGAGGTTCATTCTAGACACCACCGGCTACTTGGAGAGTCTCCAGGTGATTATTTGGAAATCAGCTGGTGCCAGCTTCAGTGTTGACTGGAGGTGTAATATTTCATCCGCAAAGCACTGTGGAGATTTTAGGAGGCCATGCACAAGTGACTGAGGATGCTGCCGCACCACATAATCTATGGCAGGACGTTCAGTGCCCTGGTTGCAGGGGTGGGACTAGATGACCCTTGGTTACCTTTCAACTCTATGATTCTTGTTTTGGGCAGCACTGTGGCTTTTGCAGACATCTCGGGCAGAAATTCTCCGTGCAGTATATGCACTTAAACTCTACATGCCGTTAATCGAACCCAGGTGTGCGTCAAGGGTTGTGCTGTGGCTCACCTGTGCTTGTATCCTCTCCTCCTGGCAACGTTGCCTTCAGGTACCACAATGTGGGAATCCTCGTCCTCTTCCTTCACGACATCAGCGACGTTCAGCTGGAGTTCACAAAGCTCAACGTCTACTTCAAATATCGGGGCGGGGTCTACCATCGTCTGAACGATTTGATCTCGAACGCCGGTTGCGTCTCCTTCAGCGTAAGCTGGTGAGTTTGGCTGCCCTCAAACTCTGTACATGTGCAGCCCATTCCAAGGGAGGGCGGTTCTGCAGACTCCACCCCCCTCAAAAAGAAAACCCAGCAGGAAGGCATGTTACAAATTATTGTTTGGTTGCGGCTAAAATATATCGCTGTGGTGCTGCAATCCCAGTATTTTGCTGTTCAGATAGACTGCTCTTGTGCGAAAAGTTTTCCAAAATTGTAAATTGCTTTGAGGTTATTATTATTTTTTACAATCAAACCATATATAGATTTTATTAAGTGAACACACAACAAGATTCTAGTCCTCCTAGACCAGTTCCCTTGTCCCCGCAGGTTCTGGTTCCGCTTGTACTGGTTCCCTCTCAAAGTGCTCTACGCCACCTGCCACACCAGCCTCCAGACTGTCCCGGACATCCCCTTCTACTTCTTTTTCAATGCTTTGCTCTTTGTCCTGACTCTGATGAACATCTACTGGTTTCTGGTGAGTAGCGAGCCTCACCCTCGCCTTGCCCTGCAGAAGTTGGGAACCTCCATCTGACAGGCCTCACGAGCCTCAGTTCTGTAGGAAAGGATTTAGATACTAGGAGAGGATATATTGTTTAGTTATTACCTTTCCTTGCTCACGTGAATGAAGTCAGCAGAGGACTGTCCTTTGCAGGATAAACTTGGAAGCTAAGGCAAGGTTGATTTAACCTTCTAGAAACAATAGTCCACGATGATTTGTTCGTCTTCCCCATCTAGCAACAAATGAAGATTGGCTTTTGAAAATGATGGAGTTCGTGCAACTGGCAAAATTAACAGCAAAGCAAAGATTAGAGATCAAAATGATGAAAAATGCCTTGAGAACTGAAATTTTTTGGGAGGGATTTAAAGAACTACTATAGTGAGATGACCAGGACTTGAAATATGAGTGACAGCACAAATTATTAAGATAAATATGTAAAATTATGTGTATTGAATAGTATAGGCAAAATATGCAGCATTTCAGGGTAAATATGAAAACCATGGACATGGAAGTCAACAGATAAAGTAATTTATGGATTATATTAAAATATGTAAAGATTTCTTTTATGTGAAAAATTAATAAATAAGATTTTTTAAAAAATAATCCAGGATGCTTTAAGGCAGACTGGATTTTGCCTGGTATTGACGTTTTTCTCCCCCTTAGAAATAACACCCACATACATTGCTTTGTGAAAAAGTAAAAGTTGGCTTTACTTACATAGTAAATGTGGGGTGCTCTCCCCAGAGGTTCACCTGGAGCCATCATTACATGTCTTTAGGTGCCAGGCAAAAACATTCCTCTTTACCCAGGCCAAGGCTATTCAATAATCTATTGCCTGAGAAAGTGTGGGGGAAGAGGACTGTTATCATAATGGCTATTTTATTATGTTTTTATCATGGGAGTGAAGGCCATCTTAGGCCCACGTCACCCCGGCTGGGATGAACCAGGTTCTCAGGAAAGTGGGGGGCTGGGTAATGTAGTGCAAAGCATCGTGGGGAGCGGGGAATGGGGTTCTTAATTTCAGGGTCATGAGTTCGAGCCCCATGTTGGGCAAAAGATTCCTGGATTGCAAGGGGTTGGGCTAGATGACCCTTGGGGTTCCCTTCCAACTCTACATTTCTATGATTGCCCCCTCTCCCTTCCTCTTTGCAGTACATCATCCTCTTCGTAGTGAAGGTCTTGCTGGGGCAAGTTCGGGAAGTGAACGACGTCCGGGAATATGATGTTGACGCAGCCTGCAAGAAGAGAGACCGGGAGTTTCACACCCCCAGCTGCTGGAAGGAAGGGTTAGTGTGCCAGGGAGGGAGGGAGGAAGAAAATCAAATTCGCACCAACATTCATTTCGCCTGGCTTCCCTGCTTCCGTCAGTGGACAGCCACGCTCTTCTGGAAACCCTGCGAGTGGAGTGCAAGAGCACCCGCCCTCTCCCAGATGTTTAGCTGCCCTCCCTGCAACACCCCCCCCCCCAGCATTCAGGGATAGTTTGCACCTGAATGTGGAGTTCCTTTGATACAACTATCCTCCACAAGAATCGTCTTGTTGGATGAAACCCTTCGCCGTGGGCATCATTCTGTTAGTTTGAAGCCCAGAAGTGGAGCATGTAAGCCACTCTGAGGTAGACTGTGTCTGGACGTGGCTGTTCCATTCAGCTCTTTGGCATTGAAAGGAGTGGGGGGTTTTTCCCAGGGGGAGGCAGGGCCAAGCCAGGGGAGCGAGGCGACCCACTATTAAGGGTTTGACAAATGCCTATTTTGTATCTGAATTTTAGTTTCAACTATTCCCAGTCGGGTTTTTGGAGCGTAAGCCTCGCAAAGTGGTTTGTAATTTTAGCACGCTGAGTAAATTGCAGCCACAGGATTATAAAGCTCATTGTTGTGACATGAATTTAAAACACACAAAAGCTGTACTAAAGCCTCTGGAAGGTTGCTATACAGAAGCATAGGTGTGTGTCCTTACATTAGTCTTACTCAGAGTAGTCCTATTGAAATGAACGGGCAGAAAAGGGCCCTTTCCCTCAAAGGGGTGGATTGGCTCCCCTATGAGGCAAGGTTGCAGCGTTTAGGGCTTTTCTATTCGAGAAAAGGTGAATAAGAGGCAGCTTGATATTAAAAAATGATGCATGGCATAGAGAAAGTTTATAGGCGAGAGGAAGAAAGACCTTTTTTCCTAACGCTACAGCTTGGGAGTAACTAATGAAGCTGAAGGCTGGGAGATTCAGCACCTAGTTAAACTATGGAACTCCTTGCCACGGGAGGCAGCATGACCACCAACCTGGCTGGCTTCAAAAGAGCATTGGATGAACTCACAGAGGAATGGCCACTAGCCAATAGGGTGATGCTCAGAGGGAGAAATCTTTCTGCATCCCAGATGCAGGAAGGGAGAGGGCTCTGGGGTTCCAATCCTGCTTGCCCATTTCCCACAACAGGCGCCTGGCTGGCTGCAGTGAGAAGAGGATGCTGGACCAGAGGGGCCCCCTGGGGCCTGATCCGGCAGGCTAGTCTTCCCTTCTTTCGACAGGGCTGACTTAGGCCCATTAATTCCAGGGGGTTCAGCTCTCTTGCTCTCTCTTCCACAGGAAACATTTGAAGAACGGACTCGTGAAAGACAAGCGGTTGTAGACGGCGCCCGCTGGATCTCTGCTGGCAAGGACCCCAGCTTGTTTGGCAACCCAGAGAAGAGCCCGCCCCCCACCCCTCCGTCTTGATACCTAGAGCTGTGGGGTGGGGAGGGGGAAGCGTCTGCAGGAAACTCACTGGTGGTTGCATTGTTCTTTAAAAAAGCTCTTGCATTTGGCCAGAGTTGGCGCTGGCGGTGAGGACTCCCACGGAGTGGATTGAAAGGGGGCCTTTTTCACAGACCTGGGGTGGATGCGGCATGCCCAGCGGAGAGACCCACCAAGGGAGCGGCAAAAGTCCCCCCTCCGCCAACGCCCCCTTGTAAAGACCAGCTCTGCCCTGCGCAGCCTTCTTTGGGGTGGCCCCTGAGAGGATGCAACAGCTTTCCCCACCCTCCTCGTTCTCCAGAGCCCTGACTGGTTAAGCGAAGCAAGTGGCCGATCAGATTGAGGGGGCGGGGAATCACACATGTGAATGGATTGACAGGAGGGGTGGTGGTGTTCACCTGGGGACGGCTATCCCACAATGCTCTGCGGCACTTTATTCCTCGCCTTGCAAGCGCGCACACCCCGCCTTTTTAAAATATATATTTTACTGGCTATCGTCAGCAGAAGGGGGAAAGGGTTTTGGACCTGTCTCAGGGCGGGTGTGCTTTTTTCCTGTTGTGTGCAAAGGAAGTATCCAAAACTACTGTAATTTTCCAAATTAGTTTCTGAAAACAGACTTTTAAAACATTCTGTTTGTAAGGGCAGAGGACGGGTGGGGGGAGATGATGGTGAAATCGGCTGCCTGTTTTTATATCTAAAATGTTTGTGATAAAAAACAGGGCGCCAGGAATGTGGGGAGACAGAGGGGCAGGGGCTGTGTCTGCCTGAGGGGGCTGCGTGGAGCCTCTGCCTTCAGAGTCTGTCTGTCTGCAAGGACTGTACCATAGCGCCCCACAAGGAAAAAGGAGTCTCTGTGAGCTGGGTGCTGCACCCAATGGGCAGAGGCAGCTGGGGAGCTTCCTTTCCTGCCAGGGCATGTGGGTGCCATTCAGACAGCCCAAAACTATTGGCGTCTGTCTTTCTATCCAGATGGATGGAGGTGACTCCCGTTTTGCATTCTCTCTCCTGCGAGGGAATACCTTGAAGCAGCACCAGCATGGACCTCCGATGAAGTTTGGGTATATAGAATGCAAGCTCTGGTGGCAGATTTATTATCTTCACCCTATCCAGCCTCCAAGGATCTCACGGCACCACAAGTGTTGCAGGTGAGCAGAGGTTCAAACGTGGTTCTGCCAGTCCCAGCGCCCTAATACAGCACCAGTTGATGTTTGTGGCTCACTTGGGCTCCCCAGAGCTGGCTTTGGGGCAGCGCCATCCATGTCACGCTATTAACCCCCCCCCAACCCTTAACCCCAGGGAAAAGCAGAGGAAGGTGGTAAGAATCCTTTGGGGGCGGAAAGCCCGAGTGGCAAATGCACGGCTGGCAGGGGACGGAATCACAGAGCTGGGACCGCAATGGCCATCTAGTCCAACCCCCTGCAATGCAGGAACCTAAGATTAAGAGTCCTCTGCTCTGCCAACACCTGCCCCAGAGTCGGAAACAGTTGCCCATCTCCAAGAGATCTCCCAGGAAAGGGTTGAGCTTAGAGCAGCTGCCTCACATGTGGAGGGTCCCCGGTTCAGCATCTCCGTGAAAGGACACCCCGGGTCTGGAAGCCTGGAGAGCTGCTGCCAATTTGTGTAGGCATTACTGAACTCCGCTGACCCATTGATGCAACAGAAGGCAGCTTATTGGCTTCCTATTTCAACCAGCTGTATATTCCATGAGGACCAGAATGACCTTAAACTGAATGACCACAGCTCAGCGGTAGATCGTTTGCTTTGCATTCAGTAAGGCCGGGGGTTCAGTCCCCGGCGTCGCCAGTTTGGGTTAGGAGAAACCCCCAGGCCTGGAACCTGGGACAGCTGCACACAGTCTTGATCTCATTTTATCCAATGGTCTGACGCTGTATAGGGCAGCTCCTGGTGCTCCTTGTATTCTGCTCACCCTGAGTTAGCAACAGTAGATGTGGAGGCAAATAATTGCTTGCTAAGGTGGAAGAAGACGCAGGAGGGAGAGGAATTTGTAATGCAGAAGGGGACATTTGTACCTGAAAGCACCCCTGGATCCAGAAGTTGCGTTTTCAGGGTGTTCACACACTACAGTGGTACTTCGGGTTACATACGCTGCAGGTTACATACGCTTCAGGTTACAGACTCTGCTAACCCAGAAATAGTAGCTCAGGTTCAGAACTTTGCTTCAGGATGAGAACAGAAATCGTGCTCCGGCGGCACGGCAGCAGCGGGAGGCCCCATTAGCTAAAGTGGTGCTTCAGGTTAAGAACAGTTTCAGGTTGAGAACAGACCTCTGGAACGAATTAAGTACTTAACCCGAGGTACCACTGTATATCCCACAAGTGTACAATCTTTGAACTTCTGTCTGTGGACACGTGTACATTTATCCACATGTATTGTTCAACAGAAATGCAGTCCGGTCGATTTAAACAAACCAACAAGCGTACACACTTCCAACACAAGTCGGGACGCTGGAGTCTGTGTGAACGAGCCCTTCTTTTGATAATTAAAACATCTGGGAAGCCATTGCATCCATTTGCCCTCTCAGCCCCCTTCTGCTTAGTGTTGCAGGATGAGGCCATAGTCACAGCAGCCTGCATATGTGTGCCAGGTTTAAAAAATCTGCCTCTCCCTTTCCCCTCCATGGAAAAATTGAAAGCACCAAGAACTGTAGAATTCCCCACTGCGGGGAGGGGGGGGGAGTTAGATTCCCTGACTTGCATAAATGATGAGAAGTTGAACAAGTTCTCTGATTTTTGGCGCTCACCTGGCAGTGTTTCCCAAACTTGGGTCTCCGGCTGTTTTGGGACTACAATTCCCATCATCCCTGACCACTGGTTCTGCTAGCTCGGGATGATGGGAGTTGTAGTCCCAAAAGAGCCAGAGACCCAAGTTTGGGAAACCCTGGTTTGGAGGTTCGTTCCTAGGGAAGAAGTGTGGAGCGTTGAACCCCTCCCTATCACTGGGAATCATATTTGGGGCACGGCTCCTGTTTCTGAGGATTCGGACATACCATTGCATCCATGAGGGCTAGCACCTTGGTTTCTCTAGTGAAAGCCGATGTTCTCTGCAAGCCACATGCCACAAACAATATGCTGCACTCACACACACCTGGTGTTCCTGCACTGTAATTTGTTTTGCACACTGTTTAGAGATTTTTAAACATTAAGCAAAAGTTTTGGAATACCTTAAATAAATTGTGTCCCGTAGTCGGACTGTGCTGGTGACACGGCTTGTTCCTTGACCAAATCTGTCCAAGGCCAAGAGAGAGACGATCCCTTGCCACTTGAGTGTTGTGCATGACTGTCCACAGCAGCCTGTGGACTTCTGGTGAGTCTTCCCTTGGAAGGAAAATAAGACGGGGGTGGATTTGTGAACCTCTAAATGTGGTTACTAAGAGCCCATTGAGCTCAACACCCTGTCCTCATGTTGCCACTCAGGTGCAACAGGGATGGGGAACTGGCGACTCTCCAGATGTTGGGACAAAAGAAGGTGGCACCCTGCCAGATATTTCCCTTAAAAAACCCCAAAGCCTGTATTTTTTAAAAAAATAAATGTTCAGACTTCAGGAACCACACCAGATTCTTCATCTGCAGTGGGTATCCTGGAAGAGTGTAATTAGCTTAAAAGATGTGAGGATGTGTTGTCAAGTTAAATTTGCCCCCATCTCCAGTGAGTGGGCAGAAATCTCCCCTTCTAAGGCTGCAATCCTAAAGGCTGGTTCAACACATTGCGGCTGACTTCTGAGTAAGTGGGGGAAGGTTTTTGGTCGCAACCGAGCGTGATGTCAAACAGGGATCACCAGAGAACCCAACAAGGCTTCAAATCCACTGGGCTTTCCGTAAAAGGGACTAGCATGCTTTGGGATCTGAGATGCTTCCGGGCAAAACAAGGTTGCAGCCAACTGAATCATTCTCAGAGCAGACCCATTGAAATGAATGGATGTGACTAAAGGGCCCCATTAACTTCAATGGGTTGCTCCTGGCGGTAGTCCTATTCAGAGTAGGCTCATTGAGGTTAGTGGCCCTAGTGTTAGTGGTTGTGTTCGTTAGCTTCAATGCTGGATAGTGGATGCAGCCCATTGATGTTAATGGGCCCAAATTAGTCGTGCCTATTCCTTTCTATGTGTCTACTCTTGAGTAAGTTAGAGGCAAGCTTTTTTTGGGGGGGGGGTCAAATCCCATCCAGGTGGATTATGTCTTCACACACACAAGGTTCCTGTTTGGTGCAAGGAGAGTCTTATGACAAAGCTCATTCCAGACTTCTAGGCCTGGTCCAGATCCATCCCTTGCACCCACGTTCACACTTCCTCCCCTGCTCTTTTATGACTTGTGGCTTTGCTTCAGAAAGGTGTTTGTCTGTGAGAGAGGGATCTGAGGCACTGTGTTTGTTTCTGTGTTAATTTAAATGCCAACTCTCTTGTGGCGGAATCCTCATTAAAAGAAGGAGAAATCGCATTTGTCGTAAGAGCTGTTTATTACCTTTCTAGCTGCTTAAAGTTGAGTGTAGAGTTCTGTATTCCTGAGTTGGGATTTCTGCTGCTGCTTGACATGTTTAAAAGGGGACAAGATGGGGGAGAGACACAGCTGTCAACCTTCCCTTTTTTGTGGGAAATTCCCTTATTCCAGCGCTGTTTCCCGGGTTGTTAGATATCCCGTGAGGCTGCTGATCCCTTATTTTCAAATCTGAAAGTTGACAGCTATGGGGAGAGAGCTGCATCTCAACTGAGAAGGAGAACCAAGGTTGCAAGATAACAGGTTGATAACAATTTGATTTGTCACTATTTATTTATTGCATTTATATTTATATTCCAGTTTTTTTGCTCCAAGAGCTCAAGGTGACACAGGGGTCTCTCCCCTCCCCACATTCCTTTAATCCCCACACAGCCCTGTGAGGTAGGACCAGGTCGCCCAGTGAGCTTCATGGCAGAGTGGGGGATTCCAACCCTGGTCTCTCCCAGGCGCCAGCCTGGCACTCTAACCACTACACCACACTGCCTCTCTCCACCTTTCAGTGGGTTCCCAGGATACCTTACAAAACATTAAAGATTATAGGTAAGCACACTGAAACAAAAAACACCCAAAGCCCCCTCCATGACTACAGGGGGGGATTTGGGGGGAATCCCTCCAGTGGTTGGGCAGCCATCAGTCATGGGGTTGGACTAGATGACCCTCAGGTTCCTTCCAACTCTACAAGTCTATGATCCTGTGCAATCTCACCTGGGGTCTCTCAACCTAGCCCACCTCGCAGGGTTGTTGTGAATCTTTAAAAACAACTGCATCCATATATGGAGGATAAATTGAGTAGAATAAAAGCAGCAAAACTCTTTCGCGCACCCAGGACTGAACTCACCTGGCTTGCCCTGGGCGGGGAAGGGTTAACCAGATGCGCCCATCACCCGGACCCTCAAGTCGGGTCCTTACCCAGAAGCCCCCTCGGCCCCTGGCCAGCTGTCCAAAGATCAAAGGGCCCCATTAGCCAATCAACCCCCATCAGCTGCCTCTTCCTCCGCTCCCCCCCCCAAGCAAGTATTCAGATCCCTTTTCTTGCCCCAGTTCTCCCCATCGCCAGCAAAGGGGGTCTGAAAACCCAGGCGTCTCCAAAGAAGAGAAGAGAACAGAATGGCGCATTCGCACTATTTCCAAATAATTCTGGGAGCAGCTGGGATGCTCTGGGTCTTGCTGGTCGGAGGGATGCATTTGCAAAGGCAGGAAAGTTTGGTGTTGAAATCTCTGGGGCTCACGACCAGGCCCAGCCCCAGATCCCCCCCTCCCGTGCCCCATCTGCTCTGGAAGATGTTCCACAAGAGAGCCAGCCTCTCTCCAGCTTCCCAGGAAGGGAGGACGCCTTGCTGGGTGGAAGAATTCAGGGTTCCTGGCAATATCATCCGAGTCTTCCCAGACCAAGGTACGTTGTTGGAAAGGTTTTGGGAGCTCTGTTGAATTGATGGGTTTTCTGGTTTGAGATGGCCATGATTTTCTCCCTGAGGTTAGAAGAGGTGCAATCCTGCACAGGTCTACTCAGAAGCAAGTCCCACTGAGGTCATTTCATAGCTTGCTTTTCTTCACCCAATAAAACCAGAAATGGATTCTGCATCCCCTAAATTCTCCTAAAATTCATAAAATCAGGCCAGTTTGGGGAATAAAAGCAATGTCAGTCCTACTCAGAGTAGACACGTTGAAATTATTGGGCATGGCTAACCGAGGCTCATTGGGTCTATTCTGAGTAGAACTTAGTTCACCAGAGAGCATAGTCCCAAGTCCAGGACAAAAACAAACTTTGTTTTGATTGATTTAGGGTTGTTGCTTTTTAAATAACTACTCATCAGGCCAGAGGTGTTGAAAGTAGTCTGCAATTATTATAAAAGCTGCGCTTTGTCTCAGGCTTGACTCAAGGGGTTGGACTAGATGATCCTCAGGACCCCTTCCTGCCCTACAGTTCTAGGATTCTATGAAATCACACTAAGAACATCGCAGCTGATCATTCCTCTGTGGTATTTCTACAGTTATTCCCTTTCCTTATTTCCCCCCTGGGGATTTTTTAAAAAAGCATTTTTACTGCATTCTGTACATCACCTTCAGACCCCTGTGTGGAAAGTGATTAACAAAGAAAGATAAATAAATTAGCATGAGTTTGGATTGGGCAATATTATAAATAAAGACTCATAAGAAAACAATAGCCAGCTGTTCACAATATGTTCAGTTTCATAAGCACAACCTTAAAATAAAGAGAGATTCCTCCCCCCCCCCAGGCTTTACAAACCCCTTTGATCTTTGCCCTTTATCTCTCACAACCCCACAGGTAATGGCATCAAATTTTTAGCCCAGGATTCTTGAGATGGTTGTATTAACACTTGTAATGGGCTGGAAGTTTGATGTCCTGATTTGTGAGCTAAATCAGGATAAAGGATGATCAGTGCATTATAAGTGTTCATAGCATCGTGGAGATGGAAGGGACCCCAAAGGTCATGTAGCTCAACCCCCTGCAATGCAGGAATCTCAGCTAAAGAGTCCATGACAGATGACCATCAAAAGGGATGGCCTCTTCCATGTGACAGCCCTTGAGATATTGGAAGATGGCTATCTCCTGTTCGCCAGGCTAAACCTCCCCAACTCCCTCAACCATTCCTCATCAGGCTTGGTTTCCAGACCCTTGGTCATCTTAGTTGTCCTCCTCTGCACATATTCCATCTTGTCAATATCCTTCCTAAATTGTGGTGCCCAGAACTGGACACAGGATTCCAGGTGTGGTCTGACCAAGGCAGAACAGAGCAGTACTTTTACTTCCCTTTACCAGGACATTAGACTGCTGTTGATGTAGCCTTGAATAGCATTAATTTTTTTGTTGCTGCTGCTGCTGCTGCATCACCCTGTGGACTCATGTTCAGCTTGTGGTCCACCAAGACCCAGAGATCCTTTCCCCATGTCCTGCTAGGAAGCTCGGTTTGCCCCATCTTATATTTGTGCAGCTGGGTATTCCTGCCTAAGTGCAGAACCTGACACTTAATATCCAGTTTATCACTGATTAATTTTTCTCCACTATTCCACCTTCCCATTTTCTCCTTTATATCCCTATTTTACACACACACAATACCTGCCAACTTAGATTTCACCTCATGCCTAATATGAAAGTGTGCTAGAGTCCATGAAAAGCTTATTCCCTTACAAATCTGATAGCCTTCAAAGTGATCTTTGCGTATTTTGGTGCGTATTTTGTGTATGAGGCTAGTTGGAATCCTACACAAACTTAAACTGGAAGTCCAGCTGAACTCAGCGGAGCTTACTTATGAGTAGACATACAAAGGATTAAATCCCCCTGGGCCCAGTTGAGCTTACTTCCAAGTAAATTTTCTTATGGGATAGTGGCCTGGGGTTTGCCACAAGTTCTACTCAGAGTAGAGCAATAGACATGCTAATAGGCTCAATTAAGTTCTACTAAGAGCAAATCTATGCAGCCCAGTGAGCTTAGGTTAATCATGCCCATTAATTTCAATTATCAGTGCAACTCATATTGGATTTAACCCTTTGTTTCCTCTTAACCATTCCCCCTTCCTAATTGGTTACTTTATTAACTGGCTAATCAATTAATCTCTGTCTTTTAAATAGCTTAACTTGTTGACAAATTACTATTTTCTTGTGTGTTCATTTACTGTTCTGTTTATGTGCTTATTCATAAAATGCAAGCCTGATTTAAGCACATACATTTATAGTATATATATAAGAAGTCAGGCATGATAAACTGCAAAGCTGAAATGGTCCCCCCCCCCCCCCAGTCTTACTGAAGGAAAACTGCTCCAACTTTGCAGATCGTTTGTATGCAAAAATAAAAAGGGCTTTGCTGGTGGCTGGGAAATCCTTCTTCCCCGCCAGCATTTGACCATCTTTAGCAGAAGCTGCTCTGTGACCAGATGCCTTGAAGGCCTGCTCTTCTCACCTCCTTTCCTCCATCCACTGCAGAAACCAGAGCCTTGGCCTCTTCCCCCATTCCTACACCTTGGTGAGACTTCTCACAGCCGGGCGATAATGGGCCTTCTCAACGCCTGTGAACTCAACTGTTCTTAAAGATATGTAGCTTTGGATGTTTGGCTCTGCTCACTTGGGTGCCACAGATGTTTCTTGGTGTGAACAGGCACATCAGAACATCTGAAGAGCCTGCAGGATCAGGCCAATGGACCATCTAGTCCAGAGTGGGAGGGAGGCAGCCATGTGTCTGAACACCAATATATACAGTGAAATGGGTTTTGATACTCTTAGTATCAAACCCACTTGGGCGGTATTTATTTATTTTTATTTAATGCCTTATATATTCCTGCCTTTTTCCTCCAAGGAGCTTGAGGTCTCTTTCCCCCTCCTCATTTAATCCCCCACAACAACCCCGGGAGATGGGTTAGGCTAGGAGAGACCTTCAAGGCCACGCTCGGGGAGCTTTGAGGCCAAGGGGGAATTTGAACCCTGGTCTCTCTGAGGTCCTAGTCTGATGCTCTAACCACGACACCACTGGCTCTCCCTGCGCCATGCAATAGGGCTGTGTCAGGGACTGGCTGGACACAGAGGAATGGTGGGAGGAACCAGCTGGGGGACCCTCAAGGGAAAAAGGTTCAGAGCCCAGGGAGTGGTGGTTATATGTCTGGGAAAACCTGGATATGTCCTCTTTTTTTGGGGGGTCAACATGTCCCCCCTGGCTAATTTTTACATGTCAAGGGAAATGTCTGGTTTGGTTTTTTTTAGTTATTTTCAGAAGGGGTTTGGGGGGTGCACACGCATGTTTGGGAGGGTGCTGTGACCCAGAAGCAGAAGGGCCATGGCGGAGTGAGGCTGTTGCAGCAAAGATCAGGTAGGAGCTGGGGTCCTGCCTCCGCTTGGGCTGCTGTGCAGGTGGCAGCCGCTGCCAGCCCAAGCTGGGGAAAGAGGTATGTGGCCACAGTGGCTGTAGCCCCTGCACCAGCTCAGGCTGACCTGTTCTTCAGGACATAGCAACCCTAGTGGTGGTGGGACAATGTTGAGCGGACAGAGGGAGAAGACTGGGAACAGATGTTGTCGGAAGAGGACAGGGCTTAGTGGGCTGGGAGAGTCTGTGGCAGAGAGCAGTCCAGACTCAGAGGCAGGAGCTGAAGCAGGAGAGGAGGGAGGCCAGGAGGCAGAGAGGGGAAGAGCCACGGGGGTCTCCCCCTCCTGCTGCGAGAAGCTCCCCTCCCCGCTGGTCTCCCAGAACCAGGAGAAGCATGAAAAGGGCGGAGGAGAGGTTGGCTGCACGCAGGCCCAGTCTCAGATTGTTTGAGGAAAACCCTGGAGACAGCTGTGGGGAGGAGGGACCTTTCGGTCTCAACAACTGATTTTCATGGAGTAAAACCACCAGGAATGGGTTGCTGTACTCATTAGGCCTAATACTCCTGTGCAGATCCTGTTTTTGCTAATAAGGAGTACACAGTGTGATTTACCGCTGGCTTGCTCTTGTCAAGCTGGTCCTTGCCTCAGCGTTGTTCCTCCTCTCCTAGGCAAATTCATCCACAGCGACAAGCCACGGAGTTGGCTGTGCCTCCAGAAGCGGCTGTACTTCAATTTCTCCACCCTGGACAAAGGGGAGCAGGTGACGATGGCGCAGCTGCAGATCCGTTTCCGCCACAACCAGTACCAGGTCGCCAGTCCGGGCCACCCTTTGGAGCTGAGCCTGTACCAGGCCTCCCAGGCAGCTCTGCGAGGGATGTCCTCGCACGCCTACAGCCGGAAGCTCTTGGCGGAGCAAAGCTTCATCCATCTCCACAAGTCCTTCGTCTTCAACCTGACCGAGGCAGCAAAGGTGTGGCAAAACCCTGCCCGGAACCTGGGCTTGCTGCTTGAAATCGCCGGCGGGAAGCTGTGCTCCGGTGCAGATTCCTTCCTTGACACCTCCCTCCTTGTGGTCTCCCTGGCGCACAGTCAGTGCAGGAGAACCCGGAGGCGGCGGAGCACCTACTACGTCCCGACGGCCGCCAGCAACGTCTGCAAGCCGCGACGGCTGTACATCAGCTTCCGCGACGTTGGCTGGGAAGACTGGATCATCGCCCCCCAGGGTTACCTGGCGAACTACTGCCTGGGCGAGTGCCCCTTCCCACTGGCCGAAGACCTCAACAGCACCAACCACGCCATTCTGCAGACAGTGGTGCACTCCCTCGACCCCGAAGGGACCCCCCAGCCCTGCTGCGTCCCTGTCCGCCTCTCGCCCATCTCCATCTTGTATTACGACAACGACGACAACGTTGTGCTGAGGCACTATGAGGACATGGTGGTGGACGAATGCGGGTGCCGGTAAAGGGGGTGGGGTGTTCCCTGGCGTGGCTTTGTTGCGGTGGGGCGCTCGCGCAGAGGGGCGTTGGCCAGCCTCTCCCTGCTGGAGCTCTGCATCGAGAGCCAGATATCCTGCATTCATGGCCCCTTGGCTTTAGATGTGGAGTAGCGCTCGCTTAAACAGAGTTGCATTTTATTTTCTGCACCAAAGCAAAGACTGCACATGGGTTTTTAACACTACCTAATCGCTTCCAGATTGTTTTCCTAGGGTGGAACTCTATTGTAAAAGTTTTAATTCTAATAGTGAACGACATGAAGAAATCTGAAGTTGTTGGGGATTTTTAAAAAGAAATGTATTAATAGCTTCATGGGGGTTGGGGGTCTTCATTTTTTGCCGGCGTGGTTTTGGTGAAGGAATTTTAAAAGGGAATTGCAATTTGTCATTAAAGCAGAACAAAAGGTGATGATTGGGGTCCCTTTAATCAATGGGGGTTTAAGAGCTGCAAATGGAGAGTGATATACAAAAAACAACAACAAAGGCTGCATGCCTATGTGATTTTGGTCAGTTTCCACCTGGAGAACAAATGCTAGCTTGCTGGCTGAAGGTTACTGAAGTAGCAGGTGGGGAGAGCTATCTTAATGGGGGAACCACCTTCTAGGTTAGGGGTCGGGGACTTGTGGCCTGGACTGCAGTTCCCATCACTGCTGGCATTTGGCCACCTTCACATAGAATCATAAAACTGTAGTGCTGGGAAGGACCCCAAGGGTCATCTAGTCCAACCCACTGCAAATGCAGGAATCTTTTGACCAACATGGGGCTCGAACCCATGACCCTGAGATTGTGAGTCTTATGCTCTGATTGAGCCATTCCAGTGTCATCATACCAATATATACTTCATGGGTAAAAGAGGGGAGGGTAATAGATGAGGTCTCCCAACAGCTCCCAGCATTCTTAAGCAAACTACAGTTCCCAGAATTATTTGGGGAAATCCATGATAGTTTATAGTAAAGGTAAAGGGATCCCTGACCATTAGGTCCATTCGCGGATGACGGGGGCTGTAGCGCTCATCTCGCTTTACTGGCCAAGGGAGCTTCCCAAGTACAGCTTCCGGGTCATGTGGCCAGTGTGACTAAGCCGCTTCTGGCGAACCAGAGCAGCGCATGGAAACGCCGTTTACCTTCCCGCTGGAGCGGTACCCATTTATCTACTTGCACTCTGGCATGCTTTCAAACTGCTAGGTTAGCAGGAGCAGGGACAGAGCAATGGGAGCTCACCCCATCGCGGGGATTCGAACCGCCGAACTTCTGATCGGCAAGTCCTAGGCTCTGTGGTTTAACCCACAGCGCCGCCCACGTCCATGATAGTTTATAGAGCACTTTAAATGTATGGTTGATGGGAGCTAGTGCCCCAATATCTGGAATGTCACAGGAAACCCCAGCACATCTGAAGGCTATTTTGGTAACGTATCACATTGCAGAGTTGAGCTAGATGACGCTTGGGCAGTGTTACAACATTTAGAAGACATCTGAAGGGAAGTTTTTAATGTTTAATAGGTTATTGTATTTTAGTGTTTTATTGGAAGCCACCCAGAGTGGCTGGAGAAACCCAGCCAGGTGCCAAATGGTTCCTTAAACCAAGGTTAGTCACCAAAACAAAACATCCAGTTGCTGTTTTGGGGCAAGACAGTTCTAAAGCCTTACTTTTCAAACGATGTACTGACGGATGAATTCTCAGTTAAACTTCTGGCTAGTTCAGATGACTACCTTGAGCTAGGTTAAGAGCTTTGAGAACTGAAAGAAAAGTCACTTCATCCAGAGACAGTCTACATATACACTGGCCTATTCCAGCCCCTTTTTCTTAGTGGTGACACAGGAATATTCTTCACAACTGTGAGCAGGGCAGTGAGGTGAGGTAAGTGAAGACAAGTGACGATTAACTATCGTCATTCACTGCTCCTGCTCAGGCTGCACAGAAAAAGTGTTTTGGTTCTTGAAATTTATTCTGACTGTGCAGATAAAATAGATTCTACAGGATGGAGTATTAGTGTGTGAAAACGGTCCAGATCCAAGGATCCCCAGGCAGGCACCTCCAGATGGAGATATCAGGTGCCATCCTGGCATCTTCACTTGGTCGCAGTGGCCAAAATGTGCCTGGCACCTGGCTAATTTCAAGCACTGCCTTGGGGTCCTTTCCAACTCTACAATTCTATGTAATTAATTTATTAACCATTTGTTACATTTATCCACTGCCTTTTCCTCAAAGGAGCTCAAGGTGGCACGCATGGTTCTGCCTGCTTCATTTAATCCCCACATCCTTGGAGGTAGCTGAGAGGGGGCGACTGGCTCCCAAGGTCACCCAATGAGATTTTATGGCAGAGAGAGGATTCAAACCCTGCTCTATGTCCAATGCAAACGCTCTAACCACTACACAACACGGGTTAATTAGGCTTGCCTAGTTTTGCATGGGAACCATCACCTCTTGGGGCTCTAAGGGATTGGAGGGCATCCTATTTTGAATACAATAATCTGTATTTTTTTATACAAGGCGAGTCCTTTAAAAGAGGCCCCGTGGATACAGAGTACACATGTTCCACAGGGCCTCTTTTAAAAGACTCACCCAGTTTTATCATACACATACACCCTGCAGCCTTCCTCTGCAGGAGCTGAAGGTGCCATGCACGTTCATGGGTGGAGTACCTGCTTTGCAGCAGCATCACGTAGGCTTCCTGTCCAGAAATCCCTGATGAGATTGCCACTCTGTGTAGACTGTACCCAGACTGTGCCAGTCTGTGTAGACTGGACAATGGATGGTGGTCAACAGCTTGAGGTTGAATTCTGACAAGACAGAAGTACTGTTTCTGCTAGACTGGGGAAGGTATGGATCCTTTGTGGGGTCACTGTGCCCCAGAAGAACCAGGTGTGCAGCCTGGGAGTCATTTTGGACTCTCAGCTATCCACGGAGGCACAGGTTAATTCTACCTCCAGGCTGGTGGCTCTCTACCAGCTTCATCTGTTTGGCATCAGTGGAAAGTTCAAAAGCTTTTCCCTTTTTTAAAAGCAAGACAACTTTATGAACAAGTTGTCAACTTTCTATAGATGCTTAGCTGTGAGAAAACTTATACCAAGTTTTGCCAAGGACATCTGATCTGCCACCAGCTGAGAGAGGCCTTTTGTGGCATGCAGGAGGGATCTTATGTGCCAATGTCCACTTCTAGAGAATCTTAGCTGTCATTAAAACAAAGGGGAAAGTTCCCTAGGAAGGTAAAAAAAAAGCCTACAACATGCCAGAGGGGGACTGTACCATCAATGATGAACAAATCATGCAGAAGATTCTACAACCTTTTCCCCCTAGTGTGCAGGGAAGCATCTAAGTACAGTAGTACCTCTGGCTACGTACTTAATTCGTTCCGGAGCTCCATTCTTAACCTGAAACTGTTCTTAACCTGAAGACCACCTTAGCTAATGGGGCCTCCTGCTGCTGCTGTGCCGCCATTGCGCGATTTCTGTTCTCATCCTGAAGCAAAGTTCTTAACCCAAGGTACTATTTCTGGGTTAGCGGAGTCTGTAACCTGAAGCATATGTAACCCGAGGTACCACTGTATGTGACCCAAGGAAGCGTAATCGTTCCTGGACTCCAATTTACCCAAAGCCAGAATATAAACTCTGCAAATATGTAGAACAGCACCCATGTGTCACCCACCCCCAGCACGCCAAGGGATCATAGAGTGAAAATCCAGGTCGGGCAATAAACACAAGTGCAATTCTGTCACATGTGCATTTTTTGTCTCCGAGTGTTCATTTGGAAGAAGATTACAAAGTTATGTCTGTAAGAAAGGGTGGCTAAACTGTGGCCAGACTCCAACATCCAGCATCCTATGGGAGTTCAGCTGAATGGCCACAGATTAGGAAGCACTGCCCTGGAAAACCCCCAATAAGATTGGGTTCAACCTGGATCAGAAAACGTTCAGGCTTCTAAACTGTACATCATATTACAAAATGTAAGAAAGTCCCCAGAGGCTGAATGCAAGAGGCTCTTTATTAATTTGATGACAAACAGATTTTAAAGCAAACTTGAGATGGAAAAAAAAATAAAAAAAAATAAACACGGTGCTAGCACTGATGTTTTTTTCTTTTTTCTTTAAATGGATTTATATAAAAACTCAAAAGGATTTCATTTTAACTGCTACAAAGGGGAGGGGAAAGTAACCCAGCACAAAGCAGAAGCAAGCAGGTGCTAACTAGCAAAATGTGAGGAGGGGAGGAATCGGGCAGCCACAGAAGGATGGGGGGGGGAGGAATATCTTTACTCAGCAGATCGCCTTGCACAAAAAAGAGACAAAAGCGCTTAAAAGTCTAGCTTTGAAAACCTATGCAGCCAACACAGCCTACCCAGTGGGGTGGGAACTGGAGTACCAGGCCCTCTGAGCCTCCCTGCTTGCCCCCCACCTCCCTACAGGTTGTCAGGTCTAATGGATACCAAGGAGGCCAAGCACACTTCTTGCAGAAGGATGGGTAGGGGCTGCTCTTTTTCTTTGGTGGGGTGGGGGGAGAAGAAGAGGAACGAGAAAGACAGATTTCCAAAATCTCTATTCTTTTTTTAAAGAAAAAAGAAAAAAAAAGCGCAGGGAGTTCTCTTAAGTACATTCATGTTAAGTTAACCTCGAGTTCCTCAGTACACACAAAAGCTAAACAGATGCTAAGAGCCCTTTGACTGGGGAAAATTAATTCACAAGCGGTTTAAAAGAAGGGGGGAAATCACATCTAGAAGGCAGATCAAACTGTTTCAGAGAGGTAAAGGGCATTGCGACATTTATGGATCACCGGGCTGGTGGGGGCAGGAGGTTAAACAGGAAATCCTACTTCAGCTTTTTTCCTAGAAAGCTTTTGATGCAGATAAAAGAATGCTTTTTGCTACAAGTGCAGCAAGGCGGCGATTTCCCTCCCCCCAAGGGGGGTGCCCTTTCCCAGTCAGATTCATAGCAGTTGTAGTTTGAAGGACTCCACCAGCGAAGGCTTGTGACCCCCCCCAGACGTCGCCTCAAGATTGGTTTAAATGCCTGGCGTTGAACTCACTCCACCGCCGCACCGCTGCACAAAACCCCCAACGACAACCCCCCCACCCCGATATATGCTCCAAGAATGAGACCCACTTCTCCGCAGCCACCTCCCGCTCTCAGCCTGCCCGCCCCACCCAACCTGCCTCGAAAGTATCTTTGTTAAGAGTCTTTACTTCAAAACCAATATAATCCCCAGTTTCCACTACTGTTTTTGGGTGGGAGGCGAGAAAAAGCAGTGTCCTTTTTTGTTCCCCCCCTCTTGGGGGTGGGCGGGGGTGGGCAAAAGGGCACAGGCACCCACTCCCTGTTCTCGTGAAGCGCATGGAAAGTCTTACAGAAAAGAAAAACAACAACAACCACTTGTTGTCATCACACAGAGCAGAGCCCAGGCAGAAGCCAATTGAAAGCAAGACAAAAAAACACACACTTGAACCATCTTCTGCCTCGCTGCAGGGATGTGCTGGCTTTCCTTGCTCACTGCTACTCTACCATCTGAAGAAGAGGCTGATTGACTGAAATCACACTGAAAAAAGATCTTAAAAAGAGTGGTGTTCTAATTTTTAAGCGTTAAACTTTATATATATATATATCTTTTTTTTTAAGCTTCTCAGAACAAGGATTTCCCCCCCGCCCAGGTCCACTACTAAGATTTCAGAGACAAACTTCTAAAAAAATATCCAGTGCTTCTTTTGCAAGAATCTCTTTTTCTTTTTAAGGAAAAAAAAAAGGAAAAAAAGAAACACCCCATCTTATTTAAGTCCATTCAGGACGCGGGTGACACCACACACATGTGAGGTTCGAAGCTGGATCCTGGACAGCAAAACCACACATCTCAGAGTAGGGTACCAGCCGGCTGGCTTTCCCACGAGCTCGGAAGGATTGGGGTCCTCTTGGGTGGACGAGGCTGGTGATGATTATGATGATGGTACACTTGCTCCTTTAAGAAGATGCCAACAGATGCCACTTCTGGTTAAAAGGGGGAAAAGAGAGATGGGTACGCAAACAACTCTGAGATGGGGGTTTTCCTCTCCCCGCCCTGCTCACAAGAACAGAAGCTTGCTTCCAAGGCTCTTCTCTCTCTCTGAATCTCTCTCTCTCTCAGTGTGTGTTGACGGGGAGGACAGGGAACTCTGCTGACCACTCTGCTCTTCTGGGGCGAGTTGACTCCCCCTCCCAGCGAGGCGCCAGTCGGTCCTCCGTTGCTCTCTCTCTTCCCACCTCCGTCTGGTCAATCTCCTTGTCTCAGTGAGCTAGCAGTGGGCTCTCTCTCTTCCTCTCGCTCGCGTGCTCTTCGCTCTCCTCTCCGTTGGTTTCTCTCTTCCTCTCCCTCTTCCTCTCTCTCTCTCCTGTTGCTCTCACAGAGTTGCTTCAGTTTTAGCAGTGGAAAACAGGTATCCATTTTATTTTATTTTTATTACCCAGAATAAAATGCTGTTGAACTAAGCTCCACATCAGCTTAGCTCTTCTCCTTCAACCTAAGGCAGGGAAAGAAAAGGGAAATGCCATTACTGTCACAAGCCGTGGCTGTGGCTTGTGAGAAAGGCTTCTCTGAGCACATAAATGGCTCAGTGGGCAGAACCCAAAGGAGTCTGGAAGATGCAGATTCCGTGGCTACCAACAGCCTCTATTATTAGGCCCAGCAGGTACCATTTTTTCTCCACCACTCAGTACAAGACTTGTTTAAGGCAAGAGTTTCTCCACCTCCCCGCCGGTGCCTGATAGATAATAATAATTATTAATAATTTAATTTTTTATACCCCACCCATCTGGCTGGGTTGCCCCAGCCACTCTGAGTGGCTTCCAACACATATAAAAACATAACGTCAAACTTTAAAAACTTCCCTAAACAGAGCTGCCTTCAGATGTCTTCTAAAAGTCAGATAGTTGTTTATTTCCTTGACATCTGATGGGAGGGTGTTCCACAAGGCGGGCACCACCATTGAGAAGGTCCTCTGCCTGGTTCCCTGTAACCTCACTTCTTGCAGTGAGGGAACCACCAGAAGACCCTTGGAGCTGGACCTCAGTGTCTGGACTGAAGACACTCCTTCAGGTATACAGAGCCAAGGCCGTTTAGGGCTTTAAAGGTCAGCACCAACACTTTGAATTGTGCTTTATCTAGGATGCCTCTAGATAAAGCTCACAAGCCAGGTGGGAGGAAGATGCCTGCCTCCAGCAGGTTCTCCAGATCTGGGACTGCTGCCTCGGACTGGGGGTGACATTCAGGTATCTGGGCCAAGAGCCACTCCGCCTTCATGGGCAGGAATGACCTCCAGGTGCCAAGTCTGCCCACCTCTACACCCTGTGGCAACCAAATTCCACAAGCTCACGCTGCCTTGAGTGAGGAGTTTCACAAAAGACCCCTGAATTCTGACCAGTCCTTAATTGAAGAAAGAAATGCAAAGAGACGCTGAGTAGATTTCACTGTTTCCCAGCATCTTAACAAAGCATCAAGGACCAAGTGTCATCACCCAAGGCAGCCCACCTCTCCCCCCCCCAGAGAGCAACATCTGGATAGGCCAAAACCTCCCAGTCAAAGCCAGCAAGAACAAAGAGAACAAAGCAGACCAGTCTGATGGCAAACGGAGCACATGTGAAAGGAAAAACCCAGTTCCAATGCTCATAATTTGGAGAGAGTGGGGGCATTAGCACAGCATTCAGATCCCATTCAACAAAAGATTGAGCCAGGCGTTCAGTGGCATGTGCACAGAGATGGGGGCGCTGATGAGACCACCACCCCTGTTCTCTCCCCAACTCTTATTATCGGAAAAGCACCTTACACTCTAATATTGTGACAGTCCCGTCACTCCGTGTTGATATGCGCGTTCCCCCTGGTAAGTAGAGTCCTGCGACAGGGCCACGTCGATCTGAGATTTGAACTCGTCACCAAGGTAACTATCCTGAAGAGAAAAAATGGGAGGAAGGAGAAGAGAGATTATTTTCCAGTTGAGAGATTGAAGTGTGAGTGGGGAGAGAGAGGGAAGACCAAAGAGAATACACTGAATAGCAGAACGATTCAGAGTTTAAACAGGCAGTTCAAACAGAAATACAATTTTAGGGCCAGGTGGATGCATATCTCATACTTACCTGTGAGGCAGAGAGTGGCAAGGGCTCCTGCCTCCAGTTCAAGGAAGGGGCCATTTCTTTCTGGCCTCAATTCACCTCCAGAAATGTTGATGTGTAAATATCTGTACTCTGGAGCACACACAATACACCAGCACCTTAAGTAAGTTCCTTTACCTGCGACAGCTCTGGCTGGGACAAGCCTGGCTGGCTCATCTGAGACGGCTGGCTCATGGAGATGTAGCTCTGAGTCAAAGGGCCCTGAGAGAACGGCTGGGAGACCACGTCCTGGCTGGCCTGGCTGTTGGGGAGGTTTGACTGACCGGCCCCTGGGATCCCAAAGCGGTTTTTCTGGCGCCCACCACGGCTGGTCTTGCCTTTTGGGTTCCCACGTCCTACAAGAGAAAACAAATCTCAACGCAGAGAAGGCACTCATGCAGTATGACCCTTGGGAGAGCAGCCAGGCTGGAAAGCGGGCAAAAAGCGTCCTCTGTATCCAATAAATATATAAACCGTTTCACTGTATTAAATTAATCCCCATACAGGCTGTCTGTCAGTATGCCTGTAATGTGCTTATAATTTTGTACACTGCCCTGGGATCTTCTGATAAAGAGTGGCATATAAATTGAATGAATGAATAATAAAATATGTAAAAATCTATGTAGTTATTGAGAAGGAATCACAACTAATTGACTGGGATTAATTCACTATATTTAAGCAAGTCTGATAAAAGAAAGAACTTCTCCATGCAGTGCATAGTTAAGTTATGGAACTCTCTCCCACCGGAATTAGTGATGGCCACTAAATGGGATGGCTTGAAAAGAGGGCTGGAATAATTCATGGAGGAGGAGATGACTATTGATAGCTAGTAGCCATGATGGCAATGCTCTGCCTCTGCAGGCAGCCAAATCCAAAAACTCAGCTTTCACTACCTAATCAGTTGACAGACAACTGGGTACATCAACTCTCTAAAGAAGCGGTATCCAAACTTTTATCAAAGAGGGCCAGATTTGATGAAGTGAAGGGCCGTGGGGGCCGACCAAAGTTATTGAGCTTTTTTTAGGACTGAAGTTGTTGAGCTTCTTTTAGGATTGAAGTTGTTGAGGGTTTTTTTAAAAGGATTTTACACCAGGAAATAAACAGGGGCCAGATTAAACCGACCGGTGTCCGGTGGAATGCCCTCCCATCAGATGTCAAGGAGATAAATAACTATCTGACTTTTAGCAGATGTCTGAAGGCAGCCCTGTATAGGGAAGTTTTTAAATGTGTAATGTTTTATTATGTTTTTATATATGTTGGAAGCTGCCCAGAGTGGATGGGGCAACTCAGCCAGATGGGAGGGGTACAAATAATAAAATTATTGTTATTATCCAGAGACCTGCCTGATGAGGTTTTTCATACACGCACTGCTGGGAGGATGGAAGAAGCTGCAACCTTACCCCAAAATCCCTCCCCACCCCCTTCCTTGCCACTTAGCACTTCAGACGTCATACAAGCCGTGGGAGTGCCTGTCTGTGCGGCACAATCTCTTACCGGCAGCAGGCCCATTGGCCTGTCCAAAATAGCCAGGTGGAGGCATGGGAGGCATCACCAGGTTGAAGGGGATGGGAATGTTCATGGCGGTGACATGGCTGGGCCCGGCACTGATCATCCCGATCTGGTCGTGTGTTTGGAAGTACATGTTGGAGGGCCGGCCTGAGGGGAATAGGGGGGAAGAGCTCAGAGGGAACAAGTCCCAAGACAGCAAGGACAGGGAACAGCAACACCGCAGGCACAGGGCTCTCTTCACCAGGACTTTCAACCCACCACAGATACATGGTCCATGGAGGTATCAGAACAGCTCTGGAGTAAAAAGCTGCCTCTCTTTTGGACCGAGGAGAGATCCCCCGGCCAAGTTCTCACCTTGGCTGCTGCGATCATACACCGATCCAGGGATGATAGCTTCACGGGCATCGTACATGGCAGTTGTCATAAACCGGGCTCCCTAAGAAAGGGGGGCAGAAATTAAAGACCACTTTAAAATATGTTCACACAAACTGTTTCTGATGGCTCACATGAGGAAGAACTTTCTGGAACTTTCTTTCCTTTAGCAAAGAGGATGGCTTTTCCCTGCCTGCCAATCACAGAGGCCTTCCGAGGCCCTGCTCCACATTCTACCACCAAGAGAGGCACGCCTGGTGGGAACAGAAGAGACAGGTCCTTATTGGTGGTGGCGCCACAACTGCAGGGTTTCCTCTCAAAGAGGGTGGATGAAGCTATTTGCCTGCTGTGTGTTGTGGATTGACTTTTCAGCTGTTTCACCTTGGCTTTACTAATAATAAACTGGATCATTTATTATTATTACTGTATTATTATTATTATTATTATTATTATTATTATTATTATTATTACCACCCCCCACCACACCACTGCAAGGTTGTTTACAGATCCAAAAGGCAGGACGCTTGGGAATGGGAACTCCTGGGAATGGGCGAAATATTTCAAGCTGTTTCCCCTCCCCTTATTTCGCCTTTCACCTGTGAAATGGGACCCTGTCTGAAAGACCTGGGCAAAAGTTGCATCGCTGAGTGTGAGGCAGTTGAACAGGTTTATTCACATGGGAGGGGCAGTTTACAGTCTCAGCAGTTCTAGGGTGCTGGAGAAGGGCAGTGAAGCCTAATCTCTAAAGCAGGGCACAGGTGTAGGTTTCCAGCCCCACCAGGGGCACTTACGGGGTTGATGGTATTGACCAGCTTCCGAGGCTTGCTGAACTGCATGAGGCTCTCACGGAGGTTGTTCAGGGGCCCCTCGACCAGCACTTTCTGCTCCTTGTAGTAGTTCAGCAAGTGGTTCCAGAGGGGCTGCTTGGAAAGCGCTTTCGGGTTCCCAACAATGATGACACCATACCTTAAATGAATGAATGAATGAATGAATGAATGAATGAAGTCCACACCAAAGCATTGCTCTGCCTCTGCAGGCAGCCAAATCCAAAAACTCAGCTTTCACTACAAAAACTAGTTCACCACCTGGTACCACCTTGGCACTCAGAACCTACCAGCACCCTGCGGCCACCCGAAGGACCACTTGCGGCCGTAGGAACCCGCCTAAGTGCTCCACTCTCTGTTGGGTGCCAATCTCCATGGCCTTTGCCTTTTGATTCCAGGCAGGCAAGGGGTTTTCTCAGTTGTGACACCCTGGTGATAGTTATACTTCTCTCCCAGGGGGTCTAGCCTGGTGTCCAGCAAAGAGCCTCCTATTTGGCTCAGGCCTTCCTGCCTGCCCCCTGGAGGTTGGTTCTCTTTGGATGGCTTAAATTTAATATTTAATCTATGAAGATTTCAGTACTGCCCTTCATCAAAACTGATTCCAGGGTGGTGCATTAAATTATGGGCAGAACGCTGAAGCCCAATAAGACACATGAGTGAAATATAGCAGATTATAGATCCTGGATTGGTAGAGTTGGAAGGGACCCTGAGGATTATCTAGCCCAACATAAACAAATAAAAAAATGCCTGTATAAGTAAAAATGTTGCAGCCTGGTCCCAAGAAGTTTGCAAAACAGGGATCCACTTTAGGGAAGTGGGCCCCTCTCCTGGGCTTCTCTCACACACTGCTGATTAGGAAGGCACTCAGAGAAGGACCTCAGCCAATACATGCTGCTCTACTGCATCTGCTAGATTTAAATTCTCCATTCCAGACTTTCTCAGCTGGAGAACTGCATTTGTGTTGTCATGATCTTGCAAAAAGCGCTCTCAAGAGTTTGCCAGCTAAAGAGAGACATGAATCCAATTCATGCAGAGCACAGTTTATTATAATAATTTTATTATTTATATGCCACCCATCTGACTGGGTTTGGAAACTTAAAGGCCTTAACACAACACTGCTGAACCTCTACGCAAGACTAGCCTGCACAAGCCAGTTGGTTTATTATCAGCTCAGATGTTTGTAGCTTGTACCAAGCCAAACACTGAGAAAACTCACTCCAAAAAGCCCATTGTTTTCCCCACCCTGACTCTAAGCAGAAGGGTAAAAAAGAAAAGTTGCAAGTGACCTGCACCTTTCTCCTCTGTTGCACAAGAACATAATTTCCTTAGCTAGATAGAAGCAAAGGGCTCTTTGGGACTGGCAGACATAGCTGTCTCACACTCAGTGGCTTCCGCTGTACCTTGCTCTGGTGAGAGCCACATTGAGGCGCCTGGGGTCATTCAGGAAGCCAATGCCTTGATGCTCGTTGGCTCGAACACAGGACAGGATAATGAAGTCCTTCTCGCGCCCTTGGAAAGCGTCAACGCTGGCTATTTCCACTTCCTGGAAAGGGGACAGGGAAAGAAAAGGACTCTGTTAAAGCACGTTCTAAATGACTCACATCTCTAAAGAGTTTCCTTCAGAGAGAGTGATGGTTAGCCAGGAAGCATTATATGATGTCCACGTGGTTCCACCTCCTGAAAATCAATTTCAAACTACTTTCCAGTCCTGGGGATAATCTCCTGCCTCGCTCCCACTCCGTATTTGGGGAGGGAGGCTAATATACCTAGCTGTCCATAACTTTACTGCTATGCAAGTTAGCAATTTCTTGGCTACCCAGTTTGATTAATTCAGCTGCCTTTCCCTTCCTTAAACTGGAGGTGGCGAAGAAGGACCACAGAGCTCTCCAACACAAGTATGAGAAGGAGCAGCCCACTCTCCATATAACTCTCTTCAGCAGGTGAGGCTATACATTTGCAGAAAGTCCTGTTTGGTACTGTGTGTATGGTATAGGGGGGTCAGGTTTCTATGCACCCTGCCTCCAAGTGAAACATTTGCAAATACAAGTTGGGTTGCTCTGAACCAGGGAGCAGGTAGAGAGGATGGGCTTAATGCTGACTTGGGAAGGTTGCACGAAGCCCAGAGACAACACAGGGAGAGCCGTACCTGGTAGAGTTTGGTGTGCAGAGAGCCGCTGAACTGCATATACTGCACCAGGTAGGAGCGCTGGCCCTCGTAGGGGGTGATGATGCCAATCTGATCTGGCTTCGCACCAGCCTTCAGCAGCTTGGTGGTGATCTTCTCCACGTTGGCGGCCTCCGTCCTGCAGGGGGAAGCGAGGAGTCAGTCCCTCCCCTTGAGCAGTGCCCAAGAAACAGTCTCCAAGGTAACCAGAATGCCTCAGAGCTTGTTCAACACCATAAATCTATGTATAATGCCCAAATTCACTCTGCTACAAAGATGCAAAACGTTTAAGTATTTGTTTTAAAAAAAGTAGCAAGGGAGGAAAAGAAAAGTGCATCAGACAAAGGAAAGGGCACAACAGAAGCTACATGTGGCACATTTCTGGGCATTATTCAGGTTGGAATAATGGGCCTGGGCGTGTGCAGGGTATCAGCCACAACCCCCAAACGTCCTATTCCAATCCTACTGAGTAGAGTCTTCAGGCACAAATGGAATTGACTGGCTCCCTTTCAAGGTTCCAGGCCACCTTCAGCTCACCAGAGAAAGATCAAGCTACCTGGAATAGTCTCCATTTGACAATACTAATCTTTTTTTTTGGGGGGGGGGTGGCGGCGACTGTATATGGGTGAGAGATGCCACTGCTAGACCATGTCCTTCCTGTCCGCTTCCCACCCTTTGGACTGCAGAACTAAAATGCTTGGCCCCCATCACTTCTCCAGCCTCACCTCCTTCACTCTGGGATGACCTTGAACTACCAATCCTATCTTTTTAGAACTGTTTTAACAGTCATGCCTTTTAACGGCTTCATTTATTGCGGGTGTATAAATTAATGAATAGTCGAGAGAGAGAGAGACGTGATGTTTGTCCAAGCAAGGCATCCACACATTCTGTCCCAGAGACTTGGCTGGACCCCCTTCTCCTCTTCCCCACATGACTTACCTGTTCAGGTAAGAAGTCCCAGAACTTGCAATCTCTTCTTGCCCTTGGGTCACATAGAAAAACATGGGCTTGTCTGGCTGGGGCCACTGGAAGTCAAATCCCTTCTTCACACGGTCCGCTGCAGAGCGACAGGGAAGTTGCGTATGTTAGCGTATGTTTCTCCTGTGGAGGCCTGGGTCTTCCTTTGGGTAGATCAGTGGTTCCCAAACCATTTATGTCACTGCCCCCTTGGTCCCATAAACTCATCCCAATGCCCCCTACCCTATAAAAAGCATTGTAGCACTTTGCACAACACACTAAGGAAGACTGTAACACTGTAACATACCAAACAGCAACAGTTAATTGCATATTGATTCAAAAGTATTTTAATTAATTAAAAAACAAAAACCCTGATGAACTTGAACCAGTGAGACTAGCTTTTCAAAGTCGAATAGCCACCTACATCTTCAGTGCTCCCTGCCTCTTAGTGCCTCCCCTGCTAATCCCACCGCGGAAAGGCAGTACATACTGCCCCCTTGGGGAAGCACAGAGCTAGATCCTAGCCTTAAAATGGAGTCCTTCCATCCTGAAGAGCAGGCTGGAACAGCAACAAGAACCACTTATCAAAATCCATAGACCTACCAACACAAAGACTACGGCAAGGATTGATATGAAGCGGTGGTGTTCAGTGAAATTTTTCATAGGGGAACAGTTAGAGCCAAAGGTGCCAGCCTGTGAGGGCGATATGGGGGGGGGGGCAACGCTGCCGTGCATTAAGACCTTGTCTCCTGCCCTAAGTCAAGCAGAAGCTTCTGACGGAATGCTGGAGCCCTCCCGCGTCCTTCCCAGAGCTGGGTGGGCTTTGGGAAGGTGGCAGGAGGGCTCCTGGAGCCTGACAAGAGCACTGTGCCTCCCTCCAAAAGCCGGGCAGAAGTTTCCCAGGCTTTGGGAAAGAGGCGCCAGGTTTAATAGTCTGATAGTTTACAGGGAACATTTAGGAGACTAGCCTAGTCCCCCTATTACACTGACTGTACACCACTGATTTGAAGCTACAAGGCCCACTTAGAGGTCCTGAACGGGACACTGCCTGGCACTCCTGCTGGCCCCCTCCATCACTCACACCCTCCCCCTGCCCCTTCTTACCTGCGGTGACACCATTCTGAAGAGACCCCTCATAAAAGATGTTGGATGGGAAAGCGCTCAGGGCTGGGTGCATACGGTACTGCACCTGCAGGCGGATGGGCCTGATGCCCAGAACCACCAGCCGCTCAAAGAGCGACTGGGACAGGCCTGCTTTCGCCGCCTTCTTGCACATCACAACAGGGCCAAGCTGGCAGTGGTCGCCCACCAGGATCAGCTGGGGAAATGAAGCCCAAGGTCAACAGGAGGAACCGCACACATGAGCGTGCACACACAAACAGCCAGGCCAAGCCCCTGCTCCATCTCTAGAAGGCTGGAGGTGATGGCCTACAAAAGGGAAGGGCAGTTTGGGGATCTAAAGTCTGCTTGAGGGAAACTTCTAGCTTTCTGAGGTCAAGCAATTAAGGGGCTGAAGTTGAAGAATTATCTGCAGAAATACCCCACCCACTCAAGCCTTTCCATCAGCAATCCTCCTCAGCAGTTCCACCTCTGTTCTCTACAAGCCTCCAGAACTCTTGGGATTTCCCTTCCATAGCTTGCATTTCCTGCTCCTATTCATAGTGGACACAAGACCTCACGGGCTGTGAATGCTTTAAGTCTTCTTCCCAAAGGCTTGAAATGCAAGCATTTAAGACAATACAGGAGGGCTTTAAAAGCTCACACAGACTCAAGTTGCTTGATATATAAAGATGGTGGCAAACACCGGAAGAGAGTGTTGCCTCCACCCCACTCGGCAGCCCCACTTTTGAGCTGCTTGAACCTACTTGCTTTGCCCCGAGGACAACTGGCACCATGCACTCTGGCTCTGTGGCCTGGGTGCTCTCGTCAATCAAGATGGAGCGGAACTGCATCTTCGCCAGTCTTGGGTCCCCGGCTCCCACGCAGGTGCAGCAGATGACGTCTGCATTCTGAGGGATGAAGCAGCAAAAATTCAGGAGCTACAAAACTATCTACAAAAGGAACATAGGAAGCAACTTCTACATTAAGACCACTGCTCTGCATGGAAACCAGGTGCTCTGCGCAGTGCTATGGCCCTTTCCTTAAAAATAAAACATCCCAGTTCTCAAAGTTCTGTTTAAAGGGGGTGATTTTAATTAGGAACACAAGAAGCTGCCTTGTACCAAGCCAAACCACTTGTCCATTTGGCTCAGTGCTGTTTATAAGGACTGGAAGCAGCTCTCCACAGTTTCAAACAGCTGTACCCGGAGAAGCCAGAATCGAGTTGGACTTATTGCACAGCTTAGCTATGATCCTTCCCCAGTCCTGCCTACAGCCAGTCTTCAGCATTATGTGAGGGGTTTTGTGTGTGTGTGTGTGTGAAATTTCTGTTGCAGCCTCTGGGATTATTCATTGTTTAAGGTAGGGTCATTCCTTTGCTGTTACAGAACCAATGTTGAAAAAGGAGACAAGTCAGCCTCCTGGATCACAGAACACAAGTAGCACACCTGGTCTGACCAACAGTAAGCAATAGCCCCCGTATAAGAGGTAGGAAAAAGTCACCATGAGCAACTCCCGCTCCGCCGTCCGCTTCAGGGCCCGGTAGCGCTTCTCATCTGCAGAGGACAGTTCCCCAGTCTCGTCTTTCAGCTGCTGCAGCTTCTGGAGCTCAGGCATGCTGAGGATCAAACAGACATCTCTGGGGTGCTATATAATGTTCTGGTTACAAGATCCCTGCTTAAGGATCCTATACTCCACTACTGAATTTGGTGACAACGCACTTCCAAAGTGGCTATGAATGGACATCAAATAAATATTTTTAAAAATAAATCCACATAGTGGCTGATGAAAAATAAAGGCAGTATTGGCAGTGCCATTAAGTGAAGCCGCTAGATTATTTTTTTTAATAAAAAAACCCACCCATCTCTGCATTCCCCAGAAAAAGGAAGGCAGGCTTTAAGTTTGGGATGAATGCAGGGAGGGAATGAGCAAGGGACAGTGACAGCATTGCCACTGCAAGGGAAGGCTGGCTTCTGGCTCAGCAGCAATGGGATGAGGAAGTGCCTTACCTATCCATGTTCCTGATCTGGTTGTGCAGGGCGAGGAAGGAGACGGGGGAGTCAATGGCCTCACGACTCTTTGCACACAGGCGCACCACCTTCAGCCCCGTCTGGTGGATCTTCTCCGTCAGCTGGTCCACGGCTATGTTGCTTGGGGCACAAACCAGCACGGGCCTTTGAAACAAATGAGACAAACAGCAAAAGATGAAGCCAAATAAAACAAACCCCTACAAAGAGTTCTTCCTTCTTTATCACTGTAGGCGAGGGCTAAGGGTTAACACTGGCATCAGCTCTGGAACCATGGATTTCACGCTCAGAAGACGCTGAAGTGGATTAGGCACTCCATTAAGACCTAATCAGAGGCTGAAGTTGATTGTCAACACTGGCCAATCCTCTCTTGGGTTAAGGGTAGCAGAGGCATAAGCCATAAATGCAGTCAATGTAATCAGAGGGGAATTTATGCATGAGAAGAAACTGAAAGTCTGAGAGCCAGTGTGGTGGAGTGCCAGCCTAGGAGCTGGGAGACCAGGGTTTGAATCCCCACTTGGCCATGGAGCTCATTGAGTCACTTACTGTCTCAGCCTAACCTACCTCACAGGGTTGTTGTGGGGAATAAATGAGATGAGGGGAGAACCTTGAACTCCTTGCAGAAAAAGGTGAGATAGAAAAGCAATCAATCTATTTATCAATCGCATGGGGTGTTTCGCCTATACCAGGCTGTAACTTCCAGATGGGTGCTAAAATTATCTCAACAGCCCTTGAAGTGCTGCACTCTTTTGACCAAGAAGATTCAAGAGCAATCTCTGCTTCTGCTCTTACCCATTTCCTTGCCTAGCCAGATGGTACACAATGGTGGCCGAGGTGACAGTCTTGCCTGTTCCGGGAGGGCCCTGGATGAGACTCAAGGGACGCTGCAGGACAGTCTTCACAGCATACACCTGGGAAAAGAAATTGCATTAACTCCACACGGGGGAGCACTGTTTGCGAAACTGACACTGGAAGCTCTTGGACCCAACTCCTGCCTTTGCTGTTGGGCGGGATAAGGTTACCTGAGAATGGTTGAGGTCAGGAAGTCCTTGTGCTGTGAAGCGCTTCGGCAGCTGACATTTGATAATGACATCCTCCACCTCGTGACCCAGGAGCTTGTGATAGATGTAGCCAGAGACGGAGGTTTCATCCACAGCAAAAGTCTTGAGGGCACTCTGCATCCTGAAGAAGAGGTGGACGCACAAGCACAAACCAGGTCATCCCTCAAACATTTATGCAACCAGCTTCTCAAGACAGAGAGAGACGCTGCCTTCACCCACCTGTCAAAGGAAGTCGACTTCCACACAAAGTCCACTTGGAAGTTGTGGGTCACTTCCACAGGGGCTCCGACACTGCTCCTCAGCTCGATCGCAATTTCGTCACCGTAATCTTCAAAACCTCGTTAAGTAGCAGTTTCGTGGAACAGTTGCAAGCTTCTTTTCAGAGTCCCACCCCACCTCCTGCCCACCACTACCTCTGGGGACTGTTCTAGTGCTGCTAGTCTACAGAGAAGGTGTCAGCTGAAGGCACACCACCATTTCAACTGCCCAAGCTAAGCTGGATATCCCTGTTAGTTGCCTGGATGTGGAATCAGCCTGGGAATGGCATGGGAAGGGGCTTTGACCTCCTCCTCAGAGGAAGAATGGAGGCACAAGTATATGGATAGTGTGTGTATGTCTGTGTGTGTTTTTTACACAAACCATAAACTGAAACCTTTTGCTTCTTTTGTGCCACCAGATAGACACAGTTCTAAGGGAGCACAGGAAGAGTTGTCCATTCTCTCCCACAATTCTGCTTCAAATGCCAGGCATTCAACATGTTCTAAGGGCTCCACTTGACATAATCTCAACTGTGCAATTGAGATGTTGGAGTCCGCCTTACAGCCTCATGAAATTAAAAGGATACTATCAGGAACTTTAATCACGTGGCCGATTCCTTTCCACAGCGGGGCCAAATCCCCTTTGTACCTCAGGCAGATCTCATCCCCCTGCATCAGGCGCATATCTGAAAAGAGGAGTTAGAAGCTTTCAGTTCTTCCAAAGCAAACACCAATTCACTGTTTGTGAATGTTAATGGTGTTCAGAGTCTGCCAATCGAGAGATCCTTGAGCCAGACTTCCTTTAATGATTTCCTGTTCTTACCTGAATCCGTCTTTGGCAAGGTGAAGTAGGCAATCCTTTTCTTGTTCAAGCCCAGATCCCATCTCACAGTGATGTTGTCCTGTGTCTAAACATAAAGAGAGATATTCTAACTTTACAAACACAGACAAAAAAGGTACTCAAGAGCAGACCTGGCCCTCTGCTTCCTGCCTGCCCTCCCTAGCACTGCACAGCTGGCTTGAACAATCACAGGAAGGGCTGCTAAACCACCCCTGGCAACACTTCAAAGCTAATGCTGATTTAGCAGTTGCTGGATCCCTAAGAGGAGCTACCTTTAAGGAAAGAGGGTGGGCTGATGACTCTACAATTTGTCAAAACTGTTCCTCTTCCGGGGAGAAGCAACTGAGCCTTCTTCAGATCCAGCCCTTACCCTACTCCAGAGCAACTGTTGTGCCCACTGGCCCATGCCATTTCAAAGTGGCTGCATCCTCCTTGGCCTGAATCTTACCTGGGACTCCTTCAGCTTCTTGTCGTAGTCGGCCTCAAGCTTGACCAGAGGCCCAAATATGTTTTGGTACTGATAAGCATCCTCGTATCGGAGGAGGACGTGCTGTGGCTCTTCGTCGACGCCAGGCTTCTCCAAGTCTTCAAGGGTGGCAGAGGGGTTCTCCTGCAGTCACAAAGAAGAGGTGGTTAAATAGAACAGACCAACTACAACCCTCCCATCAGCTGGTTTCAGAACAGGTCTTCCTAAATCAAGACGGAAAACTAATGGAAGGTATTTCCAAATCCAACCATTCCAGGATGCAACTGGATAGCTCAGTTGGTTAGAGCAGGGTGCTGATAATGCCAGGGTTGCAGGCTCAATCCCCATAGGGGACAGCTGCATATTCCTGCATTGCAGGGGGGGTTAGACTAGATGACCCACAGGGGCCCTTCCAACTCTATGATTCTATTATAAACACAGCTATGCTGGGGTAGGCTGACTGGTGGCTTTGGTGAATTTGCAAAGTTTGTCTATTTTGACTACCAATTGTGTCTTGTTGTAACAAAAAGAAGGTGTTTCATGAAGAGACAGGCTCTCTCTGTTGGCAACTGCACAAACATGCCCAAAACATTTTAAGAAGTCTGCACCCAAACAATCTTAAGATCTGTGCTATGGCAAAAACTGCAAGCTGTGCTCAGTTATGCAGATTTGTCCAACTTCTAATATTGTGCTAGACTGAACCCACAACTCTCAATCTTATTCAGTCCCCTCTCTAGATTTCTCACAGATTTCAGCTTCAGCTTCAAGCCATAAAGCCAAGGCTTCGTACATTTTCCAAGCTGTATGGCCAAGGCCTCAGAAAATGACGAAGGGACCTGGAGTTGTCAGGAAGCTGAATTCCACACCCAACAGCACACCCCGATACAGATCTGCTTATCCCCTCCTGGGCTCTCTCGGTCGTCCCTCTGCTCTCTGCTGCAGACACTTCCACGCACCTTCCAGAGCTCTTCCAGCTTGTTGATTTGCTGGGCAGTGATCTGACGCGCCCTCAACTGCTCCTGCTCGGAAGGGATTTTGACCAGCCAGGAAAGGAAGCAGCGGTCTTGAATCAGAGGCTGCCACTGAGAACTGTCCCAGTTGATGTCCTTCAAGCTGCTCTGACTGGCACAAGGCTGCCTGTATAGTCAAGATAGGGGAGAAGAGTTTTATTAGACAGGCACACATAGGGGATAAAAAGAGAATCAACAATATTTTTTTAAAATGCTTTCAAAATCAATCGCCCATTAAGACTCGAGACCGACCAGCAATTTGCTTCCAAAATAAAGAGAGGAAATGTCTCACCTGCACAGCAAGACGACCACAGAGTCTGCCTTAGCAGGGATGAAACCCAGGAGGAACACGTTGCGGCAGCCACAGTTGTAGCACTCCAGGACCGTCTCACCCAGAGGGCCATCCTTGTGCAGTGTCACTTCCTTACATTTGGCTCTCACAAGGTGATTCACAATATGGCTGGCAAGACACACAAGAAAGGCAGGCTGGGTTGAATGGCAAATTGGTTTTCCTACTGATGTAAAAATGCAAGCAGGAGCATGGAAGGATACCTCTGATTATCAAGGGAGAGCTTTTATACCTACTCTGTGCCACCTCATGCCTGGGAAACCTTATCAGAAGTCCTGGTGTGTGTGTGTGTGTGTGTGTGTGTGTGTGTGTTTGTGTGTACAGTGGTACCTCGGGTTAAGTAATTAATTCGTTCTGGAGGTCCGTTCTTAACCTGAAACTGTTCTTAACCTGAAGCACCACTTTAGCTAATGGGGCCTCCTGCCACCGCCGTGCTGCCAAAGCACAATTTCTCTTCTCATCCTGAAGCATAGTTCTTAACCTGAGGTACTATTTCTGGGTTAGCAGAGTCTGTAACCTGAAGCGTATGTAACCTGAAGCGTATGTAACCCGAGGTACCACTGTATATGGATGACATGGGGGGCACACTGGTTTTTCAGTCCGAATTCCAGGTTTTAAAATATGATGTGGACATACTGCTCTTTTTAAAAAAATGTTGTCAAGCAGTGTATTTTATTATATTGTTGTAATTCTTTATCTCAGGCATAGGCAAACTCTGGCCCTCCAGATGTTTGGGAGTACAATTCCCATCATCCCTGACCACTGGTCCTGTTAGCTAGGGATGATGGGAATTGTAGTTCCAAACATCTGGAGGGTCGGAGTTTGTCTATGGCTGCTTTATCTGGATTAAACTGTGTGAGCAGCCTTGATGGCTTTTCTGCTTAAAAGGCAGCAAGGAAATGAATGGTGACGTGTAACAGTACATGCATGAGACACATACACACACAGCGTGAGAAAAGATCTCACATCCAATCCCAGCCACCTTATGTAGTACTGGGCGATGTGAACTAGTGACCTGGCTCACGGTGTGAGGCAACCGCCTAAGGTTCGTATCCAGCGTTCATCCCACTCAAGAACAGACCCAGAATGCAATGGGCACGACAAACTTCGGCCCACTAATTTCAACAGCTCTACAGTGAGCAGAACGTAGCTCGATACAACCCCAATGCTTCATGCCATCACCACTTCTGTGGCTGCATCGCTCACCTGCCAGACGTATTCCCACGCCCATTGCAGAACCACTTCTTGCTGGTGTTGCAGTAGACGACGCAAGCTGGGTCATGGATGCCACAGTAGCTAAGGAAGAGGACACATTGTTAGGTTTTGCTTCAAAGGCATGGCAAGCCAGGGTGCTTTCCCTTTGGTTCTCTCTAGTTTAAGTTGACCCAGATCAAAACCTCCAAATTTGGTTGGGTTGCACCCTTGCTTCACCTATTATTATTATTATTATTTATACCCCGCCCATATGGCTGTGTTTCCCCAGCCACTCTGAGAGGCTCCCAACATAATTAATGAGAATTAATTGAGAATTAATAATAAAAAAGTGATAAAACATCAGACATTAAAAAACTTCCCTAAACAGGGCTACCTTCAGATAGACCTTCTTTCCATGCTGCTGAGAGCTGGCATTAAGCAATACAAGTCCCAGTTCTGCTTTATGACACCACAGTGCAATCTGCTAAGTTGTCACAGGACATGCACATTGTCAGAGTGTTGAATAAACCAGCGTTGAAAGAGAAATGCTGCAGCATCTGAACAGGGTTCAAGAAACCTGTGGCAGAGGCCAACAGCTGCCCACCTGTGCTCTCTGGTAAAAGTACCAAGAACGCAGGAAAATAGGGTTTAATTGGGATAAATAAAGAGGGTGCACTGTTTTGCATGAATAGAACACAGCAGTTTAGCTAGAAAAGTCTTCAGAAATCTCAGAAATGCCACTATCACCACCTTGTCATCTGAAAGACATCCTGGAATGCCCAGGACTCCTAACTTATATTGCTGCATGGACACAAGAGGATTATTTGTACAAAGTGTGTGGTTAATTCACATGAAGGTTTAAATAGAGGCGAAAAAGGCAAGTGAGAGGACCTCCTCCAACCAATAGAGCCATTATTTGCCCACATGTGGCTCCTAGACTCTGCTTTGAATTTTAGATTATGTCCACACACATACACACAGTCTTACCTGCAAGCATGCAGTGGAAGGTCCTTGGTGTAGTAAGTGTCTTCCTCGTCTTCCTCAAAATTGAGTTCAGCAAGGAGCTGGCTGGTCTTAGGCACATTATCATCCACTGCTCCATTTTGCAGGATGCCGTCAGGCCCATTCACCTAATGCAAAACATGGACAGGGGTCAGCAAACTTTTTCAGCAGAGGGCTGGTCCACCGTCCCTCAGACCAGACTAGATTTTGAAAAGAAAAGAACGAATTCCTATGCCCCACAAATAACCCAGAGATGCATTTTAAATAAAAGGACACATTCTACTGATGTAAAAACAGGCTGATTCCCGGATCATCCGCAGGCCGGATTTAGAAGGTGATCGGGCCAGATCCAGCCCCCGGGCCTTAGTTTGCCTACCCATGGACTAGATGTTCACAGAAGTAAGAGCTAGGAGTGATGAAACTGCCAAATGTCAGGTGCACATGAACAAAACACTTGGACACATGGGTTTGTTTAAAACCCACCAACAACCAGACTTGCAGGTGGAAGAGCAGACCTAGCTGCTCCATTCTGGCTAATGCTATATGAAGAAGGACAGACTTGCAATGCAGCCGTTGGCCCATGTAGCAATTTATTAAGCTGCCCACTTCTGTTGCCTGAAGACAATTCTTATGCACAGCAGTCAAGTGCATAGAATCTTGAATTCATCACCGTAATGCCTGATCAAAAAGGCATTATAAAATAATATTTTATAAAGACTTCCAAAAAGAGTTTATTACGAAAGATTTAGTTTAAAGTTAGTTTTCCCACTCCTCCACATAAGTCTTATTTCCTTCTGGCTCTCGTTATTGCCCCTCTCCCTCCACCTCCATTCCCTTTCAAACCACTCCTCATGACGCGGTCAGTCGCCAGCCTTGAGCTTCAAGAGCTGCACATCACAAAACACGGATTCCTCGAAATAGCCGCAAGTGCCAGAAACACTTTCCCAAGCCAGACTGTGCTGTGACAGGCCATCTAAGGCCCCACTTTCCCCCCTGTCATTCCTTATCTACCCTCAGCACAAGGTTCAGCTCAACATCATAGGCCACCAAAGCGCCAATAAGGACACAGAGAATTTAGAGAGGAGGCCGCTTGTCCTGTAAGCCAGAGGTTTTCAACTTTTTTGAGTCCACAGCTCCCTTAACCAACTACATTCTTTCTGTGGCACCCCTGTGGGGTTCAGGAGCCCAGTTATGTCACCCCTTGCCTGCAGAGCTGGCAGCCTCACACCCTTTTTTGAACACCCTCCCTTGTGGGGGTGTTCCCTCAGCCTCCTCTCCCCTTTCCTTGAGAGCCCTCTGGGCAGCTGCTGCTGTTGCCCCTGGTCTCTGAGCCGCCCCCCCCCTTGCCCCAAAGAGAGATGCGTCTCAGAGGCACCATTGACCTGCGGAGCTTAGAGCCAGGGCTGCTGCAATAAACAGCTGTGCAAGCCTTTGGGAGGCAGAGATGCAAGAGGGCATAAGAGAGAGGAAAAGAAAGAAAGAAAGAAAGAAAGAAAGAAAGAAAGAAAGAAAGAAAGAAAGAAAGAGGAACAGTGGCCAGTGCTGCCCACGGCACCCTTGACCTTCAGGGCACCATAGCACACTGGCTGAAAACCACTGCTGAAACCAATAAAAGGGGAATTTTCTCACCTACAAAACAAGCACAGCAAATTTTACAGCTGCTCAGCCTACCGCTGCCTGGCAAGCCATTGTTTTTTAAAAGGGGCTAAGCCAGCAATGCGTCTCCAGATGGTAGGCCAAAGGGCCCCTTAATATGCCCCACCACCACCTAGTTGAGCAGCAAGAGAAGCTTGGGAAGAGCCCTTGATTTTCGGTGTCTCCATGGCGCACAGCTTCAAGTCTTGACTTGTGCACAGGGATGATGCACTTCAGCTGTTCCTAATGGGAGGGCTCTTCTAAACCCTTTTCAACTCTTTAGCAATGTGTGCACATATGTGAAGAGATTCCTTTTTAGGGCTGCTTGTAATAAATCAGCAAAATGAAATTTCATCATTGTACTGGAATCAGTGAGAGGGCATGAAAGGAGGAGTATTCCATAATGGATATGGAGTCAGTAGGCAGCCATGTTGAGGTAAAGGATGCCTCTGATTGGATTCTAGCACTTGTTTTCATACACTAATACCACAACCTGTAGAATTCTATCAGTTATATTTTACCTGCACAATCAAGAACCAAAATGCTTTTTCTGTGCAGTCTGAGCATAGAATCATAGAATCATAGAATCATAGAGTTGGAAGAGACCACAAGGGCCATCGAGTCCAACCCCCTGCCAAGCAGGAAACACCATCAGAGCACTCCTGACATATGGTTGTCAAGCCTCTGCTTAAAGACCTCCAAAGAAGGAGACTCCACCACACTCCTTGGCAGCAAATTCCACTGTCGAACAGCTCTTACTGTCAGGAAGTTCTTCCTAATGTTTAGGTGGAATCTTCTTTCTTGTAGTTTGGATCCATTGCTCCGTGTCCGCTTCTCTGGAGCAGCAGAAAACAACCTTTCTCCCTCCTCTATGTGACATCCTTTTATATATTTGAACATGGCTATCATATCACCCCTTAACCTCCTCTTCTCCAGGCTAAACATGCCCAGCTCTCTTAGCCGTTCCTCATAAGGCATCGTTTCCAGGCCTTTGACCATTTTGGTTGCCCTCCTCTGGACACGTTCCAGTTTGTCAATGTCCTTCTTGAAGTGTGGTGCCCAGAACTGGACACAGTACTCCAGGTGAGGTCTGACCAGAGCAGAATACAGTGGCACTATTACTTCCCTTGATCTAGATGCTATACTCCTATTGATGCAGCCCAGAATTGCATTGGCTTTTTAGCTGCCGCGTCACACTGTTGGCTCATGTGAAGTTTGTGGTCAACCAAGACTCCTAGATCCTTTTCACATGTACTGCTCTCAAGCCAGGTGTCCCCATCTTGTATTTGTGCCTCTCATTTTTTTGCCCAAGTGCAATACTTTACATTTCTCCCTGTTAAAATTCATCTTGTTTGTTTTGGCCCAGTTCTCTAATCTGTCAAGGTCGTTTTGAAGTGTGATCCTGTCCTCTGGGGTGTTAGCCACCCCTCCCAATTTGGTGTCATCTGCAAATTTGATCAGGATGCCCTTGAGTCCATCATCCAAGTCGTTGATAAAGATGTTGAATAAGACCGGGCCCAAGACAGAACCCTGTGGCACCCCACTAGTCACTCTTCTCCAGGATGAAGAGGAACCATTGATGAGCACCCTTTGGGTTCGGTCAGTCAGCCAGTTACAAATCCACTGAGTGGTAGCATAGTCAAGACCACATTTTACCAGCTTCTTTACAAGAATATCATGAGGCACCTTGTCAAATGCCTTGCTGAAATCAAGGTAGGCTACATCCACTGCGTTCCCTTCATCCACCAGGCTTGTAATTCTGTCAAAAAACGAGATCAGGTTAGTCTGACATGACTTATTTTTCAGAAATCCATGCTGACTATTGGTGATCACAGCATTCCTTTCTAGGTGCTCACAGACTGTTTGCTTAATGATCTGCTCCAGAATCTTCCCTGGTATTGATGTCAGACTGACTGGGCGGTAATTATTTGGGTCCTCTCTTTTCCCCTTTTTGAAAATAGGGACAACATTTGCCCTCCTCCAGTCTGCCGGGACTTCGCCTGTTCTCCAGGAATTCTCAAAGATGACTGCCAGTGGTTCTGAGATCACATCTGCCAGTTCTTTTAATACTCTTGGATGCAGTTCATCTGGCCCTGGAGACTTGAATACATCTAAACTAGCCAAGTATTCTTGTACTATCTCCTTAGTTATTCTGGGCTGTGTTTCCTTTGCTGAATCATTTGCTCCAAATTCTTCAGGTCGGGCATTGTTTTCTTTATCGGAGAAGACTGAGGCAAAGAAGGCATTGAGGAGTTCAGCTCTTTCTGTGTCCCCTGTTTGCATTTCACCATCTTCTCCTCTGAGTGACCCCACTGTTTCTTTGTTCTTCCTTTTGCTACGGACATACCCATAAAAGCCTTTTTGTTGCTTTTAACCTCTCTAGCAAGCCTGAGTTCATTCTGTGCTTTAGCTTTTCTGACTTTGTGTCTACACGTGCTGGCTATTTGTTTGAATTCCTCTTTGGTGGTTTCCCCCTTTTCCATTTTTGTACACATCCTTTTTTAATCTTAACTCAGTTAAAAGTTCTTTAGATAGCCACCCTGGCTTCTTTAGGCACCTTCCATGTTTCCGTCTCATTGGTATTGCCTGACGTTGTGCTTTTAGTATCTCCCTCTTAACAAACTCCCAGCCATCATGAACTCCCTTTCCTTTTAGTATTACTGTCCATGGGATCTCACCCAGCACTTCCCTAAGTTTTATGAAGTCAGCTTTCTTAAAGTCAAGAAATTGAGTCCTAGTATGCTTGGCTGCTCCTTTCCGCTGTATAGTAAACTTCAGAAGAGCATGATCACTTGCGCCTAATGATCCTTCCACTTCTACCCCACTAACCAGGTCATCAACATTGGTTAGGACCAGATCTAAAATGGCTGTTCCTCTTGTTGCTTCTCCCACTTTCTGGACAATGAAGTTGTCTGCAAGGCCAGTGAGGAATCTGTTTGACCTTATGCTCTTGGCTGAGTTTGACATCCAACAAATATCCGGGTAATTGAAGTCCCCCATACTACTATCTCCCTTCCTTTTGCATGCTTGGCCATCTGTTCCAGGAAGGCATCATCTATGTCCTCCGTTTGGCTTGGGGATCTATAGTAAACTCCCACAATGAGGTCACTGTTATTCTTCTCTCCCTTAATTTTGACCCAAATGCTCTCACTTTGGCTTTGAGGTTCTAAATCTTGGATCTCTTCACAGGTATACACATCCCTGACATATAACGCCACTCCTCCTCCTTTCTTGTCTGGTCTGTTTCTCTGAAATAGATTGTATCCCCCATTATTACATTCCAATCGTGGGACTTATCCCACCAGGTTTCAGTGATGCCTATTATGTCATATTTAGTTTGCTGTACCAAGAGCTCAAGCTCATCTTGTTTATTTCCCATGCTTTGCGCATTAGTGTACAGACATTGAAGTCCATTAATCATTCCCCGTGACTCTTATTTAAGGATTTTTCCTCCCACCACTAGGTCTGTGTGCTGTTTGCTCCATTTGGTCTATGACATTTGGATGATCATCTTCATCAATTGATAGACTCCTACCTTCAGGAGCACTATCTCCCTCCCCACATTAGTCAGTTTAAAGCCCTCCTGATGAGGTTTCTGAGATTTTTGGCAAAAACATTTCTCCCAACCGTTGTGAGGTGCAGCCCATCGCTTGCCAGAAGTCCATCTTCAAGAAACTGCAGTCCGTGATCTAAGAATCCAAACCGTTCCTGTTTACACCATTTGCGAAGCCAGCTGTTCACTTCCACTATTTTCCCCTCTCTCCCTGGGCCACGTCGTTCAACTGGGAGGACAGATGAGATCACAATTTGTGCATTTAATTGCTTCAATTTCCTGCCCAGAGCCTCGTAGTCTCTTTTGATCTTCTGGAGGCTATTGCTTGCAGTGTCATTGGTTCCCACGTGAACCAAGAGGAAGGAGTATTTGTCAGTGGGTTTTATGATTCCTTGCAGTCGTTCAGTTACATCTTGGATCTTAGCCCCGGGGAGACAGCACACTTCCCGAGACATCTTGTCAGGCCCACAGATCACTGCTTCTGTTCCCCTCAGTAGGGAATCCCCTATCACCACTACACGCCTCCTCTTAGGTTTGGCCGGGGTTCTTCTGTGAGCTGTCCGCTCCAAGGTCGCCTGCACATTCCCTGAGGACTGACTTTGCTGCTCGTCTTCATATACCTGATCGACTGTAATGAGGGAGAGATCCTCAAATGGAGTCTGCTCTTCGTCTTCCATGCTAGGGGAGAGGACCTCAAAGCGATTGTGTATTTCTAAACAATCAGAGCGAACCCTGGGCCTCCTACTTCTTTGAGTCACGTTTCTCCATATATCTGGCTCCTGTGTTGGTGAACTAGCGTCCTTCTCAGGGAGTCCCCTGTCTCCTCCTTGGTGGAGACGGTGTGCTCTGTTGCTTCCAAGAAGAGCTCCAGCTCTCTAATTCTTTGGAGCGTAGCTACACGTTCCTCCAGTTGCTGGACTTTGTCTTTTAAGAGGGCAATCAACATGCAATTGCTGCAGGTAAAGCTGCCTGCAACCTTTGGCAAGATGGCAAGCATTGCGCAGGAACCGCAGGCGACTGCAGCTGTTCCCTCCCCCTCCATCTTGAGAACGTGTCGTTGGGGGTGGCTACAGTGGTCCTCCATCATAAAAAGCGTGAAGACAGGAAAAATAACTCCCCCCACAAAAAACCTAGGTCTCCCCCAACAAACGTTTGAGACTAGCTCCCCTAAATCTAAAAGATGGATAAAACTGCGCGCGCCGCTAGGCCTGCCGCTGCCCTGCAATCTCTGATAAGCTCCTCCCACAGCTAATCACCTGCCTCAACAGAAACCCTGCCCCCTCTGACCTTTGCACAGGGAGAGCAGCCAATCAGTCACAAAGAAACACACACACAAGAAAACCCTTTTTGCTCCTTCTTCAACTGCTGCCCTGCAATCTGAGCAGGAGCAGTTTAACTGAGAATCAATCACAGTCAATATATAATTTGAAAAATAAGACTTTAGGGCCATCTTGCCAAAAAACCACAACTGGACATTCCATTTTGGTGACTGTAACTTTGATTTAAGGATCCATTGGATGCCCAGCTTATACATCTCACTTTCTAACACTGGCTACAATGTGGGGGTTGGGGGGAGCCATTTCTGCAAGTTCATCACCCTAACGCACTAAGTAAATACCTCGAAAAGCAGATGGAGACATGCATTTGTATAGGACACCAGTCCTAACTAGTCTTTGACAGGAAGTTCTGTGACTGGGTGTTTTAACAGTACTTTATAGTTTACATCTCTGCAACATCCTGACCTGGTTGGAGCCTCTGATCAGTCCTGGGAAGAGGACACTTGATCAAGACCACCCCACACCCAGAGTGTGCAGGGCTATCCATATCCACCCTCAACACTTTGGCTGCTCAAGCATGATTACGTTTAAAGGCTACAAAAATCCTCTTTAAAATCCTTACTAAAACACAAAACCGAAACACATTTTATACCCTCAAGTATGGCAAATGTCTTGCAAAAAGGACATCAGCACACCGGTGAAATGAAGGAGAGGGCACAGAGCAAAAAGGAAGTGCTAATTACATTAATTTCATCTTGCTAGCTGCTCAAATATATGCCAAGGAGATTTCCTTCCAAATTACAGAGATGGATTCTGCTCACTTCTTTTTAAAGACTAAGTGTGAAAAGTGGCTGTCTGCTTTTAAACCTGAAAAGAAATTACTAAGATCCTTGGAGGAAAAGAAAGCAGGCAAGATTGGCTGAAAGAGCAGCAGCCCTATACAACCTGAAGAGATAAGAAACCATAACACCCAATCTGAAAAGATTCTTTTACCTTGGCTTGCCACTGAGAACTCCTTGAACCAATATATAGAATCTGCAAACTATAAAAAACCCAGGGTGATTGTTTACTATGTTTAACTCTTTCCAAACAGGTAATTAGATTATATTCAGCTACACACCTGTTTCTTTTCAGTTTTACTAGCAAACTGGAGGTTAAACCAACCCCTTTCCAGCCATGTTCAAAACTCCCATTGTTCTAGGTGCTTTTTGCGACAGTGAATTTCATTAGCGCAAGCAGTTTCTGAGCTCTGGGCTACTGAAGATTCCTGGGCTACTGAAGATTCCAGCATACTAAAACATAATCTGACTATGTAGTGCCTGGTTTGCAAAAAACACCAATACAAAGCTTTTCAAAAACAGGAATCAAAATACAGTGGTGCCTCACAAGACGAAAAGAATCAGTTCTGGGAGTCTCTTCGTCTAGTGGTTTTTTCGTCTTGCGAAGCAAGCCCATTGACGGATTAGCGGATTAGCGCTATTAGCGGCTTTTAGCAGCTCATCAGCTTATCGGATAAGCAGATAAGCGGCTTAGCGACTTAGAAAAAGAGGGGGAAAAGGAAAAAAAAAACCCAGGAACTCGCAAGACATTTTCGTCTTGCGAAGCAAGCCCATAGCAGATTCGTTTTGCGAGGCACCTCCAAAACGGAAAACTCTTTCGTCTAGCGAGTTTTCCGTCTTGCGAGGCATTCGTCTTGCGGGGCACCACTGTACAAAAACCACAGACCAAGAGCTCACTCCTCATTAGCTGTTAGGGCTGCAAATCCTAACCCCACTTAAAAGGCAGTAAACCCCATTGAATTAAATAGGACTTACACCTGAGTAAGAATAGTTAGGATTGCAGCCCCAATCTCTCTTTCCACACAGTGAAGACTACCTACTACACAGAATCATCAGTTACAGCAGGTCAAATAGGTGGGGGATTTGCTATGCACTTTTTATACATAACTTACTTTTTTATAAAGGGTATCCTTTACACTTTTAGGGGTTTACAGTGGTAACTCGGGTTAAGAACTTAATTCGTTCTTGAGGCCTGTTCTTAACCTGAAGCACCACTTTAGCTAATGGGGCCTCCCGCCACCGCCTAAGTACGATTTCTCTTCTCATCCTGAAGCATAGTTCTTAACCTGAGGTACTATTTCTGGGTTAGTGGAGTCTGTAACCTGAAGCATACGTAACCCGAGATATCACTGTACTGGTAAATCTTGGGGGGTTTTTGGAGTTTTTTAATAGATTAGAAACTGGACAGCCAAGTTTGACTACCATCCAACCAGAGAAGAGGGCTTCACTTTCACTCTCTATTTCTTAGAAGGTTCTGACATGCGGGTGGTGGTGGTAACAACAACAAACAATAAGCAGGAAGAAAGAAAATATGCAATGTAAAGTTTGCTGTTGTGTGCGATCTCTAGAGCAAATACAGTTCAAGAGAAATGTTACTGTCCAGATTACTGACAGGCAAGGCAGTGGGGCCTCCTCTCCATCATCCAGCCAATTATACAGTAGGCTACATATGCTATGACAAGGATGGAAATGCTTACTAAGCTGTCAATTTCAAAGCTGCAGCTGGCTTGAACTGGGTGCTACAAGTGGGCTTCACAGCTGCTTTGGTTTTCTTGCTCCACACAGGCAATGCAAGCGCCTCACTTTTGTACTTTCTACCCAGCAAGGCCTTTGATTTTCAGGAAGGGGCATGGATGTGTTTACCCCTTGCATCTAGTTTATTCCAGCCTTCACCAACCTGCCACTCCTTCCAGATGTTTTGGGCTACCAATGCCTGCATCAGCCTCCACCAGCAAAGCCAGGCTCACATCAGTCCCTGCCTTATATGGCTGTTGCTTCTGGGAAGAGTGTTTCCACAAACTGAACACACCAGTTTCAAACTTGTGTCTGAATAAAGTTCCAATGGAGTTTGGGTCACTTAATATGATTTAAGCAAACACTTGGTTCAAGGGAGCACTACAGTACAGTGGTACCTCGGGTTACATACGCTTCAGGTTACATACGCCTCAGGTTACAGACTCCGCTAACCCAGAAGTAGTACCTCGGGTTAAGAACTTTGCTTCAGGATAAGAACAGAAATTGGGCTCCGGCGGCGCAGCGGCAGCAGGAGGCCCCATTAGCTAATTAAGTACTTAACCTGAGGTACCACTGTATTAGGGAAATTAGCTGACAGGGCTTTTGGCTTACATTTTAAAAACACTTTTTTTTTGTTACAAAACATTCTTTTTGTAGGAGCAGTAACAGACCAAGATCCACTTATTGGTGAAGATAAGCAGTGCATGAAATTATTCCTGAATCTATATGGTCAAAAAAGGTGGGTGGGGTGGAACCAAGTGACAATGCCATGTGTGATATATCTATCAAGCTCCACTAATGCACAGGCATAGAAAGGCAAATCACCAAGGTTACCTTGTAACGTGTGAGGTGTGCCAACAATTTGATTCTTATAAAGGAGACACAAAGTTATCAGAGAAGGCCTGCGAAAACTCACACCTGTACAGACAGAAGTTCTAACTTCACAACGAGAAACTTCAATTGCCTTTAACAAGCCACACAAGGCAATTAAACTCTCCTCCAAAGGAAGGACCCATAAGAAAGCCTGGTTTGAGAGCAGAGCTCTCAAACACAGCCAGACAGGGGAAATCCAGAGAGCAGGCTGGGCACTTGTGTGGGGAAGATGTGCTCATTAGGCATGAGTGCACCTTGCCCCCCAGTTCACACCACACCCAGTTATTCAGAGGTTCAGCTACTGTTCTCCGTGTTGCTGTATCCACAGAACACTAATAAAGCTCTTACATAGTTTGGTAAGAAACCATGTCCTTACTGCAGAAGCAACGACTTAATCCAGGAAGTGCTCATAGGCATTTTATAACTACCTTGTACACTACTGCCTGCCCTGCCCCCAGTATTAATATTGCCTCGTCTCTAAAAGGTTGCTTTAACTACAAACGGTTATGTTGTATTTGCCACGTATTTGTTCCTCTCTGCTCCCTCCGGTCTCTCTCTCTCCCCCCCCCCCCAGTTTCCTGCTCAACCACAAAGTACTCTACACAACTATATTCTGCTTTTGTAAAGAGTCATTTACTCAGTCACCTGTGTCAAGTAAGAGTTGCCTTTGGATAATGAGACAGGGAAGCCTTAAAAAAATGGGAGGGAGCTGGGTCAGAGACAAAATGGCTAGAAGTTAAGTGATAATAAGAAGCAGACTAGTAACAGCTTGAGGACTTGTGACTTTGGGGGACTTATCTGCAAGACTACTGAATTCCTCCAATATTTTATGCCTAGTTTACATGCAAACAGGAAATGTTTCGTCAACCCCCACCCTAAGGCTCTTTAATACAAAATTACAGACACTGGTACCAACTCAGCTACAGGTTAGTGGTGACCAAGTTCCACTGAAAAACCACCATGTCCTTCTCTCAGGAACATTAATATTAATACCGAGACATACCATATTTCTTTTCATCAACCCTAAGAAGACAGCTTTCAACCAGGAAACATACACACAAATGAAGCTCTCTTCCACATTATTTCTTCTCCTTCCCCCATCTTTAAAACTAGACACACATACTGCCTTGTATTCCTTCACTTTCCCCTGCAACTTGACTTGGAGAAGTTGTACATGCCCGTTATTGACAACCCCCTCCCCAAGTATTTCTTAACTTGCCCAGTAATTCTCATTAATACTTGGGGACAGATACTCATAGTTCCCCGATATATTTTCCACCTCCTATCTAGAAAACACTGCTTTTAATTACAAACTAATAGACACACATTGTATATGCACTACCCCCACTATTGCCTTCACCTCCTCTCTTTGTGGCTAAAAATACTGGCTTGCATCCAATGCTAGCCCTACTCAGAGCAGACCTACTGAAAATAACAGACAAGACTAATTTAGGTCCATTAATTTATGCCTCAACTCTAGGGTGAAAAAAATGATGTTTTTAATAGCAAAATGCTACATAACATAGGCATGTATCTATTTTTAATAGTGCACAATGGTATAAAAAAATCTGCATTTGGCCTCTCCCATTGTGGGTCAAGAAAGGCCCTTCCCTTGCGGCCTCCCCAAGTGCCACACAAAGGATTACTTGAGTATATGTCCAAAGAAGGGCTGGGGGATTTCAGTTTCTCTCCAGATGTTGTTGGAGGACTTCAACTCCCTCATAAGAACATCGGAAGCTGCCTTAGAGTCAGACCACCGGGTCTATCTAGCTCAGCACCACCAACAGCGACTGGCAACAGCTCACCAGAGTTTTGAAGTGCTCTCCTACTGAGCTACAGTGCCAAAAGCCACCATGAATTAGGAGCCCAACAATATGGGGTTAGCACCTGGCCAGGAGGCCTCTTGGGAAGTACATGTGGGTTCCATGATGGAAGACAGCTGAGAAATCTAATGTTGGTCATAATCAGAGCAGACCCCTTAAAGGAGGTAACGTAATTAGATCCACTAATTTTCAATAGGCTGTATCCAACATTAGTCATACTTCAGAGTAGATCAACTGAAAGTAATGGGTTACATCTAGTATTAAGCTTATTAGTTTTGCCCATTAACTTCAATGAGTCTAACTCTGAGTACGGCTAATGTTGAATACAACCCACCCCCTTTAAAAATACTATATCAAAGTATTTTTTAAAAATAGGTGGTGGTTGGCGCAGACCAACTGAAATCAATAGGCTACTAGGGACTTCAAATGTCTAAAGTTCTACTCAAAGAAGGCCTACTCTGAGCAGAACTTACTTGGACCCAACCCACTGAAATTAATGGACATGACTAACTTAAGTGCATTATTTTCAGTGGGCCTACTCTGTGTAGACTTAATTGGACACAACGTACTGACATTAAAAGACATGACTTAGGCCCACTGTTGTCAATGGGCCTACTCTTAGCTTACCTTACTTAAATACAACCCACTCAAATTAATGCATCTGATGAACTTAGGTCCATCCTTCTCAATGGGCTTACTCTGTGTTCAACTTAAATGGATGCAACCCACTGACAATAATGGACATGACTCACTTAGACACAAGCCGCTGATATTCTTCCTTGAGGTCTTTAAGCCGAGGTTGGATGGCTATCTGTCCTGGATACTTTAGCTAAGATTCCTGCATTGGGGGGGGGGCTGGACTAGATGACCATCGAGGTCCCCTCCAACTCTACAATCCTATGATTAATGCAACCAGCGTTTCCAACCGGCCTACACTGTGTAGAACTCACCTTGGGCACAACCTATAGCAAATTAATGCACCTGACTAAATAAGATGCCGGTCTGCTCTTAAATGGACACAACCTATGGAAGCTAACAGGCACCACTAACTTGGGCTACTTTTCGACGGGCCTACTCCGAGCAGGCCTTTCTTGGCCCCAACACATCGGCGTGGACTGACGGGACTAACAGGCGTGTTAGTTAGGCGTGTCATGCCTAAGCGGGCACCACTAACTTAGGCCCATTGCTGCTAATAATCACTATTATTATTAAGTAATTTTATTATTTGTGCCCCCGCCATCTGCCTGGGTTGCCCCAGCCACTCTGGGCGGCTTCCCACCTAATAAAGGCATAATAAAGCAACGGGTCTTCTCCGCCCCCCGCCCCCACCTCGCAGGCCTCACCTGGGCGTCCAGCTGCCCCGGCGAGAGGGCGACGGAGGGCGGCCCGCCGGCTCCTCCTCCTCCTCCTGCCGAGACTCCTCCGGGGTTGCCCTGCGCGGAGGCCCCGCCGCTTCCTCCTCCTCCCGGCGGCGTCTGGGTCTGGCTGGGCAGCGTGAAGTCGGTGAACTCGAACTCGGAGCCCTGCGTGTCGGCGCCCAGCAGCTCGGCCTCCTCCGTGTCCAGGAAAGTCAGCGTCTGGGAGCTGGGCCCGTACGCCTCCACGCTCATGATGGCGGCGGCGGTGGCTGAAGCGGTGGCTGAGGCGGCGGCGGCGGCTCCTTCCCCTTCTCCCCTCACGGAGGCGGCAAACGGCGCGGCAGAAGACAAGGCCTCTTCACCCTCAGAGCGAGCGACTGAGCGAGCGAGCGCGAGCCGCCTCCTGCGCCTGCGCGGAATGCCTAGGCCTCAACCGCCGCCGCCGACCGGACGCTCGGACGGAGCCAGCCAATCAGCGGGCGGCCCAACGTGCGCGGCGAAGTGGCGCGAGGCGGCCAAGGGCGGAAGGGGCGGGGGAGGAAGAGGAGAAGAATAGTCCTCGGTGCGCAGGCGCGGGGGTTGCCAGGGTCGGGCGCGCGTGAAGAGAGGGCGCATGCGCGTCGGACACACCCGTTCGGGGTCCTTGATCGCTCCGAAGTACCAGGCGGGAGGAGGAAACACGGGGCGGGGCAAAGCGCCCTTAAGCTCCGCCTCATTTCAATTTAACCCAATCAGGATTCTGCGGCTCGCTCTTAAAGCCCGCCTCTCCTCAATTTAATCCAATCAGGGCCGTTTATTCTGAGGAGGATGCACGATCCGAGGAGGGGATGGTAAAACAGGCGGACAATCAGGACAATCATAATAATAGAGCGGGGAGGGAGGAAAAGCGCGTAAAGGACGGAGGGGGCGGAGAGAGAGAGAGCGGGTCTGGGCAACCAATCAGAAAGTCCGGAGCCCGTTCAAGCCCCGCCCTTCCCCCCCGGGGAAGACGGCGAAACCGCGGAGGGGGAGGATGTTCCGCGTCGCGAAAGCGCGACAGAGCGCGGCCCTTTTACGTTCGGGCCTGAGAGAAAAGTGGCGTGTGGGCAGTGCGCATGCGCGAGCCCTCCCGCGGACGGGGAGCGCCGGGTTTCCTCGCGGGAGGCCACGCCCCTTGTCGCGGGAAGGGGGCGGGGAAAAGGCGGTGCCTGGAATGTGATTGGCTAAGAGTCTGCATTGGGGGTCTAAGTTCCAAAAAGACGAGGGTTTTTTACAAGAAAAGCAAGTATTTTGAGGCTGCGGACAGATCAATGCATCACTAAGGCCAGACTGAAAGCACCCCGTTAAAGCAATGTTTTATTATTATTGGATCCGGGGAGCTGGTTAATGAGGTTGGGGCTGCAGCGCCCGGTTGCCCGAGGCCAGAAGGATGGCTTGGAAGGGCGGAGGGGCCCCCGGCTGCCGTGCCCTCCCGCTGGCCTGCAGCTGGGCTTTGCTGCTGGGGAGCCTGCAGGATCGGGGCCCCTGCTCTGCGGCGGATCCCTCCTCCATTCACTGCTTATTAGAACCTCGCCGGTGGCGGCCATCTGTTCCGGGAGCAACTCGGCGCTTTCTTCCTGCCCCGCCCCGCCCCCTCTTTAAGATCCTGGAGAGGCTGGGAAACAGTTCAAAACAAAAATGCTTGCAGCTAGGGTAGCAGACCGTCTCTTTCCAAATTATTTGTTGTCTGCTGAATTGCAGAGACTCTGGGCGCATCACAGCACTTTCTAACATAAGTTCAAGACATGCACATACAATATGCATGCTTAAAGGTGCATAGTCATAGCCACTATGTTGCCCTTGTATCTTCGAGGGAATGGGAGCTGCTTCCTGGAGCGCATCTTCTTGTTCTTCCCTTTGCAATCCCCCGTGGCTTCCGCCAATAAAAGTTCAGGCACCTGGGCGGTTTCCAACAAAATATAAAGGGACAAAACAAAACATCAAACATTAAAAGCTTCCCAATACAGGGCAGTCTGAGAAAGGTCATATAATTATTTCCAGCATAAGGTTTTTATTTTGTAGTAAGGTGGTGGTGTTCAAGAGCAATGGATTCAAGAGCAGTGTTCAAGAGCAATGGATTACCAGAAAGCAGATTCGTACTAAGCATCAGGAATAAAAATCTTTTTTCTTTTAAAAATTGTATTGCTTAGATAAAATTTAATACAGTCTACACAAATAAATGATGATAAGAGCCAGTTGACAGTGGAACAGAGTCCTCAGGTGATAGTGGTCACTTCTTGGAGGTTTTTAAGCAGAGGTCTAAGCAGGTCATATGTCATGGATACTTTGGTTGAGATTCCTGCATTGCAGGGGGTTGGACTAGATGACCCTCAGGGTTACTTCCAACTCTACAATTCTATGAAGACCAAACGGAATCACAAGACAGTACCTAGCCACCAATAGCCTTATCCCCATGAATTGATCTAACCTTTAAAATCCATTTATGTTGGTGGTCATCCCTGTCTCTTGCGGGAGCTCAGCCCAGCCAGAGTGTTAAGTATGTGTTGTGTTAAAAGTTACAATTTTTTGGCCTGAATTGGATTCCAGCATTCAGGGCTGTATCTAACGCTAGTCATATTCAAAATTGATTCAGTGAAATTAAAAGGCATCATGTACTTCGGGTCCATTGAATTAGATGAATGCACTTGGAATAAAATTTACTTGGCCAAGCCATTCTGCTTCCCTGCATAGCCCCACACTCTTGTGTTAGAAGAAAGGGAGACTTTCTCCACACCAGGAATAATCTTAGGCGTCCCGCTTGGCCGCCTGGGTGGCATGCGTGCCCCTGCAGGGACGGAACAGGGCACCAGAATCGAGCCCTGTTCCCTTCCAGCGCCTTGCAGGTCCGCATTGCTTTTTTGAGCAGTGTGGAGCCTGCAGGGAGTCCACCTGCAGCCTCCCCCTCAGCTGTAGGGCGGCTGGGGTGGTGGTGGACACAAGCCCCATGTTGCCCAAGCCTGCAGGCGCCCGAGCCACCATGTCACTCCCAGGAGAGATGCGTGGCTCGGCACAGTAAGTGCCGCCCCCCGTGGTGTGGTGCCCAGTGCCCCCCCCCGCACTCCCCCAACTATGACTCTGCTCAGTTATTTCTCCCTACCACATTAATAGTAGGGGGCTACTAGTAACCTCCAACTTCCGTCACAAATCTGACGGTTCTACATTTTCCAAGAGTCAAGGGATCATGAGAGCAGAAACTAGAACTGCATGATGGCGGCTTTGAAAAGTCTTCTTGCTCTCTTCCTAATGACTTGCAGGATTTGCACCTCAAATGTGGTACAGAAAAGAGAGAAAGACACCAGCTCTATTTTTGTGGGTTGCCCTCACTGGCTGTCATCCAGTTGTGACATGATTTATGTAATTAATATAGGTTGCCATATTTCAAAAAGTGAGAATCCGGACACAAAAGTTGTTGAGCTATTTTATTGCAAAATCTAAAAAAAACCCCAACCCTACTACTCCTACCTGCCTGTATAGTAGTAGAAACAGCATATAAAAATGCAAGAAATTTGCTTTAAAATGATGAAGAATTTTTCACATGGATCTTTTAAAAAAATTAATTTGCAAACTGGTGTGGAACTGCTTAAGCATGGAAAAAACGAGAACATTTAATCAGCAGACCTAAGTTTAAGGCATCTTCTCCTGGGATGATTCACAATTTGGTACACTCACCATCTCTCTATCTGATTGCTGTTTTAGCGGGTGATCTATGGTGTGACTGGCCAGTTAAGCTTTCTGACATCCTTCTGTCTCACTAGATCACAGTTGTTGATGGATGCTGTGGGCGATTCTCTCCGCAGGGGGCTACCTGGGGGCGAGGGGTCAGTTCTATAATCTCCACTATAGAAGATCAAATTTTGGGCTGTTCTTACAGTTTGGCTGTTGAGGTCCTGCCACAATCCATCCACTTCCATCATCTCACTATCTGATTGCCGTTTTAGTGGGTGATCTATGATGATGTGACCGGCCAGTTAAGCTTTCTGACATCCTGCTAACAGATCGCAAGCCTGGCCATTGGGGCTTCTGGGGGGGGGGGACACGACGACGATGGTGGTAATAAAAGCTATGGGGCCAAGGGCTGGACACTGAAACACCAGGCATCTCCTTCCTTCCAAGATGTGGAGAATCCAACAGCCTCCCCACCTCTTCCTCCTCCTCCTGTCCTCCTCTCTGGTCGAACCAGGTGAGTTCAAAGACACACCCCACCTCTGCTGAACTGAGTTCTGCTATTCCTCTGGGCCAAGCCAATCTCATTCCTTCCATTCCTGATGCTCAGGCTGCCCTTTGCAGGAGGTTTGTAAGCAGAGGCAGGGCTCATAATGCTACAATGGCAAAGCCCTGCTTCATGGATCCTGCAAGGAGAAGCGGGTTGGGCTATAGGACCTTGGAGACCCCTTCCAACTCTGACAATTCTTCATTTTCCAGAGTGAAGGTTTATGGGGGGCGCGCGCGTTAAGTCTGAATTGTACATTAGACTCCTTCTAAACTCATGATCCTGTATACTTGAGGTAAAACCAGTAAGAGGAAACTCGTTCCTTTGTTATAGTCATGGCTTTGGCTGGCCAGTTAAGCACTGCGATTTACAAGTCCAGGGTGGCCCTTTTCCCTCCTCGTCTGGTTGGGGGTGGGGAAGAACAACAGGTTGAGGTGTGTGCTGTGCACGTGCGTAAGTTTTGTTGTCTGTTGGTTCAAGGGAAAATATGTACAAAATACAGAAAAGAGAACTCCAGGATGCCAAGATCCATGTCTGAGGCAAGTACTCTGGTGAGAAAGCCCCAGAGATTTAAAATTGCAAGATACACAGCAAAGTATAGCATAGAAATATAGGATGTTAGAGCTTTAAAATTTGCCCTGATGAGTTCCAAAACCTCCCTCTTGGCATAAGAAAAGGACCACACATGTAGTAAGTTAAAAATGTTTTACTTACAAACTCTCCAAAGGTCAGATTCATGTGCATGTCCATACATCAGAAAGGCTGCATGGACAGTAACACTTAGTTTAATTCCAAAGTGGTGAAAGTTCCTAAATGATTGGTATTGGATCTTGAGAGTGGCTTGTGAGAGCAACCAGCTTAACATTTTCACACACTACGTTCATCAGGTAGACTGGGGAGGGAACAAAGGCTTGATTACCTAGTTGCTCCGGTGGTGAGGGGAAGTGCCCTTAGTTAAACCTGACAGGACAGCTTACTCTATGGTATCCACCCCTTCATACATTCACTAGGTTTAAACATGTTTGTTATATGAGGCTGATTATTACACTAATTTTTGGCTGATGCTGGAAGCTGGAGAGATAGAGGTTTGCATTGCTCTGTGCCAGAAATCGGGCTTCCCTGGAACCCTAATGAGAAAGCAAGATTTATGGGTTGGTTCTGCTGATGTTCATTTCAAGGAAACTCAGCGCTGGGTTAAGCGAAGGGATCCCTGGAGTCACTTGATGCTCAGAGATTGGGGTAAACAATATCTGTAACTGCATGTGCAGACATCCCATTTCCATTCCCCTGCTCCCTTCCCTTCATTAACTCCCTGGCAAAGACGATTGTAAGCTGACTGGGGTGCTGTCGTTTTTCTGCTTTGCAAAGATGGATGGTACCCATAAGCTAATAAGGGGGCCGTGGAAAGCCGCTGATCTCCTCTTATGATTCTTACAGCTCTCTTGCGGAGTCGCATAATTGGAGGACATGAAGCTGTACCTCATTCCCGACCCTACATGGCAACACTCAAATCTGAATTTGGCTTTGGGTGTGGTGGGTTCCTTGTGGCACCCCAGTGGGTAATGACAGTATCTGAAAGCCCTCCCTGATGTGTAGCAGTGGCCTTTCATTCCATTTGCAAATTGTTCCCCATGATACTTGATGCAGGAGGAACATCTTAAGGCAGTAAAATCTTTAGGCAGAAAAGAGAGTCGAGAAGGCACCTTTCTGACATGCAGGAGATCCAAAGAACAGGTGGAGGAAGGCTTAGTGAAACAAATGCATATCTCAGCGAAAATAACCTATATAAGCATATTATATATGGGGAAATGGCAGAATTGCATATAAAAATGTGCATATTAGGACACATTCACCCTAAAATGCTGATGAATTTTGACAAGGGCTTTTTTTAAAGCAACATAAATACTGCAAACTGATGTGGAAATGTGAAGAACTGAATTTAAGATTGGAAAGATGAGAAACTGAGGAAAATCAAAATTGGCCGATTCCCCACCCTTCGGACCCACCCAAGAGAGAACAATAGCTAAGGATTAATTCCAGGTTCTCTGATGCTCTTGGATTCCAGAGACATGACGGTCGTCTTGAGGGCGCTCGATCGTTCCGCCATTGAGGACACTCAACAGGTGATTGGCATTGAGTCATACCACATGCACCCGGAATATAATGACGTAACGGTCTCAAACGACATCCTTCTGCTCAAGGTGAGTTGCTCTAAGCTCCCTCTTTCTCAGCACCTCAGAAGGCAGGGATCACGAGGAAGAAGGAACATGAATGAGCCCCAGCCCGCCGTCCAACTCTGCCCAAAGTATCATAAAAGCCGATTCTCAAATCTTGCCGCCTGACACATCTGCATGTGTCTCACCAGGGACTAGCGGCATGGAGCAGGCGACTAAACTGGAACCTCATTAAGGAGTTTCAACTTCAAAACTAGGAAGGTAGATTAATACAGGGACATTTCTCTCCCCCCCCCTTCAAAAAGATTAATTCAGGATGTTACAGATTACACCAACAATGGAGGTCTATATCAGGGGTGGGGAACATCAGGAATGGTAGTCAAATGTGCCCCCCCCGTCTCTTTGCCTGGCCCATGGCATTCTCCCCAGGCCAAAAGCTATTGCCAGCCCTTCTCTGCAATCTGAGTTCTTTTATTATCTTGAATTCTGCTAATGTTTCTAGTTTGCCTGGATGAAGGGTGAAGTGAAGTCTATCTATCCAAGCCAGCTTACTTTTGAAAGTTAAACTTCCTTTTGGTGCTTCTCCCTCTTTTGCCTCTGCCCCGCCCACCACTCACATGTGGCCCTTGGAAGGTTTCTCGGGGAGGAGCGAGGCCCTTGGGCTCCCCACCATTCTGCCCCCTCAAAAAGCAGTCAAAAAGAAATGATGCTATCCCTGCTATTGCCTGCAAAGATGACACACGTTTCCATAAAAATTCCTTATGGCCATTTCTGTGTGTGAGAGGCAAACTGAAGGTGGTAAAGTGCCCTGTAAACAAAGCAAAACCCAGGTATAGGACCGCCTTCTCACACTTTGGGGTCTGAGCAGAAGTCTCCAGGATTCCCTGACGCCCTCCAGGCGGCAGGTGGAAGGTTGAATCTCCAGGGGGGCAAAAGTGCCTTTAACAAAAATATACATAGAAATATTTAGAAGACCCTGCATGTCACTTGCAAGCTTCAGCCCAGCAAGAGCTGGCTGCAAATGATAGCCCATACCTTTGGGGTGGGATCTGCCCTCCTCTTCTTGCCTCTCCCAATTAACTTCCATCTCAGGGGCTTCCCATATGACAGGGGCGCCTTACTCTCTGCAGCCTCTCTTTGCCTTTTGGGTCAGGCTTGCCCCGGGGATGGAGCAGCCGCGGCCGGCAGCCCCTCTCTGCACATGGGGCAGCCCAGTTGAGGAGAGGGCAGCAGCTCTCTGCCGCTGACTCTCCATTCACACACCGAAGCAGGGGGAAGGGGACAGACCTGGTCAACCCCCCACCAGAAAACACACCTGGTGGATAGCGGGCTGAGTGGCTCTGGCGGGGCTGAGTGTGACGTCATGGGCATGTGGTGCTCCCCCCCCCCCACAACTCCGTGTGCCTGCCAGATGACGTCATTGGGGGCTGCCCTGACTTCTCAGGTTTGGGCCCTGAAATCTCAAGGTCTGAAATGCTGCTGACCTGGCAACCCAAACCCCAGCAAAGTCCTGAGGCTCTGCCATGATTGCAGCTTGATACGACTTCCAAAGGAAGAATAAAATTACCATAAATTTTGCTCTATAAGACTCACTTTTTCCCTCCTAAAAAGTAAGGGGAAATGTGTGTGCATTTTATGGAGCGAATGCAGGCTGCGCAGCCATCACTGAAGCCAGAACAGCAAGAGGGATTGCTGCTTTCACTGTGCAGCGATCCCTCTTGCTGTTCTGCCTTCTGAGATTCAGAATACCTTTTTTTTTTCTTGCTTTCCTCCTCCAAAAACTAGGTGCGTCTTGTGGTCTGGTGTGTCTTATAGAGCGAAAAATACGGTAATTGCTGCCCCCATCAAAGAAAACAATGGCCCAGAACTTCTAGAGAACTTTATTTTCTGGCCCCTTGCCCCACCTCTCCATTGACAAAATGCCACCCCCAGTTTGTTCCTTCCATCACATGTCAAGGAGATAAATAACTACACATCCAAAGGCAGTCCTGAATAGGGAAGTTTTTAATGTTTGATGTTTTATTAAGCTTTTATATCTGTTGGAATCCGCCCGGTCAGGTGGACAAGGTACTACTATTGTTATTGTTACTGGCAAACAGGGTGGTGATATTTTGTGTGTCTGCAGATTTACCTTGGCACTTAGCTCTAAGAACTATGTCTCACACACATTCATTCTTCTGCATTTCCATTCTCACGAGGACCAGCAACCTGCTTGCTTTTAATCAGAGACGTATACTCCCCTCCTGCCGCAGCTGCTGTCCCTCCATCAAAGCAACCCACATTCCAAAGGCCTGAGTTCCATCCCAGGTCCCTGGGAGGAGAGGGTTGGACTAGAGGACCTTGGAAACCCCTTCCAACTCCAACAGTTCCTTTGGTCCATCTGGCTGGGTGTTGTCTACACTGACTGGCAGAGGAACGCCAGGTCTTCAGACGGAGGAAATTCTCTGTCCTGCCTGGAAAGAGGGCCCACCTTGAAAGAGGGACCGATGAGCTATGGCTCTTTCTCTAGAAATAATGAAACCCTTGATTTGTCAGTAAAAAGCTTTGAAGCAATAATGGACGTTCCCAGAATGAAGGTCCACCTAGATCAGTGTTGTTGGCACTGACTGACAGCAGCTCTTCAGAGTTTCTGTTTCATAGAAGGGTCTCTCCACAGCTGAGCCGTGGGTTGAACCTGGGACCTTCTGCATGCAGAGCAGGTGCTGCACCTGCTGAGCTACAGGGACGGGGGGGCGGGGATGTGTGTGTTCCAGGGAAGACTTTGTTTTGCAAGGGAGATTGCTTGACTCTTCTCCTTCACCTTCCTGCAGCTGGTCCACAAGGCTACTCTGAACAAAAACGTCCAGATTATTCCCCTGCCCACATCTAGCAGCGACCTCCCCAATGGGACCCCCTGCAGCCTGGCAGGATGAGGCCTGATTGATGACAACCAGGACACGGAGAAGCTCTTTGAGTCCAACATCACCATCTACGGTCGCAGGAAGTGCATGAAGTTCTACCCAGAGCTGGACGACAGCATGATCTGCGCGGGCAGCTACAACCAGCTCCAGGATACAAGCCAGGTGAGGGTCAGCAGGCAGGACTGGTGACCGGGGTCAGCAGCAGAGAAATCTGGGGCCCTCCAGGTGTTGCTGGACCCAAACTTCCACCAGCCCCCCTGTGGCCATTGCGCAGGAATGGTGGGAGATTTCTGGTTCAAAGCATCGGCTCACTTGCTCTGTATTGTTGACAGGCTGGCGGGGGCTCTCTGAGGTTTCCGGAGTGGCGCATTCCCCATCCCACCTTAGGATTAAACCTGGGTCCTCCTGCAGATCCTCTGCCATTGAGCTGTGCCCCTTTGTGAAGGGTGTGGGTGTCTCCAACCCCTGGGAAGGGGGAGGCAGCTCAAGAAAGCAAGCCAAGTCACAAGCTGTCAAATCCATGTCTGAGGGCACTAGTGAAGCAAAACTCTCTCCTCCCCTTTCTCTCTCTCTCTCTCTCTCTCTCTCTCTCTCTCTCACACACACACACACACACCCCACACACACCCACACCCTGCTACACTTCCTCACACATACGGACAAAAAGCTCTTTTTAACTTTCTTTCATACCACTTCCTGGTGTCATAGAAATTAAAGGAATAATAAAATTTAAAGTTGAAATGTGTGTGAGAGAGGCTGAGCAGGCGATGGTTTGGAATGTGAAGGTTGTGTTTACCAGAGAACCAGGAGAGAAGGACAAAACTACATGTCTGCAAGAGCTACTGCTCTAGCAGCTGAGGACGAAGGAAGAAGAAAGAGATGGAAGGCGCTGTGCCCCAGGCTTTTAAAGGCAGAGCCCTCACATGATGGCCCCTTTGCTTGCGTTCATATTTGGGCTGCCACCCCTCAACTACTTGCCGGTTGAGGCTGTGTCTCACTGGGCTTGCAGTGCCCTAGTAAAAGCCCTGTATGGCTGACAATTGGAGGCTGGGTCTTCCTGAAATCTGGGAGAGCCACTGCCAATCAGTGTCGACAGCACTGAGCTAGATGGGCCAATGATCTGATTCTCACCCAAGTCTCATTATAAGGCAGCTTCCTTCCTCACTAGGTCGCAGTTGTTGACGGATGCTGGGGGCTCTTCTCTCCGCAGGGCGATTCTGGAGGCCCCATGGTCTGCAACGGCGTGGTGCACGGAATCGTCTCCTTCGGCAACCACTTTCCTCCTGGAGTTTACTCTCGCATCGCCCACTTCCTTCCCTGGATCAAGAAAACCATGGAATACTGAAGAGAAGAAGCAACCACCAACTGCAGCCTGGCTCAATAAGAAACCTTCTGCTTGCTATATAACCTGTATGGCTTTCATTCTGCAATTCCACCTGCCCCCCCCCCCAATGCTGCAAAGACTCCCTCCTCCCACTCCTGGATCCAAAGGGACTTGAATTCACAACTGCATTTTCGTGCCATCTCCCCAGGGAATTCTGGGAAGCGTAGTTCTATGGGGTGAAATGTGGATCTCTTAACAACTCTCAGCCGCCTTGACTAACTACAGTTCTCCAAATTATTGCTGGGCATGGCTGTTTAAGTGCCCTATAATGTCCGAGATCCCAGTCAATGGCCCTGTGTGGTTTCAATCCGAGAGCGTTTGTTCAGTGCATGATCCTTGGATCGAGAGGTGTACCCTGAACACAAGAGAAGCAGAATTTGGAAATGGGGGTGGGGGTGGGGAGAGCAGATTGAGTGCCTTGACCTGTCACATTCTGACCCTCTTGCATTGCAAAATAAAGCAAACGGTTGAGCATCAGTCTTGGGCTTCTATTAGCCTCTCTGAAATGAACGTATGACCTGTAAGAAGGCACCATAACTTCAAGACCATGTCTTGGGTTGTGGAAATCGACAGAATGGCCCATCCCTAGGTTCAAAGCAGCCCCCCCCCATAACATTTGGCCATTCCCCCGTTTGGCACATTCTTCCAATCGGCATCCATCACTCACCATCTCTCTATCAGACGGCTGTTCTAGCGGGTGATCTATGGTGAGACAGCCAGTTAAGCTTTCTGACACCTCACTTTTCATTTTCACTGCAAGCCCAGCTGTTGTGGCTACCTGGGGGCGAGGGGTCAGTTCTATAATCTCCACTATAGACACTGTAGAAGATCAAATTTTGGGCTCTTCTCACAGTTTGGCTGTTGAGGTCCTGCCACAATCAATCCACTTCTATCATCTCACTATCAGATTGCCGTTTTAGTGGGTGATCTATGATGATGTGACCGGCCAGTTAAGCTTTCTGACATCCTGCTATCAGATCGCAAGCCTGGCCGTTGGGGCTTCTCCGGGGGAGGAGGAGTCAGCTGGAATCTCCACATCTTGAAGTCCCACTTGGCAAGGAAGGAGATGCCTGGTGTTTAAGTGTCCAGCCCTTGGCCCCATAGCTTTTATTACCATCGTCCAGCTAATATTTAATTTAACTGTTTACCATTCTATTCTAACGGATGATTTAATATTTCTTTATTTGATGTGTTGTTTCTTTTTTAAAGTTATTGTGACTTTCTTGTATTGGATTAGATTGCTATTACATGTGTGATCTTTGCTGTCTATTTTATTGTTTCTCCAGCATGTAAACCACTTTGTGTATAAAAAGTAATATAGAATTGCGGTATACAGATTAAAAGTGAAATGAAATCTTCCATGTGACAGCCTTTTAGACATTTGAAGCTGTCTATCATATCTCAGTCTCCCCTTTTCAAGGCTAACCATCCCCAGCTCCTTCAACTGTTCCTCATAGGGCTTGATTTCCGGGCCCTTGATCATCTTGGTCACCCTCCTCTGCCCACCTTCCAGCTTGTCAACATCCTTCTTAAGCAGGTCTTCCCAGAACTGGACACAGGACTGCAGGTGTGGTCTGACCAAGGCAGAACAGAGCGAGACTATGACTTCCCTTGATCAGGACACTATATTTTTGCTGGGGCATTAAAAGAGGGGATGACCAAAGCTTGCATTGTGTAGCAAAGAACGAGCTTATCTATGTGTATCAGATGATGTACCTTGAGGGGCTAATGTACCAAAGCTTTATTTCAGTAAAGGTGAATGAGGAAACCTCTAGGAGTCCCCGGTCAGTTTCTGGAGGGCAGGGCAGGTAGCTTCTGATATTATACTGTACATAGAATTGACTGTTGCATTTCCAAGCAACTAGCAACAGAATCGATCCCTCAAAGCAGTTGATGGGGCCGGTTGAATCTTGTTAGTGAGTCCTCCAGAGTCCTGTCAAGCCCTAACTGTAAGGCTGCATCAATTTGGCACAGGTCCCTTACCCCTAACCCCCCCCAACTGATAATCTCTTGCCACACAGAAGAGAAAGACCCAAAGTGGCTTTCACACAGCAGTTAATGGGTTTGAAATCTGCTCAGAAAATGAGAGCTGTACCAGTGGAAATGTACTGATTGGGGCACTTGATACTTGCAAACATTTATCTGCAAGTTCTCATTATCTTTCTTGCTCTATTTTGACATGTAACTCATGAAAATATCTCTGTTGCCTATAGATAGATAGATAGATAGATAGATAGATAGATAGATAGATAGATATTTGTGTTTTACAGACTCCCACAAGAGGTGGTGGACTCTCCTTCGTTGGAAGTTTCTAAGCAGAGCTTGGACGGCCATCTGTCACGGATGATTTCGTTGAGATTCCTGCATTGCAGAGGGTTGGACTACTAGATGTCTCTGGGGGATGCCTTCTATCTCATGTTTGGGTGCCAGCAGATTCTCAGTAGAGATGGACAATTTTGTTAATTCTTGTTTGTTCTGGGAAGCTTGAAGTAGGTGGGGTTAGCAAACTGAATTTCCCCCATTCCCTACAGAGAGTTTAAGTGGGTCCTATCACCTCTAAGAAGGTTAATAAGCATAGGGTTGGATCCAGATCGAGGCCCCATCTAGGCAACACATACAGTATAAAGCAGTAATATGTGACATGGCAAATGTTCAGCATTTTAATTCAAGTTGCTCATGATATATTCCACATGCAATTTTGCAAAATATGCACATATTGGCAAAGCAATTCCCCCTAAAATAATGCAGTTTGGTATGTTTGTTTTCACTATTACATGCATTAACAGACACACGTCACTTGTGCACAATTACTTGGCTGGAGACCTATGCGGCAAAATTCAGAGAAGTTTACATTTACATCTTAGCTGAATTAAATTTCTACAATCCATCACACGTACCCTTAAGTGGCTTGGTGTGTGAAATGGTAACTGTGAACTCCCATTTTAAGATGTTGTGGGTGCCAAGGTCTTTTGTAAAAGTGCCTAGGAATCCTAGAGGTGGGAGGTGAATCCTTTTGGGGGCTGAGCAAATGCATCCAGGAAATCTTCTAGGGCTGAAATAAAATGACACACCCCACCGCCTCAGCTGAATGAGACAACAAAGTCCCACAGTTCACAACCTTGAGTGGCTTAACACGAACCTGTCCTGGAGTGCAAGGCTCAAATGGCAGATTTATGGGGCTCTGGGTCAGACCTCCAGGCCTAAGGAAGAGAAAGTAGGGAGGGAGGGAGTGGAATCATCTAAGGTGAAGCGTAGGCAACCTTTTGGCCTTCCAGATGTTGCTGGACTCCACCTCCCATCAGCCCTAGCCAACATGACCAAAAGCCAGGGATGATGTGAGTTCCAGTTCAACAGCCTTATGTGGGCCACAGGTCCCCATCCATGCACGAGGGGAAGCAAGCGAGAATGGGACAAGGCACTTGAGGGAGCTGGAGATCTATGGAGCTCTGAGAGGGAGAAATGGCTCCCCATCTGCCCAAGTACCAAGACCTGCCGAATGCAAAGATGGCTCTTGATATGAAGATTGCCACTTACAGGAAACTGCTGGAGGGAGAAGGGAGCAGAATCACAAGGCCCATGTTTCCAGATTAGGGAGGGAGAAGGGGCAGAATAGTTTTAAGGGAGAGGAAAGACCTCTGGGCACCTGAGGGTGGGAGAAGTGGAACAGCAAAGGTCACCGGAAGAGGTATGATGGGAAATAAGGGCGGGAAGAATACGGGAGGAGGCTGAGGGATTTTCTTGAAGTGGGTGGGAGCCACTGCAGGCACTTGTGAAAACACAATCCTGTACTAAACATCTGGTAGATGTATCATATTCCTTTGCAGCCCTTGAGGGGTCTCTTTGCAGAATGCAAGCCTAGCAGGCAAGACAGGAAGCAGAAGCGTTTGAAAAAGAAGAAGCAATGATGCCACTGCTGTTGCTTCTTCTCTTCACAATTCCATGACTTCCTTGATCCAGGAAAGGTAGTGGGTGACACGAGTGTAAATTCCTGGAGGAGAGGAAGAGTCGCCAAAGGAGACAATTCCTTGTGCCACGCCGTCACACACCAAGGGGCCACCCGAATCCCCCTGCAGGAGGGAGAGAGAGCAGAGATCACATCTGAGGGAAGATCGGGATCCACCCTGTGGGGAATCTGGGTCTTGAACCAGGACAGAGACCACCAGGCTTCCTGGCTGAGGGTAGTTGGATCTGTCAACTTTGCTTTCTAATTATTCCAGTATAAAATGTGATTTGCTGCTTTTCCTGGATCACTTTGCAGTCTCTCTGAGCCTACCCAAAATAAATATTGATTGCATTTATTGGCCGCCTTCTCCAAGGAGCTCAAGGTGGCCTTCTCCTTTCCTCTCCCTGTTATCCAAAAAGCAAACAAACCCCGCACCCTTGTGAGGGAGGCCAGGCTGAGTTAGTGACAAGCCCCCAAGGTCGCCCAGGGAGCTGAGTGGGGATTCTTGCGCATGTTTCTCTTAAGATAAATTTTTGGTAGACAATTTCCCTATAATGTAATGCATTTTTGTACATTAATTTTACAAGTATATGCATTCCCACGGGTGGTTTCTGCTGAATGTGCACCATTCTTTGAAAGTGTACTTTGGGCCACTATCAAATAAGCTTCAAAGAGTAGCTCAATTTCGGTTCTGGTTTGAGTTTGGGAAGGGCAAATAAAGCTCAGTTTACGTTTAAAATGTGAACCAGACCTAGAGTTGCTACTCCAATAGAAGTCAATAGACATGATGAACATTAATTTCAATTGGTCTACTTTGAGCAGGACTTAGATACAACCCCAAATAGCCGCAACACCTCCACATTCTGAGCCCCCTTGCGGCACAGAAATGAACAGCAGCCTTTGACAACCTCATATGTGGATTGGCATACAGCAGGCATGGCCAAACGTGACCTTCCAGATGTTTTGGGACTACAACTCCCTTCATCCCTCGCTAACAGGGCCATTGGTCAGGGGTGATGTGAATTGTAGTCCCAAAACATCTGGAGAGCCAAGTTTGGCCATGCCTGGCATACAGGATCCAGAGCCACTGGGCTGGTCAGGCCAAGTCTAAGTGTCTGCCCATGTCCACCTTGCTGGACTGCAGAATTATCCCCTTCCCTTGCTCTGCTCCAGCACAGGGCTCTCCACCCGTCTCATGCCCCATCCCCAGAATCTCCAGCCATGACTAGGAAACACTCCAGTCGAAAACCCTGCCAGTCAGTAGACAATACTGAGCGATTTCAGTTTCTATTTAAGACAGCCCCTTAACCAGAACCATGAGGGCTAGAATCCTAGATGGCTGGATGGCCATCTGCCATGTAGGATCTGGTTGAGTTCCTTGCGCTGCAGGGGGTTGGACTAGATGACCCTCGGGGCCCTTTCCATCCCAGTTTCTGATAGATCTGGGAAAGCCTGAGCAGGATGGACCCAATGGCCTGACTCAGCTGCCCAGGCTCCCCACTTCTGATCCCATCACCTGCTGTTTCTGCCAATCCTCACCTGGGAGGCATCCTGAGGTTGCCTGTGGTCACCCGCGCAGATCATTCCATCATCCATATCTGGCATGAACTCCTGGCACTTCTTACGGTCATAGAGGGTGACGGTGGCCTCATAGAGTTTCCCTGGGTATTGGCCGTCTTCAATCTTGCCCCAGCCTGCCACGCTGCAGGGCATCCCACCGGGGATGTCGCTGCTGGATTCTGGCAAGGGCAGGAGAGCGACCTCTTTATTCAGAGCAGCCTCGGAATCCAGCTGGGGAAAGGAGAGGGAGATGAGGAAGAGATGAGCACCTTAGCATTGCGACAAGAAGCCCTTGAGGGAGTCTGATTAAAAAAAAACCCCTGTGCCTCTAGAATATGACTCTAATAATAATATTAGTGATTAACAGCTTGGAGAAAACTAAATGGTTGCCCTAGCAGGAGTCAGTGCAACGAGTCCTGTTAATGCAATGGAGCCCCCCCCCCCCCCGCACCCGTAATTTAGTTTTGGGGGTGCCATAAAAACCCTGAGAATAATGCATGGGTAGAAAAGAGGGGAGATTGTTCCATCAGGCCAGCAGAACACCTTGCGTTGACGGAGCAATCTCTGAATGCTATGTTGAATAACATTAATAAGTAGCAAGAGCAAAAGAGCCTTCACTGTTGCTGCTAATGGTTACAAGGTCTGGAAGATTTCACTGCTGCCCTCCATGAAATCATTCTCTGAAACTGTCCTCTCTAAATTTTGAAGCTGCTTAGCCTCAGAGCGCCTGCCTCTGGGTTAATTAAGTAAGCAAGTTGTTGGCCTCTGTCTGTCTCGAAAGACAATGGAGTGAGCCTCGTTGGGAGGTTGCAGCGCCTGCTGCGGCTGTAGAGACGGATGCAGGAAAGACATGTTTCATTGCAGCCGGGGCAGATGAAGGCGTCTGGTTGTGCTGCTGCAGATGCGCCAGGGCGTTTCTTCTCTCTGCGCTCCTCCCAGCGGTCATTCCTCCTCTGGTCACTGCTAGGGATGCACCACCTGGTGGTCTGTCTCCAGGCACTGCGGCCGTCTGCAAGGGATTTCCACATGGCGGGGTTGATGGTGCCACCCTTCATGTCACATGGACATGACCAAGCCAGCATAGATGTCGCTGAAGGAGGAGTGCAAACATGCTGGGAATGTGTGCCTGGGAGAGCACATCTTTCTTTGTCCTGCCATGTGACACTCAAAATCTTTCTGGTGCCGCGCATGAGGAAGGCATTCAGGTATCGCTCCTGGTGGGTTTTAGGTTCCCCGTGATGTAATGGTAATTAATTCAATTTGTAACCTACACCTTTCTCCCGAGGAGCCTGGGGCAGCAAATTTGTCAGTACTAAAACAATACAATTAAAAATCCTAAAAACAACTAAAAACCATCTTCTAAAAAGCAGATAAATTTCAGGGTATCTGGGGACAGGATTTTGTCCTGAGTAAACTGTCCATTTTCTAGCTTATTATGGTGCGCGTATGGGATGGAAGGAACCATTTGGCTGCTTCTGCCTTAAGGATCACTGACCTCTGGGAGCTGATAGAGTGAGAGATTTCTTGGACCAAGCTACCTTAAGCAGAAGGATGTCGTTTGAGTACGTGACCTCATTATATTCTGGATGTGGGTGGGAAGCTGCAACTCTGATCTCTTGCTGGGAGTCCTCTGAAGCGTAGATATCATGTGCACCCAAGACGACTCTAGAAATACTGGGAACCAAGCGTCAGTTAGGGTTGCATCCGTCAGGATCAGAGCTCCCAGGCATCAGGATCCTGTCCCAGGAGGACAGGATCACACTTCAAAACGACCTTGACAGATTAGAGAACTGGGCAAAAACAAACAAGATGAATTTTAACAGGGAGAAATGTAAAGTATTGCACTTGGGCAAAAAAACGAGAGGCACATATACAAGATGGGTGACACCTGGCTTGAGAGCAGTACATGTGAAAAGGATCTAGGAGTCTTGGTTGACCACAAACTTGACATGAGCCAACAGTGTGACGCGGCAGCTAAAAAGCCAATGCAATTCTGGGCTGCATCAATAGGAGTATAGCATCTAGATCAAGGGAAGTAATAGTGCCACTGTATTCTGCTCTGGTCAGACCTCACCTGGAGTACTGTGTCCAGTTCTGGGCACCACAGTTCAAGAAGGACATTGACAAACTGGAACGTGTGCAGAGGAGGGCAACCAAAATGGTCAAAGGCCTGGAAACGATGCCTTATGAGGAACGGCTAAGGGAGCTGGGCATGTTTAGCCTGGAGAAGAGGAGGTTAAGGGGTGATATGATAGCCATGTTCAAATATATCAAAGGATGTCACATAGAGGAGGGAGAAAGGTTGTTTTCTGCTGCTCCAGAGAAGCGGACACGGAGCAATGGATCCAAACTACAAGAAAGAAGATTCCACCTAAACATTAGGAAGAACTTCCTGACAGTAAGAGCTGTTTGACAGTGGAATTTGCTGCCAAGGAGTGTGGTGGAGTCTCCTTCTTTGGAGGTCTTTAAGCAGAGGCTTGACAACCATATGTCAGGAGTGCTCTGATGGTGTTTCCTGCTTGGCAGGGGGTTGGACTTGATGGCCCTTGTGGTCTCTTCCAGCTCTATGATTCTATGATTCTATGATCAGTCCCCTCCCAGCCCCTGGGCAAAAGACCAGACTCCACACATTGGCCCTTCCACCTTTACCCTGGACTCAACTGGGCTGGGATGGCTCAGTAGATGGAGCATGAGACTCTCGATCTCATGTTTTGCAGAAGATTCCTGCATTGCAGGGGGTTGGGCTACAGCTCTACAATTCTATAATGTTCATCACCCCTCCTAAAAACCAGGGAGGGATTTGTGATACTTACCCGTATTTTTTGCAGTGTGCAGCTGTCATGACCCACTGGGGCGTCACGAGGAATCCGCCACAGGTGAAATTGCCTGTGATGCTCTTCAAGGCAGCCATGTAGGGTCTGGAGTGGGGCTTGGCTTCGTGCCCCCCAACAATCTGACTCCGCAATGGATCTGCAAGAATCGTATTGCAGAAATCAGCTCCTGCAGCTCCTTCCTGGAAGTTCTAGGGTGTCACCCACATATGCAGAGTCAGGGGGGCAGCAAAAGGCCACCGTCCCATCGGGCTTACAGTCAATTACAATCTGTGTTGCCAGTGAGGAAGTCGATGAAGGGGAAATAAATAGGAACATGGGAAGCTGCCTGTATTGTCTGCACTGACTGCACCTCTCTGTTCCCTCACCCTCCTGGCTCAGACTCTTAATCTCAAAGTCATGAGCATTGCCCGCGGTCTTCCCCTATTGTTCGCCCCCAGGTTTGGGTTTCATCAGGTATTCTGGTCCTGAAGAGGGAGGCTCCATTTCCCCCTCTTAACGAGCCATTGACATATCTCTATTCATTTGTCTGTCCCTTTTGTTTTGGATGCCCTGTGAAGCCAGGAGCTTGGAACAAAGTCTGGAAGACCGACAGGGAGATGGGTGGGAATCCTGGTTAGCTGGTGAACCAAGCGTCATTTGTCTACTCTTTTTGTGGGGGGAGGGAGGGGCGCTGTAAAGCCAGTGGGCTTGGGATGAAGCCTGGGTAAGTGAGAGGGTGGATTCATTAGAGACCAAGAGCAGGACTCTGGGTCAGACGTCTCCAGGAGCCAAGACAGGTGAGCTCAGTTTCTGCCCTCGCTGCTGTCACCTGCCTCTGGTGCTGCTGCCTTGGTGACCTAAGCACCAGACGGAATGAGGTGGGCTTGGCCCCAAAGGTGCTCGAAAGGAGCTCATAAGCGGGGGTGGGGTGGGGGTTGCACTCACCTGTTTGGGCCAACGAGAAGGACAGGAGCAGGAGAAGAGGCTGGTGGAGTCTCCACATCATCTCGACGCTTGAGGTTGCCTGGCACTCAGCTGCCCAGTCCCTCCGTCCCCCGGCTTTTATCACCCCCCATCCACTGGACTCCACCACCTGCAGGAAGCCACAGTCTAGACCTGAGATCTGATAGATGGATCTCAGCTGAGATGGCGGCCATGTGGCAAAACCTTGCGAAAACGGCAATCTGATAGTGCTAGTGGGTTCAGATAAGGAGACTGGAAAAATAAGAAACCGAGAGAACCCAGAAACTGCTCAGGACCACAATACCTCAAGGACCACCTCACCCCATATAAACCATCCTGGACTCTGTGTTCATCTTCTGAGGCCCTTCTTCACATGCCTCCTCCTCCAGAGGGTGGCAACATGAGAACAGGGCCTTTTCTGCAGTGGCTCCCCACTTGTGGAATGCTCTCCCCAGGGAGGTTAATATTGTAAAGCCTTTGAAATGTGTTCTTTGGAAGGGGGGTTGCTATTGTTTTTGTTTTAATTACTTATTTGTGGTTTTATTTTGTATTTTTATCTTGTGAACCACCCTGAGATCTTTTCATGAATAATAGCATATAAATCTAATAAAGAAAAGAAAAATGGCAGAGCTTTGCTGATGGGAGTTGGTGTTCAACAATGTGGGGAAGGCCAAACCTATGACCCATGACCTTTGTCATTAAATTGTTTTTAACTTACTAAACATGTGGTCGTTTCCTATGTGGCTGGAAGAGGGAGGAGCACAGGGGCCGCTGTGGCTGCAGAGATGGGAATCTCCCCACTGCTGCTTCCTGCAATGTTTCTGCTGTGTTAGTAGCGTTCAAGGGACCTCTCCAGGCTGCAAGCTGCCTGGTCAGTTTCTACTGAAATAAAAAATTTAAGGTCTCATTCATATACATATATATATATATATATATATATATATATATATATATATATATAAAATAAATGTTCATAAATGTACCAACCAAGCCCATACATAGATGTGTGGACCACATGTCTGGAGCAGCACAGGAGGACCGCCCTGAAACCCTTTTCACTTCCAAACTGACCAAATGTTTTCTCTGCAAGGAGGGAGGAGGTGTGGGAGCCTCCCCATTGTCTTTTGTTCATAAATTCTGTCTTAAGGGTATGTCTGTGTATGAATAGGGTGAGCCTGTGACCTGGCTCAGGAACTAAGTATTTGTCATTACAAAAGACTGGCCAGGCTCCCCAGGGTATCCAATCAAGTGAGCATTAACAGGTGACCTGCCAGACAGGAGGTAAACAATACACTCAGATTTCTGCTGTAGACCCCCTTTCTGTGATGTAGGTATGATGTGTCTGGGGGTGGTCTTGGACTCCAAGGTGGGCAATTTAAAATGTCTATATAAGGGTGTGATAGGAATTTTATGGTCTTAGATATATGGTAATGTCATAACCGCACATACATGGATCAGCACAGGAAGGCCAACCTGGAACCATTTTTGATTCCTAAACTGACCAAATGTTTTCTCTGCACGGTCAAAATGGAAAAGCCTCCCCATTGTCTTTTCCTTCACAAATCCTGTCTTAAGGGTATGTCTGTGTTTGAATAAGGGTGTGAGCCTGTGACATGGCCCAGGAACTAAGTATTTATCACTATTTATCACTACAAAAGAATGGCCAGTCTCCTCAGGCAATCCAATCAAGTAACCTGCCAGACAGGAAACAAACAAGGATAAGAGAAAAACAATATTGAAATTTCTGTTTTAAGACCACCTTTTCTGTGATGTATCTGAGGGGTGGTCTTAGGTTACACCCCTTCTGTAATGTATGTATAATGTTTCTGGGGGTGGTCTTGATCTACAGGATGGGAATTTCAAAAGTCTTTATAAGCCCTTACAGCATTTTTGTGGGTCCTCCTCCTTTCCTGCAGGTGAGGGGAGCACCCTGTTGCAACAGATCAATAAAGATCAGTCTTACTAGCTGCTTTGCTTCTCAATATTCTCTGGTTGGCCTCTGTTCTTTTCTCCGACCGATGGAGAACCTACAAAGGACTCTATAAGGGCTCTTGTGTCCCCCATAAGGGAATAAGGGCAGATTTACGTTTATTACACTATGGAGGTCCTGGGCTGGCCAGATGACAAGACCCCCCTCTTGGCTGCACTGGGGGGTCCAAAGGCAAGCAGAGCAAGATGTTTGGCTCCAGCTTGGCTGCAGGACTTGCCAGAAGGAGGCAGACGAGGCGCCGTCCAACCTCCAGTCCGGGTTTCTGTAGGGTTTCCTCTTTGGCCTTTTCTTCTCCTGAAGATGTCCTGCAAGGCAGTGGGTAGATTTTCCCTCGGGATTTACTCCCAAAGCCTTTTTCACAAATGAGTACAGCTTCAAGGCTGTCCTCCTAGGGCTGTGCCCCTCGGTGGGCTCCCTTCCTGGGTGGACAAAGCTATCTCAGAGCGTTTCTTACCACCCTTGTGACTGGAGCAGACACACAGAGAGGCGGCCAACGGCTTGCTCCGCGGAGCTCTGCTCTGCCAGTGGAGGAAGGTGACTTCTCATTTTTAAAAATTAAACCAGGCTGACGTGGAGGGTTAATAATAATAATAATAATAATAATAATACAAGAAAATCTAATTGATTATGCAGCTGCCAAATCAGTTTTCAGCCTTTGCATTCTCCACGCAGAAGCCAAACCCAGAGGGTCTGACACAATATCTGCGAAGCATAATCTCTTATTGGGAACGGCGTCTGCAAAACCACATCATCCCAGCTGCCAGATATTATTTACTATTTTGTACAGGTGACTTTGGAACTTGCAGTTTGTTTCCAGTGAAATGAAAGGAGCTCAAGAGAAGTTGTGGTCTGTTGGATGGCATGATCTCATTCAGTTCCAAAATCCTCTGGTTCTCTGATAAGTTGGTGAGACACAGACAGGAGGTGGCCTTAACTGTTCAGGTCAGTATACATACAGTGGTACCTCAGGTTAAGTATTTAATTCGTTCTGGAGGTCCGTCCTTAACCTGAAACTGCTCTTAACCTGAAGCACCACTTTAGCTAATGGGGCCTCCTGCTGCCGCCGCGCCGCCAGAGCACGATTTCTGTTCTTATCCTGAAGCAAAGTTCTTAACCCAAGGTAATATTTCTGGGTTAGCAGAGTCTGTAACCTGAAGTGTATGTAACCTGAAGTGTATGTAACCTGAAGCATATGTAACTTGAGGTACCACTGTATTGGGGAGGCAGAAGAGATTTTTAAGATTTTGATGCAAATGAAATTTGAGCAATAAAGATAATGGCTGGGGTTGTTTTGTTTTGTTTTTTTTTAAAAAAAAAATCAGAGTTAAACTTTTCAAATATCATTTGGTCTTTACATTTAGCTGGTTTCACCTCCCTTGTTTTCCAATTGGACATTGAATTCCTAACAGTTTCTGGAGATTCTTGCTTGAAAATGACTTTCCAGTCCATTTGGGAACGGATTAAAAGATGCCTGGTGCTGGGAGTTGGGGGGATCTGTGCTGAATTCAAGAGGCTCACCAGCAACACCTTTAAATCTGTTTTGTGTTGGTTTTCCTGCCAGCTGGGTGGGAAGACAACAACACAAAGGTTCATGAAATCGTGCCTGGCGTGAAGGCAGTGGGCAGAGAAAAGACTTCCTCCTTCTCTCATAAAAACACAAAAATTAGAGCTTCTGCCAGTCCAGAATCCAGTGACAGGGAACTTGTTGCTCCCTTGTTAAAACTTCCCTGGCTGCCAGTCTGTTTCCAGACACCCTTCAAAGGGCTGGTTGTGATCTATAAAGCCCTGCATGGGCCAGATGACCTGAGAGATCATATCTTCCTCTACAAACCTGCCTGAGGGCTAAGTGTTGGTGCAAGGAGATTAGATAGATAGATAGATAGATAGATAGATAGATAGACAGACAGAAGGTTTGTATGAAGAATTCTGGGATGCCAAGATCCAAGTTTGGGTTGTGTACTCTTAACCATTGGACCCATCCACTCTTCGTCCTGTCCACTCTGTCTGCTGGAGCCTGTCTTCGCACGCAGGGGAAGCCCCTAACTCACCAAGAGTTGGAGACCCATTGGTTGCCCTCACTTGGTTTAGCTGCCCAGTTCCCATGCTGACAGCACTTCGGAGCCACAGGTGAGAGCAGAGTGCAGGGTGGGGACCAAAGGTGGATAGAATAACCCAGAAGGAGGAATACAATAGAGGTACTGCCCCTCCCCTAACACCCTATACAGCTTTTTGGGGCTGGTGGGGCTGAAATCAGGGAGTGCAAACAGTAGGGGACAGCATATTCAATATGCTCATTCTACTTTTGCCTCCTTACTCCACCTGGCTGACTTCTCGAAGGGGCCAGGCAAGAGCTACAAGCATAGTTAGGAAACAAATGCTCAGGCTGTTATGGCCTCTGTCACCCCATTTGTCCACAGGTTAACCTTTGGCCCTCCAGACATTATTCTACTCCAGCTCCTTTCAGCCCCGGCAAGGGATGGGCAGCCCTGCCAATTTCAGGTTCTCTGGGTTCCTCATTTTCCTGGTCTCCTTATCTGCCCCTGCCAGGACCAAAGCACACAAACCATCTCACTATCTGATTGCTGTTCTAGTGGGGGGATCTGTCACGTGGCCTGCTGAGATTCACCTATCAAGATCTCAAGTCTAGACTGTGGCTTCCTGCGGGAGGCAGAGTCCATCGGGTGGTGGCAAAAGAAAGCTATGGGGTCAAGAGGCGGGAGAGCTAAATGTCAGGCACCTCCCTCCTTGGCAAGTGTCAGGATGTGGAGACTCTACCAGCCTCTTCTGCTGCCCCTGTCTTCTCCTGTCATTCTCCTTGGCCCAACCAGGTGAGTCTCAATGAACTCCCTCTCCAAAGTGGTGCGTCTGGCACCTTCATTACACAACTTGTGGAGAAAGCTGAAGACGTACCTTTACTCTGGTGGTTTGTGACACTTGAGGTGCATAGTTCTAGGACCCACCTTATATCTTTGATTGTAGATTGTTTTAAGCTATTCATAATACTGTGTTTAGTTTTGTTTTTAAATCATTTTTATTGATTTTCCAATAAAAAAATCCAGTTAATATATCCAATCATAATACTCCAATTAAAATAAAAAACTAAAATAAAAAAGACCAAATTATAGTTCAAATTATAATTATTAATTTTTCAGGGCTCCCCACGGTCTGGATCTCTGAAGCACATCTCCACATCTCAGTCCTGCCTCTCCTTGTTGTTTCCATATTTTCCACATCTCGATTTTGACGCTTTATAATTCCCGTCTCTGAGTCCACGATTCTCAATCATGTCAAACATCATGTACTTTCATCCGTTGAATACAGCTTTGTTAGTATATATTTTTCCAACTGTCTTTTTATCAGCGCAGCTTCCTCTGACTCCGTTCCGATCCAGGATGTTGTCCAAGTCTGATCTGAAGTTTTAATGGCGCAGCTACTCCCAATCATTAATTGTCCAAACCTTCCTTTTGAGCTTTATTGAACCAGTACCTTCCAAGTTAAATTGTTAAGCAGACCTTGTGTTTTAATGTTGTAACTTGCACTGGGTGAAGGGTGGGCTGGTTGGCATCCATCTGTCTCAGGAAACAATGGAGGTGTGCGCCTTTGGGGGTGAGGTCAAGCTGTTGGAAGGTTGCAGCTCTTGCTGTGGCTGTAGCGATTGACGCAGGAGAGACATGTTTTGTTGCAGCAGGGGCAGAGGAAGGCATCCAGTTGTGCAGAAACACCAGGGCATTTCTTCTTGCTGCTCTCCTCCCAGCCGCCATTCCTCCTCTGGTCACAGCTGTGGATGAATGACCTGTCTTGTCTCCAGGCGTCTGCAAGAGATTCCCACACAGCGGGGTTGATGTTGCCAGCAGACATCTTTGTAGCACAGAGTTGGTCTGTCAATAACCATAAATTGTTGCTACTACTGATGATGATGGCGACACTGGATAATTCCTTATGTTTCCTATGTTCAGGGTGTGGGTGGATGTACCTTGGCTAATGTTGCCAAAATGGTGCCACCCATGAACCCGAGGCAGGAAGCAGCTGTGGGAACCGAGGTGAGCTGCCATTGACAGGTAACAAATGCAATCCAGAGTCATTCCCTTTGTCTCCAGTGAATCCACTCAATTCAGTGGCTAACCAGGATTCCCATTCATTTCCCTTTCGGTCTTCCTTGATTTATTCCAAGCCACTGGATTTCCAAAAGAACGGAGTAGATTAATTCATGGGGATCTATCAATGGTTCCTTTAGGAAGGAGAAATGGAGCCTCCACCTTCAGAGCCAGAATATCTGATGAAAGCCAGATTTGGGGGTGGGGGTGGTGAACAACAGAGGAAGACCGTAGCCCTGCAGGTAACATGGTGGCGGGCTATGGCCCCTTGTGGTGATGCAAGTTTATAGCTTGTAATATTATCTGCATTTTTCTGCGCAGATTTCAGACCTCAGCAGTGATATAAGAGGGGAATCTGACCTGAATCAGTCTAGGGCTAAGACAAGGGCTTGATGTGATGGAACTGCTACCTGTTCAGGTTGAGTAATATAATATTTTAGGTAATGATATAACAAGGACTGGAAACAAAGTGAAATGTAAAGATGTCAAGTTTGATTTTTTAAACCATCAGATGGGAGGAAGTGTCATGTGACCAAGACGCCTGAGAGCCGAAGCCGCAAGGCAGGCTGGGAAGGGCTGGGCCTAGTCAAGTTCCCCAGGCCTGACTGCCAACTGGCGTCATGTGACCCTGTCATGTGACTTGGCAGCCAGTTTCTCTCTCTGTAAGATGTCAGTCAGAGTCAGTCACCTCGGTTCTGAGCAGTATGGACTCTCAGTCAGACTGTTTGGAACCAAGTTGTTTAGGAAGAAGTTGATTTTAACTCAGTAAAGCTCTTCTTCTCTGAAACTCTGCATTCTTAATTTGCGCTGTGCGTCAGGAAGGGAAGTCGTGAGGCTCAGTTGAGCCAAAGAGATAAAACAAGAGGGTATGATGTAATGTGATTGTAAAACAAATAAAAATCATATATATATATGAATGACTAGGGCTTGATGTGTTGTAAACAAAATCTGCCCTTTTTTCCCTTCTGGGGTGTTCAAGAGCCCATATAGAGTCCTTACATAGGTTCCCTATTGGTAGGAGAAAAGAACAGAGGCCAAGCAGAGAATATTGAGAAGCAAAGCAGCTAGTAAGCTTGATCTTTATTGATCTGTTGCAACAGGAAAGGAGGAGGACCCAGAAGGGGTGCCCGCCCTTATAGAGACATTTTAAATTCCCTGCCCTGGAGCGCAAGACCACCCCTCCATACATCATACCTACATCACAGAAAAGGTGGTCTACAACAGAAATTTGATTGTTGTTGTTTTCCCTGTCTGCCAGGTTATCTGATAATGCCTTATCTGATGGCCTTTCCTGGTAGTCTGCCCATTCCTTTAAGATGGTGATTACCCAATTCCTGAGACAATGGGAAGGTTCCCTCACCCCCTCCCTCCTTGCAGAGAAAACATTTGGTCAGCTTGGGAGTCAAAATGGTTTCAGGACTGTCTTCCTGTGCTGCTCCAGACGTGTGGTCCACATATCTATGTACGTGCTTGGTTGGTACATTTATGAACATTTATTATATATATAAGACCTTAAATTTTTAATTAAAGATGTGATCCTGGATGATTTACTAACAGGGTTTAGTCCCCCCCCCCCCGGTAATTGATACAGAGTAGGGGGGTTTTCTGCATGAGGTTCTTGCAGATCCATTGCAGAGTCAGATTCTTGGGGGGCACAAAGCCAACCCCCACTCCAGACCCTACATGGCTGCCTTGCAGGATCCCATGGGCCGTTTCTGCTGCTGCGGATTCCTCATGGTGCACCAGTGGGTAATGACGGCCACATACTGAAATGAGTTAGTATCACAAATCCCTCCCTGGTTTTTAGGAGGGGTGAAGATCATCAAGGGCAAAGCTAGTTGCTATGAGCACCAAGCGGGGCGGCGGGGGGGGGGGGGGCTCGTCTTTTGCACAGGGCCTGGGAGGGGATTGATTCCTGGGGACTCTGACACTAACTGATGCTCAGTTTCCAGCAATTCTACAGTCACCTTGGAGGCACATAACATCATCATTAAAGAAACCCCTTTAGGAAGTGTTTGGCATTTAGGCTCCCCCTCCTTCTAATAAAGGGTTAATTCCAACTTGCTCAGTGTGATTTATTGCTGGCTTGCTCCTGTCAATCCAGCAGGCTCTTGTGTTGCATCAGGCCAGTGGCACATCTAGGCTTGTTGCAACCTAAGAAGAGGCTGCTGGAGAAGCCAGAGAGGAGAGCAGCAGGGGGCACCAGAGCCCAGAGAAAGACAGAGAAAGATGGATCTTCCTTTGCCCAGCTGAGTTCTAGGACGGTTACAGAGGAGGAGGAAGAGGAGGAAGCCAGAGGAGATTTTGCAATGCAGTCTCTAGCCGTGTAATGTGTCCCCAAATGTACACACCAGGGTATAAAATGCATGCACTTATGAAAGTGACATACAAAAGTGCCTAACAGATGAGGAAATTGCTTGGGGGGGGGGATATCAGGCAAAACTTCATACAAAAATGTGTGTTTTAGGAAAAAGTTGCACTAAAATGAGGACCATTTGTTTAAAAAATTCAAGCTGACATGGAAATGCGGAGAACTGAATTTAGCATTGCAGACAGCAGGGAATGAGAAAGTGAGAGAAATTGAAACTGACCGTTTTGCCCCTTCCTAACGACTCCCCACCCTGGAAAACCGCCATTTGCTCTTACTCAAAGCAGACACTTTCGTTTCATTATCACATTGATTTATTCTTTCCTGCCTCCTTCTCCAGCTGGAGGACTGTTCAAAGCAGCTAACCAAGTTTTAAAACAGTGAGCATTGAGTCCAGCTAAGTTCCAGGAACACAGGAAGTTGCCTTTATCTCATCATTTACTCCCATTCACATAAGCTCTTACTAAATAGGTTTGTGTTTAAAGCAGGCCCCTTTCATCCAGAACCATGAGGACTGGAATCCTTATTTTTAAGAAGAAGGCTAGACCTCAGTGGCAGAGCATCTGCTAGGGTTAATTGTAAACCTGAATGCCTGTATCAGTGGCAATAATGCACCAAAACCCATTACATTAGGCAAAATTGTGGAGTGATATTTCTGTTTTAAAACTAAAACAATTTAGGTAAATGTAATTAAATAGACATTTGATGTTTCTGTGAATACTGATGGTTGTTTCTTGGGTAAATAAGGGGAAACAAGAAAACATTTGTCCCCACCCCCGCACCCCAAAATATGGAGAACTGACTTGAAATAGGAAGAAATGAGAAACTGACACTGCCAGGTTCACCTATGCCTGCTCTCGAGTAGACATGCCTAGGATTGTGCTGCGAGGTGTCCAAGGTTTTGGGAATGCTGGGTCGGTGGGATGAGCAAAGGGGAGGCAGGGCGTCAGAAGGATGACAGAAGTTTGCAATGAAGTTTGTTTATTTCAGGAAACAATACAGCAACAGTAAGCACTAGCGGTACAGAAGAAGGCAGAGGTTTCTCTGGGGAAAGCCGGGATCGATCCACAGGAGGAGGAGTTGCCTGTACATCTGACTTCACAATGACCAAGCGTGTCTCTCGTATCTGACTCTCTCTAGCAGGGGCAAGAGGAATCCAGCCGGGAACAAGAAGCTGCTGGCTGCTTTTCTCCTTGCTGGTCTCACCCTTCCTTCATTGTCTCTTTGATCCAAGGGAGATAGGCGGCGACACGCGTGTAAATTGATGGCGGGATTTGGAAGCCATAGGAGACGATTCCATGGGCCACTCCATTGCAGACCAGGGCACTCCCGGAATCCCCCTGAGAGGAATTGTGGGGTTGGAGAGGGGAGAGAGAAACTTATTTCACATTATTATTCACCATTGCATTTCTATCCCGCCTTTCCTCCAAGGAGTTCCTGGCAGCTGACGCAACACTTCCCTCACAACAACCCTGCGAGGTAGGCTGGGCTGAGAGATGGAGTGACTGTCCCAAAGTCACCCAGTGAGTTTCATGGGCTGCTGCCAGCAACTCCTGGCTGGTTGCTCAGGAAAGTACAAAGACAAGCGAGTGTTTCTTACCAACCGCTTTTTATCCAGTATTTACAGAGAGGGCTACAGAACCCAGCCTCTTGGATAATGGCGTTGTCCTGAGTGAATCTCCACCCCCCCTCTCCCACGTCCTCATTCGTCTCTCCCATGGGTGCTGCTAAGGGCCCTCTCTCTTTGAGCTCTTTGTTCTCCTACTTTCAAGGCTTGCCGGGTTCTGGGAGAGGGGGGTCTGGAATGCTTTCTAAAGACACGGTGTCCATCAGCTGTCGCCCCCCTGGTGCTTCCTCCTCCTCCTCCTCTCCCATTATTTCTCAACTTTCCCCCTCATCCGCCTCTGAGCTGTGACCCCTGATGTGAATCTGAACAGTCTTCCTCTTCCTCTTCCTGGAAGGGTCAAGCTGGGCAGGGGGTCTCCACCATTCCTCCTCTGCCCACTCCTGGACAGCAAGTGGGGATTTGAGCCGTGGTCTCTTGGGTCCCAGTCTGAACTGAAGTCTCCAGGTGTGCCTGCCTATCCCACTCAGGTGAGGGCTTGAACATCTGGGTGGACAAGAGCACTGGTAGATGATAGATAGATAGATAGATAGATAGATAGATAGATAGATAGATGGCTTGCAAGCTTCATCCCGGCAGAAGCGCCTACAAATTAGTGGTGGCCAAACTTGGCCCCCCAGCTGTTTTTGGACTACAACTCCCATCATCCCTAGCTCACAGGACCAGTGGTCACAGATGATGGGAAATGTAGTCCCCAAACAGCTGGAGGGCCAATTTTAGCCACCACTGTCATAGACTCTTGGGAGGGCATGGTCTCCTCCATTCCCTCTCCCCCTCTCCCAATTAACCTCCATCAATGCCAGTAGGCCGCACCACAAGCACAATCCTGCCTCCCCCTGCAGAAAAGGAAGTTTGATGGGGGTGGATTCAAACAGTTGTGGATTGAGCAGTTCTGGGCGGGGGGGGGGGGGAGGAGAAAGCTGCAGGAGTGAATGCACAGTTAAAGCACAGGCTTCTTCCAGTGAACCCTGGGACCTGTTGTGCACCCTTCTCAGACCTCTGATTTCCAACCCCCTCCACAAACTACAGTTTCCAGGTTTCTGTGGGGGAAGTTGTGTGCATGTGACTGATAATCTGTCATGCAAGAACAACTCAATCCGTTTTAAAACATTGGCGTAAAAGTCTTCTGAAAGATCACAGAAGGATGCAAAGTGGAGACATTTTTAGAGTTGGGGCATTTTTTGTGTGAATTGCAAGAAGCAGAAAAACCACTAACATGGATTCATCCTTGCTCTTCGCCTTGCCCACAACAGGCAATTGCACTCTGTTTCCGTTTAAATCACCACAGGGATCGCCCAAGTGGCCCCCATGGGTGCAATAGTACTCTTCCGGTCCTCCCGGGGTCCTCTCCCCACCCCTTAGTGCTGGTGACTGCCTTTTCCTCCCTTGAGAAGTATACAGAGCTGAAAGGGGGCGTGGGGGGCTCCTTCCCCACTTCCTCTTTCAACTCTATGGACTTTGCAAGGCTCAGATGAATTCCACCGGAAGGGACCAGAGGTGGCGGCACCAACAGCCCTCACTCAAAGATCCAAAGGAGCCCATGGGCCTAAAAAAAAGATGTTGGCAGCCCCAAAACTTTTAGTAAATATTTCTAAAAATTGCATCTCTGCATATGAATTAGCATGTGCAATTTTGTAAAATGCATGGACTTTTGTTCTGCAAAGCTGTCTCCTTGTTTTTGACAATGACATGTGGGCTTACGTTGCTGACGTCGCAGAGCTTGGCCCGGCTGCCGGCGCACACCATCCTGTCGGTGAGTTCCGGAATGAACTGGAGGCACTTCCGGCGGCCAAGGGCGGTGACATTGGTCTCAAAAAGTTTGGAGCTGCCTTCGTATCTCGCATCAATGCGGCCCCATCCAGCCACAAAACATTCTGTGCCTTTGAGGAGGTCGTTTTCGTTTTCCGGTAATGGGATGACTTGGACGTACTTGTTGATCTTGGCTTCACGGTCGAGCTTCAGGGGAGGAAGGAGGAGAAGAGGGTGGTCTGAAATCGGCGGGCTTCCAGAGAGTCATGAGACATCACAGAGAGGGCACTGATAGCTCAGGGTGGGGGAGAAACTATATCCACTTAACGTTTAACGTTAATTTAATCTGTGCTTTTGGAAATAATGGGTGGTATCTAGCTAAGTTCTAGATTGATAGATATAAGTAAATCATGTCCTTTAATTTTAATCTGCCCAATCCAAGTCTGAAGTTGGATACAACCCAAGTCATTCATCAAAACATGGCCTTCCTTTGAAATTCATGCTTCTCTGAATTTTGCAGTGCAAATTTCCACAGCCAAGTAACGTGCACGTAGAGTGGAAATATGTATATACCAGGGTAAAGTATGCATACAAGTGCATATAATTGTGAAAAACAAGCCTTATGAGGAATGGTTGAGGGAGTTGGGTATGTTTAGCTTGGAGAAAAGAGGACTGAGAGGAGATATGAGAGCCAGCTTCAAAGAGCTGAAGGACTGTCACACGAAAAACGGAGCCAGCTTGTTTTCTGCTGCTCCAGAGGGCAGAACCCGAACCGATAGAGTCAAATGACAAGAAAGAAGAAGAGTTTGGATTTGATATCCCGCTTTATCACTACCCGAAGGAGTCTCAAAGCGGCTCACATTCTCCTTTCCCTTCCTCTCCCACAACAAACACTCTGTGGGGTGAGCGAGGCTGAGAGACTTCAGAGAATGTGACTAGGTAAGAGTTGCGTGGCGAGTTCCCAGCCCCCCCCCAGTGAAATAATGACACGTGGCACAATTATTGGTTACAGGTGACGAACAGTATTGGCTTAGGCATTGGTCCTAACCGACTATATATGTCTTCAGCCCGTCTACTTGAAGTCCGGGAAGGGTTAACCACCAGTCGGGGGAGTCCTGCTGATGCACATCAACTAGGAACTGCCCCGGGGTCATCGATAGGGGGCGTGCCTTAGGCCCTCACCTCCCTAGGCTTTGGACAGGCCACGCCCCCCGGAATCCTTTACCGGACTACCCTTCAATATGTGGGGCAGGTGATGGTGCTTCCTCCCGTCTTCCTTCTACAGAACTATATGAATGCCTATCCGCCAATACCAAGAAAGTTGTGACGGTTTGCTACGATTTGCTAGGCAAAAACCAAGTGGCTGGTGCCAATTTGCCAAGTGCAAAAATTCCTACCAGGCCGCTCAGCGGTGACCAACTGAGGTCCATAGCAAGGTCAAGGAATGAAAACCTTATAGGGTGGGAGGGTGGGGAAAGCGGGAACAGCTGATGAGCGGCAAAGAGGGAGATCCCCAGCCGCGTCCTGCCTTAAGTGGGGCAGGCCACGCCCCCAGAGCCAGCCAATTGGCTGGCCAGGGAATGACGCGGCTGGGAATCCCCCCAATCGCTCCAGCCCTGCGCACATGGTGGGGCCGTGAAGCCCACAACTCCACCTCCTTTTAGGGCGGAAGTGGCTCTGTTCAACAAGGGAACCTGGGAAAGTGTTGGACTCTCCTTCACGGGGGGGGGGGGAGCTTAAACATAGTTTGGATAGCAGAGACTCTTTAGCTATGACTCTTGCTTTGCAGGGGGCTGGACTGGGTGACTTTTGGGGTGAGGCCTCCCAGCTCTACAAGTCTAGGATCCTATGAAAACAGCAAAACAAGAATGCCTTCTATTAGGGGGAAATTGGGCTAGGGAAATGTGCATATTAAGCAAATTTTAAAAATGTCAGGAGGAATTAGGAAAATAAGATATGCGGAGGAATTAAGAGGGACAGATTGCCTCCCTGCTGGCAACATGCCTTTGTTGTGATTTTGGAGGTTTTTGTTTGTTTTCACTGATCAGATAAAATGGGGGGTGGGGTGGAATTTTGATGGAAATGTCCTCCGATAGACACTTTACCTGAGTATATGCCTTTCTGTAGACGTAACTTGACTGGAGAAATACATTGCCGGTTTCAGAGATGTGCTGATTTTGAAAAGGTGGCTGTGTTTGGGTTTATGTATTATTCCAAAATTGCCAATAGGTATGTGTGCCTGTACAGTGGACCTTCGGCTTACGTTACCCTCAGGTAACGTAAACTTCAGGTTGCGAAAGCGGCAAACCTGGAAGTGCTTCGCCCCACGCGCATGCACAGAAGTGGTCTCTCCGGTTGTGAAAACTTCGGGATACGGCCGGACCTCTGGAACGGATCCTGTTCGCAACCGGAGGTACCACTGTAAATACAAAATTTATTGAATTTATTCCCCACCCCTTGCAAGAAGTGGGCTGCATAGAATATCAACCTACTACCTATTTGACTTGACTTGTCGTCTTACTTTTCTGTACAGTGGTGCCTCGCAAGACGAAATTAATCCGTTCCGCGAGTCTCTTCGTCTTGCAGTTTTTTCGTCTTGCGAAGCACGGCTATTAGCAGCTTAGCGGCTATTAGCGGCCTAGCGGCTATTAACGGCTTAGCGGCTTTAAGAAAAAGGAAACAAACTCGCAAGAACTCGCAAGACGTTTCGTCTTGCGAAGCAAGCCCATAGGGAAATTCGTCTTGCGGAACGACTCAAAAAACGGAAAACTCTTTCGTCTAGCAAGTTTTTCGTCTTGCGAGGCATTCGTCTTGTGGGGCACCACTGTATGTGGATACAGAACACTATTTGCAACCTGAAATTTGACAGTTCCATAAATAATGACATATGCATTTTGGGCGAAAGCACCAGTTGACAATCTTTCTCCATACCTTTAACAGAAGGATGTCGTTGAAAGGGGTTCCAGCAACCAGCATATAATCCGGATGCTGATGGTAACTTTTGACTCCAAACACCTGCTGTGTGCTTTCGACGGCCTTCAGGTCGTGAGCACCCAGAATGACGGAGATATCTCTTTAAACAAGAAGAGAATCAACAGAAAGCCACAGCCGATCCCCCCCCCCCCGGCTTCCATATGTAATCACATTCGCCTTAGCATTTCTCCATCACCCTATTTATCTTCTTTTTATGCTTAGAGAAATTAACTTTAGTATTTGTAAACCGGTATCAAAAATCAACGTTGCAAAATATTTTAAATCAAAGCTGCAAACATTTTCAAATCTTTACAATGTTCTTTCATGTACTGTATACCGTACATACAACGGTGTTTCAGTGCGCTGCTCTGGTTCGCCAAAAGCGGCTTAGTCACATGACCCGGAAGCTGTCTGCGGACAAACGCCGGCTCCCTCGGCCTATAGAGCGAGATGAGCGCACAACCCCAGAGTCAGTCACGACTGGACCTAATGGTCAGGGGTCCCTTTACCTTTACCTTTATACAGTACATACAGTACATTTTTAATTATTTCTATGCGATTTTACACACGTTCTACTTACCCAGTCTAAAAACCTTTTCAATTCCAAAGTCAACTTTTTAGCCCCTCTCATTTTTGGAAGCTGAAAGTCTAAAAATTCAAACCCGCTCTGCGTTACCACGACTCACCCATTGCAGTGGGCTGCAGTCAGGACCCACTGTGGGGCCACGAGGAATCCCCCACACATGAAACCTCTGCCTCCTTTCAGAGCTGCCACGTACGTCCTTGTATGTGGCTTCGATTCACCACCCCCGACGATCTTGCTGCGGAGGCTGCCTGGAAGAGAGAGACCAGAGTCACCGATTCCACCACACCGTAAAATGGCGTCAATCTCGGAACCATCAAGGTAGGACTTGGGAGAGAAGGAGTCTTGTGAGGTGGGCTTGTCGGCTTGTCTATCCAGCATATCTTTTAAGAATCTTAGCCATCCCAGTTGGTGACCCTCACCATCTCCAGTGGGAGGGAGTTCCATAGTTTTAACTATGTGCTGAGTGAAGAAGCACTTTCTTTTATCTACCCTGAATTCCTCAGCATTTGCCTTTATTGGATGTCCACAATCTCTAGAGTTACGAGACACCGGGGGTGGGGGTGGGGACCTTTCTCTATTGTCGTTCTGCTTGCATCAAGTCCTCCATCAAGTCACTTGCCTTTTCTGTAAACTAAGAAGTCCAAAATGCTGCAACCTTTCCTCATAGGGCAGTTGCTTCAACCCAATGATCATAGAATCGCAGAATCCTAGAGCTGGCAGTGACCCCCAGGGCAATGCAGGAATCTCTACGGAGGCATCCCTGACAGATCATCCTTGGCTTAAAAACCTCCCGTGGAGGAGAGCCCTCCGCCTTCCGAGGGAGACTGTTCCATGGTCAAACGGCTCTGGCCATCAGATTGGATGAAGTCGCTACTCACCGCCAGTGTCCAAGTGGGCAGACAAAAGGGCAAAGAGGAGGAAGCAGAATCTCCCCGGCTGCTCCATCGTTCTGCCTCTGAAGTTGAAGGAAGGGACTGGACTGGCTCTCTTCATGTGACATCATGTTTTATAGACTGGCTACCGGCAGCTGGAAACGGTTTTGCACGACCACCTAATCTTCCTCTTCCTTTATCTGTGATCTGGATCTGACAATCGTTGGTACAAGAGGCTTACTTCTTGGAAGGGAAGCGCTGAGCAAGATAATAGAGCTGGGCTGGGGTTGCGTGTGGCCCTTGTGACTCTCCCCTGACCATGCCTAATACCCTCCGTCAGTCTTTTGGCTAAACATGGGCCCTTGCTTGCCCGGGTGGAGGATGAAGCGGGTGAAACTTTTTTTCAAAGAGGGCCAGATTTGATGAAGTGAACATGCGTGAGGGCCGACCGAAGAGCTTTTTTTAGGATTGAAGTGTTTGGGCTTTTATTGGGATTTCCCCCCAAAGATGTCCCCTGGTCTAGGAACTACCCTACTGAGCAAAAGTAGAATTTGCATTTGTTGCTCCGCCCACTTTTGCCTCAGGCCCCACCCACCACTGGGATGTGGCCCTCGGAAGGTTGCCAGGACATTCGCAGGGAAACCGAAATCCTTGTTTACAAAGCTATTGTACTACCAACCTTACTGTACGCTTGTGAAACATGGACCACTTATAAACACCATCTCCAACTCTTTGAAAGATTCAATAAACAGTGTTTCCAAAAAATTGTACATATCACTTGGGAAGGCAGGCGAACTGATATCAGTGTACTGGAAGAAGCAAAGATCACCAGTGTTGAAGCAATGATTCTTTAACATCAACTTCATTGAACTGGTCATGTGGCTCGGATGCCTGACGATTGTCTTCCAAAGCAACTACTCTATTCTGAATGCTGGTGGTCAACAAAAGAGGTTAAAAGACTCTCTCAAGGCAAAGCTAAAAAAATGTAGTATCAACACCAACAATTGGGAAACACTTGCCTCCGAGCGCTCTAATTGGAGAACAGCCTTTTCCAAAGGTGTCATGGGCTTTGAAGACACACGAACTCAGGACGCAAGGGAGAAACGTACTTAGAGGAAGGCACGCTTGGCAAACCCTCACTGGGATCAACTCCCGCCCAGAAGCCAATGTCCTCCCTGTGGAAGCATGTGTGGATCCAGAATTGGCCTCCATAGTCACTTACGGACTCATTGTTAAAACCGTGTTTATGGAAGACAATCTTACTCGGTTATGAGGGATCACCTAGGAAGAGGCCTTGTTCTGAGTCACAGCGCTGGCCCACCGAGCCTTGCTGACCCTGACTGACAGGGGACCTACCCAGTCCCAACTGGAGATGCCACTGGGTGTTGAACCTGGGATGTTCTGCATGCAGTTGCTTCTAGAGCTCTGGGCACCTGTGCGCGCCAGTCTAGTGTCTAGGCACCTATTCCCGGGTCTGCGCTCCAGGAGCAGCTGCAGCCACAGCAGACCACTCTCCCTCCCCCAGAGACGGAGACTGCGCCTGCACGGAAACCGCCTCTGCTCTCCCCTCTTCAGTCCCCTCCTGGTTCAGGGAGACAGTGGTACAGGAGAGGGTTGAGAAGCCCCTGGCCCTTCACTCGCCTGACCTGCCTCTTCCTCCTCTTCCTCCAACCTTCTTCCTCTGTTCCACCCTCCAGCTTTGAAGCTTCTGCCGCCTTGCTCCCTGGCAAACCACAGTGCCCCACAAACCACTGCCTGCCTCTCCTGAGCCAGACTCTAGCCCCAGTCCCCCCCAGGGCACACTTTTGGCATCCTGCCAGTTTGTGACAGTGCTTCACCGTTGCGCTTTGGCTAGGGGTGGAAGGATCTCTCCATTTCTGTTCCCTTGGTTTCTCATTTTTCCATGTTGAATAATGTGACTTGCCCAGGAAACCTGCAACCCTCCAGATAGGCTCCAGTTCTGACTCCTGTCACTCTTGAACGTTGGCCACGTTAGCTGGGGCACAAGAATCTCACCGCATCTGGAGGCCCAAAGGTTCCCTTTATCAGCTTGATGGAATCACGGTGGGACTGTCAGAAAACTGCCATTTCCCATCTGATAACACATCGTGCCCTTGCTTAGATACACTTGCAATATAAATTATTAGGTTTATTATCAACATGTGCAGGCTTTTAGCGGTTTGCAATGAGCGAATAATAAGCAAGCAGTGAAATAGCTCAACACAAGTGGTTCCCCCAAATTCAGCTGAAACTGCAACTTATTCTGGCTTCTCCAGTCTCACTGTTATTCAGGCCCTTCATGGCAAGCGCCTTCAGTACTTAGCAGAGCAGCCTTTTGCTGCTATGACCTGCTGCAAACCTGTTGCTCGGTCCCTGCTCCTGCCAACCTAGCAGTTCAAAAGCACGTCAAGAGTGCAAGTAGATAAACAGGTACTGCTCTGGCAGGTTTCCGTGTGCTGCTCTGGTTTCGCCAGAAGCGGCTTGGTTATGCTGGCCACATGACCCGGAAAAACTGTCTGCACACAAACGCCGGCTCCCTCGGCCTGAAAGCGAGATGAGCGCCGCAACCCCAGATTCGTTTGCAACTGGACTTACTGTCAGGGGTCCTTTACCTTTTTACTTCTTACCTACCTAGGAAGTCTGTTGGTCTACCTAGCTCAGTATTGCCTACACTGACTGGCAGCAGCTCAGCAGGGTTTTGGACAGGGGGTCTTTCTCTCCCATCCCTACCTGGAGATGTTGGCAGGAATTGGACCAGAGGTCTCTTGCAAGCAAAGCAGGTGCCCTGCCACTGAGCTGTGCTTCTTTCCCTGAAAACAAAGCAAGATTCTAGTCCTCAATATTCTCAAATTAAATAGGAACATGGTGGAATTGCCTCTTGGGTCCATTTGGCTCAGTATTGTCTACTCTCTGGGGTTTGGGGCAGGTAGTTGAGTTAGGAACTTGTCTATCGCCTGCATGCGAAGATGGGCTCTGGCGGATGGAGCGGATGAGACCAAGAGGGAGTCCAACGGCCAAGCAGGCGGTTTCTGCACGTGCCGTAGAGGGAAGCGAGCGGCAGGTGGAGCTTGTCCACCTGGGAAGGGAGCCCACCTAGGCCCTAAACCTCTGCTGCCTTGCAGCTACACTCATTTGTGAGAAGGGCTTCAGGAGTAAACCCCGATCATTAATGAGGGTGTAGGAGAGGTATAAAGATTTAATAGAACAAAAAACACCCTGGCGGTTACCACCAATTGAAGCTTCGTTACTCAAACCGCTCGGTAAAAAGGGGAAATGGCCAACATATAGAGATTTACTGAGAGATCAAGAAAGAAAATGGAAATTAAAAGATTATGAGGAAATTAAAGACCATTTTCAGAGTTGGTTGCATTACAATTACATGAGATGTATAAGGAAGATAATAAGAAAGGGTTTAGCTATACAATTTCTAGATTTCAAAAGGAAGTTATAGCAGAAGAAGTGAAGCTGCTGGAGAAAGCATATAGTATTCTGCTAGAATGGGAAACAAAAGATGAGGAGGTCAAATCAGTCATGATCAAATGGGCACAAGATATAGGACATATATACAGTTTGAGGACTGGGGAAAGCTGTGGAAGGTAGATCTGAAATTTACAGATTGCTCTCTGTTGAAAGAAAACTATATGAAAATGATGTATAGATGGTATATCACACCAGTACAAATAGCAAAAATGTATAAAACCGGGTCAAACGTATGTTGGAAATGTAAAGAAAAAGAAGGTACTTTGTATCATATGTGGTGGGAATGTAGAGAAGTAAAAAAAAAAAAGGGGGAAATGATATATAATGAATTGAAAAAAAATGACATTTGTAAAAAAAACCCAGAAGCATTTTTCTTAGGTACTGTAGGACAAGACCTGCCAAGAAAAATAAAGAACTTATTTATGTTTGCTACAACAGCAGCAAGAGTCTTGTTAGCACAAAGATGGAAGAATGAGGAAATCCCAACAAAAGAAGAGTGGCAAGAAAAACTGATGAGTTATGCAGAACTGGCCAAGTTGACATATAACCTGTGTGACAAGGACAATCGTGATTTCAAGGAAGAATGGGAACTTTTTACAAATTATTTAAAAAGACAACAAAATGATCTGGACTCCTTGGCAGGTTTTGAATAAACACCCACAAATTTATTAGTTGAATATATAATAGATAAGGCAATGATATGTACAATTTTACAATATGCAGAGAACAATATGTGCAAAGAAACCAGAGAGACGAGCTGAAGGAAGTCTTTGGGGGGTGGAGAGGGAGGGAGGGGGGGGGGGATAAAGAAGGGAGGGAAATGTAATTTGATATATTGATTGATAATCTGGTTGTTAAATTTATTTAATATATATGGAGTAAACCCCGAGGAACAACCCACGCTCACTGCCTTCTGGGAGGGACATCTCCAGGAGAAGTAAAGGCTAAGGGTTAAACCCGACACAAATCCAGAGTGCAGTCCCTAAGGCGGTTGGGTGGAGTTTTGTACTTCAAATGATTGAGCTAATGTGGAAAAGAGAATAAATGACAAGGCACTTTTTAATTGGAAATAAACCTTTGGGGAATCTAATATCAAAATTTCGTTATCCCCTCCTTCTGGCAACTCCTGCTGCAGCCAAGCTGGTGCCAAACGTCTTGCTCTGCTTCCTGGTGTGTGTGTGTGTGTGTGTGTGTGTGTGTGTGTGTGTGTCTTGTTGTCTAGGCAGCCCAGGACCCCCAGGCACCCTGCCCAGGCTTGTGGCCCTTGGGTGCTGCTCATGCAGCAAAAACAAGGGAAGAGGTGGCAGTTCAGAGACTCTTCCAGCCCTGCCTGCAGATGGTGGTGGGTTGAACCTGAAGCCTTCTGAACGCTCTAAACCCTGAGCTAAGGAAATGTGCAGATTGGTTTGGCACCTAAACTCCACCCTATTTCGTTGTTCCTGTTTTAGGCAAAGGTCTGCAGTCCAGTGACAGACTATCTTTTCATGGAGAAAATCCCAAAGTCAGTCCCTGGCCTCTCCAGGTAGGATCCATCATGTTTGGAGAGCTATGACTAGCCAATGCAAACAGGACAGAGGCAGAGGGACCAGTGACTTGGCAGAAAGCAGGCCCCTTAGTCAGACCATGAGGACTAGAGTGCTGGGTTTTCATAAAGTGACTCCTTGTGAATAAAGGGCTCCTGAGGGGCCTGAGACAAGCTCCCTTGGTGGAGGGATGGCAGGTGGCACTTGTGGGGAAAGCTGTGGGTCATGGCTGCTGAAAGGGGTTCAAATCGAAAGCATCCTTTTCAGCCACTTGGTCTCCATTTGTTGAATATGTTCTGAGGTGAGTCCCAGGGGCCAGGTAGAGAGGGCTTGGGGGCCGCATTGGGGGAGGGAGAGACCCTTGGCTCTCCCCCACTGCTCTCCTGTGTCTCCAGACAGCCCCCCTCCCCTGGAGGTGTGATGATGTCATAAAAAGGCAGGTGAGGAAAGGGCCCATTGGCTCCAGCCCCTCCCTTCTCCATCCTCCTGACTGACAGCTGAGGAGCCGAGAGAGGGGAAGAGGCGCCACCATTTCTCTCTCTCTCTGCCAGGTGACAAATTTGCTGGATGGATCTCGCACTTCCCAGGGTGAGTGGTGTTTCCAAATCCAACGACCAGGGAAGAGCTTTCTGTGTCAGGCCAGTGGCCCATTGAGGCCAGCATCCTGCTCTCACTGTGGCCCAAATGACCCAAACAGGCGGCTCCTGCAAGCAGCTCCCAAGGGCAGCAGCGACTCTCCTCTGGTGCCGTTTCCAGCAACTGGCACTCAGAAGCATAGCTGCCTCCAACTATGGAGGCAAAGGTATAGCAATAATAATAATAATAATAATAATAATATATTATTTGTACCCCTCCCATCTGGCTGGGTTTCCCCAGCCACTCTGGGCGGCTTCCAACAAAGATTTAAAATACATCAAAATGTCACACATTAAAAGCTTCCCTGAACAGGGCTGCCTTCAGATGTCTTCTAAAAGTCTGGTAGTTGTTTATTTCCTTGACATCTGGTGGGAGGGCATTCCACAGGGCGGGTGCCACCACAGAGAAGGCCCTCTGCCTGGTTCCCTGTAGCTTTGCTTCTCGCAGGGAGGGAACCGCCAGAAGGCCCTTGGCTAATAGCCCCCAGTAGCCCTCCCTTCAACAAGTTTGCCCACTTCTCTTTCAAAGCTACCCAAGCTGGTGGCCACCCCTGCCTCATGCCTCCTGCAGGAGCAAGTTCCATAGGTTAACCCCATGCCAAGTGAAGAAGGACTTAGAATCATAAAGCTGCAGAGCTGGAGGAGACCCCCGATGGTCATCTAGTCCAACCCCATGCGGTGCAGGTCTTTGGGTATGCTGCCCCAGTCACCACGTTCTCCCTTTGTTTCTTTTTCAGCCCAGACATGTGACCTCCCCTGCTGGTTCTTCCACCACCTGCTCCAGCCTCCACCCTACCTTTGAGTTCACCTGGTCCTGTGCCCAGGAGTAGTATTTTGGGCGTTACCTATGGCTCACAGACACCCTCCGCAATGCTCCTGCCAGCATCCGAGTGTCCCATACCGCCCGCGAGCACCGTATCCCAGCTACCCTCCAGGACCGTATTTGAGATCTTGCCCGTCCTGCCCGAGGTGCAATGCGTATGGCTACAGAGGCTACCCACCTGGGCCTGCGTACCCACAGCACAGGGGTGAAGACTGCTTCACCTGCTGCCTGAAAGCTTGTGCTGCCATCTTTTGCTGCTGCTGCGTTATAGACATGGTAACTTACGACTGCGACTGCAACTACGGCTGAGCACCCCAAGACCCTCTCAATGCCTCTGGCATGGATTGCTGTGTAGCCTCTTCTTCTTCCTCTCCGCCTCCTCCACAGCTTCCAAGCACTGCAATAAATGCTGTGACCTGCGCAGGCAACAGGGACGCAAGTCTGCCGCAGAGATGGCACCATGGTTTCTTTCTTTGTTTTGTTTAAAGCATTTGCCACCAAAGCTCCCAGTGTTTTAAAAAGAATGGTGTGGATCGTGTCCTGCTAAATCTTCTGGGTCTGGAAGCAGCTGTCAGGGCTGGAGTCAGATGCAGGCCAGCACGGAAAGCATCAGGCTTTGTTGTCGGTGAAGTTAATTCTTTATTCAAGTAAACGGCATACAACTCAGCAACCCTCCCCATTAGTCCTTGCCCCATGGAGCCGTTGCCAGGACTGAAGGTCCCTGCTCTCCACCCTCTCTAAGGCTTCTCCTCTCCCAGATGTTTCCCAAGCAGTCTGCGCACCTCTGGCCTCTCTTTTGCCCTCCTCATTATTCTGAGCTTTCTAGGAGACCAGGGCACAGGGGAGCTTGTCACACCAAGAAGGGGAGACTCCCTTGCTTCTTCAGCAGCCTCTTGACCCCTCCCTCCTCTGCGTCAGCCTCAGAGTCTGAACTGCTCCCTGTCGCAGACTCCTCCTGCTCACTACACCCTGTTGCTCCTTCAGCATCCAGCATCTTCTCCCAATCCACTCCCTCTGACCTCTCCTTGGTGTCCCACCACCAATTGCCTGGCTCTGAGCCTTCCTCCTCGGGGGGTTCCCACCACTTGTCTGTGTCCAGCCAGTTCCTGACAGCAGCCTTCATTTCTTTCTTGACCCATCTCTTTGTAGAACAGCCTCCAGGTGTCTCTGACTGCAAAGCTCCTCTCTGTTCCACTAGCCCCAGCCAGTAGAGACGGGGGGAAATGCAATTCAGTTTGCAGTTCAAGGCAGGCCTACCAAATCCACACTTCCTGCACCAATGCATGAACTGAAACCCAGCTCTCCTTTAAAATCCACACTTCTCTTGGCGCTCTTCTGCCCCGTGCTCCTCTGCCTTGGCCAGAGGCTCTTATGCAAAATTAAATGCATATATATTCCTGCGAGTAACAGTACAAGTTTGGCAGCAAACACAGAGTTCAGGAGCCACAGTTCAGGAATCAGACAAGACATTCGAGACTGGAGGGAAGTAGCGAAGATGTCCCAACAGTTTCTGCACCCTGCCCACCAAGCTTTGAAAGATGAGGTGCGACACTCTCACTCCTGAGGCTCGCTCGCTTTGAGAGAATGTCAGAATTGCAAGCAAGTGCTCCTCCAGGATGTGCCGGTCTGCTCCCAATTCTTCATCCTACTGTTAGGACCCTGATCAAGCGCAGACTTGATTTGCATGGCTATTTGGCTGCTCACCCCACAGCCTCCCCTCCCCTGAAATGCTCTGTTCTGTCAGGAGGTTGTGGGCAGAACTGAACCCCAGAAGAATAGAATAGTTGGAAGGGTCTCCATGGGTCACCTCGTCCCATGCCATTCAAAGTGGTGGTCTGCGGACCAGCAGCAGTCTGCAAACCTTCAGCTGCTAGACCCTGACATCTCTACCACATCCCAGGTTGCATGGAAGAAGAAGAAGAGTTTGGATTTGATATCCCGCTTTATCACTACCCTAAGGAGTCTCAAAGCGGCTAACATTCTCCTTTCCCTTCCACCCCCACAACAAACACTCTGTGAGGCTGAGAGACTAGTCCAAGGACCAGAAGTGTGACTAGCCCAAGGTCACCCAGCAGCTGCAGGTGGAGGAGCGAAGACGGGAACCCCTTTCACCAGATTACGAGTCTACCGCTCTTAACCACTACACCACACTGGCTCTCATCACACTGGAACACATCAGGGACCAAATATAGTACACCGGGGTGGGTGGGAATTACTTGTCCATCACATAAGCATTTCTGTAGTCCAAACCCCTGCAGTGCAGGAATCACCGCTGAAGAGTCCCTGGCAGGCGGCCACCCAACCTCCAATGAGGGAGAGTCCACCAGCCTCCAAGGGAGTCCCTTCCACTGTCAAGCAGCTGTTACCATCAGGAATTTCTTCCTAATGTTGAGTCAGAATCTCTTTTCTTGTCATTTGAATCCATTGGTTCAGGTCGCTCCATATGTCAGTCCTTTGTCAGGTATTTGATGATGGCTCTCCTGTCACCTCTCAGTCTTCTCTTCTCCAGGCTAAACATACCCAGCTCCCCCCTCAACTGCTTTAAATGTCTACAGGTAACTCACAACTTGTGCAGGATTTCCATTCTGGGGATGTCGCAGGTACACAAAAATGTGCATAGTCAAACCAGTTCCTTGGACTCAGCCTGTTGCAAGCAGTCCTCTCTTCTAGAGAACCTGTCTTTTACACACACACACACACACACACACACACACACACACACACACTTTTAAGCTCTCTGTTTTGCTTACCAGGCTTTGGGAGGCTGTTTCTGTGTGAGGAAAACCCTGCAGAAAAAGAGCTTTTAAGCTTTCCACCTTCCTTGCATTAAATTTGTGTGATTTCAGCTGGTAGGCTTTCAACTGCGTAAATTTGAAACTGCATGTGTTAAACATGCATAAAAAGGTAAAAGAAAGGTAAAGGACCCCTGGATGGTTAAGTCCAGTCAAAGGTGACTATGGGGTTGCGGCGCTCATCTCACTTTCAGGCCGAGGGAGCCGGCGTTTGTACACAGACAGCTTTCTGGGTCATGTGGCCAGTATGGCTAAACCGCTTCTTGCGCAATGGGACACCGTGACGGAAACCAGAGCGCACGGAAACACTGTTTACCTTCCCGCCGGAGCGGTACCTATTTATCTACTTGCACTGGTGTGCTTTCAAACTGCTAGGTGGGCAGGAGCTGGGGCACAGCAATGAGAGCTCACTCCATTGCGGGGATTTGAACCACTGACCTTCTGATTGGCAAGCCCAAGAGGCTCAGTGGTTTAGACCACAGCACCACCTGCATACCGTGTTAAACGTGCTTAACATGTATTATCTGTACTGTATTAATGTAAATAGCATACAAGTAATTTAAACAGTAATTTAAACACATACTATATTAATACCATGTATGCTCCAAGTTGTTTTGTTGTTGTCCTCCATCTGTCTCAAGAGACAACAGACAGCGCCTCCGGGAGTGAAGTCAAAGCACTGGAGAACTGGAGAAAAAATTGGGTTCCCTTGCCAATAGGAACCCACAAAGCTGTAAATGAATTTAGATTGTTGTAAGGTTATTTCAGTTATATGCAAGGCTATGCCAAAAGTGCTGACATTCTCCTGCGGGTCAACCGTCTGTAAACAATGCCCTTGACAAACCTGCTTCCTAGTGAGTCATGAGGCAGCTGCTTCTCCTTTCTGTGTCAATTCTAGCAGGTGCCGTTGCCATCAAGGAACTTGGCAAAAAACAACTTTCCCTTGGACGGAAATAGCCATTCTGAAAATAAGTGCCAGAAGACCCACCCACCCCCATTCAAAATATAGCATACAGTGGTACCTCGGGTTACAAACGCTTCAGGTTACAGACCCAGAAATAGTACCTCGGGTTAAGAACTTTGCTTCAGGATGAGAACAGAAATTGCGCGGCGGCAGCGGGAGGCCCCATAACCTAAAGTGGTGCTTCAGATTAAGAAGTTTCAGGTTAAGAACGGATCTCCGGAACGAATTAAGTACTTAACCTGAGGTACCACTGTATAGCTATAAACACAAGAAGGTGGTACAGCACGGAAATCGTAGAAAGTAATTAGGAATCTCCCCATCTCAGTTTCTCATTTTCTCCAATCTTAAATTTGGTTCTCTGCATTTCTAGTTTTGTTTTAATACAAAAAACAAAAACAAAACCCCCTCATGGACATTCTTCAGCATCCTCCTGCCCTTTTCTCCTACCATACATGTATTTACTTGCAATTTCCTCAAAATTCTCATTTTTGCAAAGTGATTTCCCCTTATATGCCGCACCTCTGTATGTCCTTCTCGCTAATATTTGTTTCTGTTTTTATCACATGACGCCTTCTCTACCTCATCAAGAAGCCCAAGGGGGTGGACATGGTTTCTCCCTCCCCAGTTTGCCTTCACAGCAACCCTAAGAGGGAGTGACTGGCCCAACGTCACCCAGTGAGCTAATGGCGGAGAGGGGATTCGAACCCTGGTCTCCCAGGTCATAGTATGGCACTAACATCATGCTACACTTTGCCATAGACAGTGCTGGATTTACGTACAGTGGTACATACAGCTCAGCTGGCTAAAACATGGTGCTGACAACGCCAAGATTGCAGGTTTGATCTCCACATGGGACAGCGGCACATCCCTGCATCGCAGGGGGTTGGGCTAGATGGCCCTCAGGGTCCCTTCCAGCCCCTCTATGGTTCTGTGATTCTATGGCCATGCATGTGCCTCATAAAAGGTGGGTGCCCACAACACGACTGTCCTCCTTCAGGCCAGTGTCCATTATGGAAGCAGCATAGAAGAGCCCATAAGGCAGCCTTTCTCAACATGTGGGTCCCCAGATGTTGTTGAACTACAACTCCCATCACCCCTAGCTAGCAAGGCCAGAGCTCAGGGATGATGGGAGTTGTAGTCCAACAACATCCGGGGACCCACAGGTTGAGAACCGCTGCCATAAGGAATGTCCTGATGGACCACAGGAAGGTGAATGTGGAAACCTCAGGAGGGGGGGAGGCTGTTGCGCACAGGGTGGGCTTCCCCTTGGGGCATCCCCACAAGACGCTGGGTTCGGTGGGCCTGACCCAGCAGGCCTATGCCGAAGTTCTTAAGGCCAAGTCTACCACAAACTTGTATCGCTGTGCAAATCAAATATTTTATTACGGTGCTCAAAGCTGGAGAGGAGGAGGAGGAGGAGGCATGGGAGTCCACAGCCGAGGTCCTGAGAGGCCCTTCATGGTAGCCGGGGGGCCGTCAAGACGTCCCAGACGCAGCAGCAGCAGAGGGTGGCCCAGCAAGCGGCCAGGCAGGTGGCCAAGGTGGAGGGCTCCTTCCGCTCTTCTATGATGTACACGGGGTGCCCGGGCCCAGGCCCATAGGCTAGTCCCGAAGGCAGAGGGGCAGGGTAGGCCTGGTAGCCCTGGTAGCCGTATGGCGGTGCGTACGCCGGGTAGGTGGAATAAGCAGACGGGTATGGCCCTGGCGGGTAGCCGGCATAGGACTGAGAAGATGGGTGCGCCCCCGGTTGCTGGGGCTGGGAGGCATTTGGATTAAGGCCTCCCTGGGGTGGCGGAGGTTTTGAATGGTCCATGAATATTCCCCATCCACTTCGGAAAGGCTGCCAGCAGACAAGAGGCCTTACTTCCAAAGGGAAGGAAACTCGAAATGTGACGTAGGAACTGGAGCAGCAGAGGAGACGTCACAAATCTATGCTGGAAAAGAAAAAGACAGAGAATGTGGCACCCGGGAGGAAATGAAATACCCCCCCCCAAAAAAAAATATGTGATAGGGGAGGTGGCATGGTTGAGTTGGCATCTGTATGTCTCCGGAGACAATGGGGTGAAGTCAAACTATGTCACAGGAAGATGCCGACCAGTAACCACACAGTTTGAAGTCCGAGTTAACTCTTGATTAGCAAAACCACACTCTTCACACACTTGGTTCCCTGTCAGGCCTAAGGAACAGAGCAGCTCATTCCCGGTGGTCTAACTCCAGGAAAACCAGTTGCCAAGACTGAGTCCCCACCTCCTTCTGCTGATCTAAGTCCCCTCCTCTCCAGGGTTTTCCCCAAACAAGCAGAGTCTGTGCCATCATGCAGCCAACCTCTCCCCCGCCCTTTGCATGCCTCTCCTGGTTCTGGGAGACAAGCGGGGAGGGGAGCTGGTCGCAGCAGGAGGGGGAGACAGCCAGGCCTCTTCACAGGCTGAAGCGTCCTGCCTCTCCTGCTTCAGCTTCTGCCACAGACTCCCCTTTCTCACTAAGCCCTTCGGACACCTCTTCCAAGTCTGTTCCCCTTTTTCCTCTGGAGGCATCTCCAGGCTCTTCTTAGTGGTTCCCAGCTGGTTCCTCCCACCATTCCTCTGTGTCCAGTCCATACAAACCACTTGGCTGCAAGGATGGTGACTCGTAACTGCTGCTTCCTGTGTTTATTATTTATTATTTGTACCCCGCCCATCTGGCTGGGTTTCCCCAGCCACGCTGGGCAGCTTCCAAAAAAGATTAAAAATACATTAAAATGTCACACATTAAAAACTTCTCTGAACAGGGCTGCCCTCAGGTGTCTTCTAAATTTCAGACAGTTGTTTATGCCTTTGACATCTGACAGGAGAGCTTTCCACAGGGCGGGCGCCACTACCGAGAAGGCCCTCTGCCTGGTTCCCTGTAGCTTTGCTTCTCGCAGTGAGGGAACCCCCAGAAGGCCCTCGGAGCTGGACCTCCGTGTCCAGGCAAAACAATGGGGGTGGAGATGCTCCTTCAGGTCTACTGGGCCGAGGCCATTTAGGGCTTTAAACACTTTAAATTGTGCTCGGAAACGTACTGGGAGCCAATGGGGGTCTTTGGCATGGAGAAAGTGTATTGAGAGAAGTTGTTCCTCTCTTTTGCCTTCTCCCTTGGGATTCCGACTTGACATCAGGGAAAAGTTCCTGGCGTTAAGAGCCGTTCAAGAGTGGAACAGACTCCTTCGGAAGATGGCGGACTCTCCTTCCTTGGAACTTTTTAACATGACATTGGGTATCTTTCAGATATTTTTAAGCTGTGATTCCTGCAGGGGGTTGGGCTAGAGGATCCTTGGAGGTCCCTTCTAACTCTACAGTTCTCTGATTATAATCTCACTTTTGCAAAACTCACTTTTGCAAACATGGTTTGGTTGGAGACCTGCATTGCAAATTTCAGATGAGTATGAATTTCAGAGGACTGTGTTTTGGTTCCCGCATTGTTACGGAAAGTGCCAATTTAATGGATTGGCCTTCAAATGCACATTGAATTCACTTTCTCACCCCCGCTCCCTGTCCTTGGTTCCTTCTAAATCAAACTGAAGCCCAGTGAACCAGACTGATGCTCAGTGAAACATATGGCTCACAATATCTGCAACGTACACCTGTTTGACTGCTGGCATATGTTGACTTCCTTTTTCTGAAGAAAGATCTAAGGCTCTCAGCCTGTGGGACAAAGCCTGCGTCATCAATTGCAGGTCTTCTGAGAAAGAAGCATCTTTATCTGCTGGAGATCATGTGCCACCGCCCCTCTGCTCCTTCCCCTTGTACAATAACAGCATTAGTCTGTTGCGTTAGCAGCAGCCCCTGTGCCCTGGCCCAAGCATGACTCTTGCAAGCACCCGAAGAGCACAATGAGAGAGACGCCGTGGGGATCCTGCAAAAGGAGAAGGAAGGCTGAGAGGTGTCTGTGTTCTGAGCCACACACGCAAAACGTTGTATTTATTCCGTCTGGCCTCAGTCACTAGGGACTGGGGGTGGGGGAGCAACCTGATTTGGTTTGCATTGAATGGTAAACCTGACCTACTTTGCACTTTCGGAAAGAATGAAACAAAGCTATCCTTTGAAATTTGCACCTCTCTGAACTTTGGTATCTTTTTCTCCACCTAAGTAATGTGAACAAAAATGCATGGACTGGGGTAAAGTGTGCCTACAGATGCATATCATACTGAACACAACATGCAAAAATGCGCTGTGCTAGGGGAAATTGCTTTGCCAAAATGTACAGGATTCCTGCCTTGCAGGGGGTTGGGCTAGATGACCACCCTGTTCCCTTCCAACTCTACAATTCTATGATTCTACCCCTGCTATTAAAATGCATTACTTGCCCTTCACTCAAAGGGCGAGTAACCCAGTGTGGGTTGTAACTATTAAAACACAATATTAAAAACAGTTGAAAACTGCCCAACCTCCTGTTCTCCCAGTGGTCAACTCGATGCCACCATTGGGAACCTCACAGGCAGGACCTGAGCAGAACAGCAGCTGTCCCTGCTTGGGATCCCAGTCGCCCCGCTGCCTCTGACAGTGGAAGGATAACACCCCCAAAGGCCTCATCCTGGTGGAAAGGGGGGCAGGAGACACAAACTTCCCAGTGACAGGAAGAGAGGGAGAAGGGGGTTGGAGGAGAGCTTCTGAATTCCTCCTCCTCTCCGTTTGTCCTGTTTGGGAATGCCAACTCACCAAGCCGAGCCAGAGATCTTTGCAGCAACAACTCCACTTGCCAGGATTCGAAAACAAGCCAAGGCAGAAAGAGAGAGTGAGATGAAGCCACTGATCTCAGCTGTCAGTCAGGAGGATTGACCGAGGAGCCAACTGGCCCTTTCCTCACCTGCCTTTTGTGACATCATCGCACCTCTTGGGGAGGAGGGGCTGCCTGAGGACATAGGGAAGTGGAGTCAGGGAGCCTCCATGCCAAAATGCCAGCCGGCAGCAAATCACACTGTTCAAACTTGGCGTTAACATTTATTAGCAAAAACACAATCTCCGTGGACTTGGCATGGTGAGTCTAGCCCCATGAAGTTTCCGAGACAGAGTCCCAACCTCCCCACAACCTTATCTATGCTCCCTCCTCTCCAGGACTTCTTACAAGCACACTGAGACTTCCTCTTCCTGCTTCTGCGAGATGAGAGGGGAGCTTGTCACAGCAGGAGGGGGAGACCCCCCTGGCTACTTCACCAGCCAGACTCCTCTCCCTCCTGGCAGCGTCAGCTTCTGCCTCTGATTCTGGACTGCTCTCTGCCACAGACTCACCCTGCTCACTCTTGCCTCTTCAGCTTCTGACGCTTCTCAGTCTTCTCCCTCTGATCACTCATCATTGAGCCGCCATCCATCAGTCCCCAGGCTTTGAGTCTTCTTCACTTGGGGGGTTCCCCAGATAGTTCCTCCCCCCCTTCCTCTGCATCCAACCAGTGCATGACACTTGGGGGCTAAATGCAGCTCTGCTGACAGCTTCATCTTGTCCTCAGGACTCTCCGCAGATCACACCTATCAGTGGCCTTTCTCAAGAGCTTATGCCTGGCTGGTGGGTGTCCTTGATCTCCATCCATGTCTCGTGCTGGCTTGGGCAGTGTGTGTGTGTGTGTGTGTGTGTGTGTGTGTGTGTGTGTGTAAATAGAAACCTGGAGCTCTTGCAGTGCTAGAGTCTTGCTTACTGTGGACACATTTGGATTTCCAAGCAAGTGCCCTGGGTGCCACCCCCTCTGGTCACTTCTCTTCCCCCATCCCACCCCCCTGGAGCCCCCCCCCACTGGCACAAATCCACAAAGAAAGTGAGAGATTTTCCAAGGGGCTTCAGGTAGAAATTTGGTCCAGGGGAATTAATCCAATCCTTGAAAACCAGAGTTGAAGGAGAGAGGCTGCAAGCATGCCACAAGGGGTAAGGCTTCCAAAGGCCAGTAGCCACAGTCGCTGGGCTGCACCTCCACGGCCAGAGGCAGCAATGCTGGGAGCCACAGGAGCAGGGAGGGCTATTATTATTATTATTATTAATTATTTGTATCCCACCCATCTGGCTGGGTTTCCCCAGCCACAACAAAGATTAAAAATGCCTCAAAATGTCACACATTAAAAGCTTCCCTAAACAGGGCTGCCTTCAGATGTTTTCTAAATGTCAGGTAGTTGTTTATCTTTTTGACATCTGATGGGAGGGCATTCCACAGGGCGGGAGCCACCACTGAGAAGGCCCTCTGCCTGGTTCCCGGTCGCTTTGCTTCTCGCAATGAGGGAACCGCCAGAAGGCCCTCGGCGCTGGACCTCAGTGTCTGGGCAGAACGATGGGGGTGGAGATGCTCCTTCAGATCTACTGGGCTGAGGCTGTTTAGGGCTTTAAAGGTCAACACCAACACTTTGAATTGTGCTGGAAATGTACTGGGAGCCTTGTGCTTGAACCCTCCCTGCCGGCTTCCCATTGGGGTTGTCTGTTTGGCCACTGTGGGAACAGGATGCTGGGCTGGAGGAGCCACTGGCCTGATCCAGAAGGGTCTTCTGATGTGTGCAGCCAAAATGGGAAGGAGCACCACTCTTTCAACATTCTTCTTCAGCTCTGTGTACTGTTCAAGAGGGAGAAAGGACCCACATCACCTCCTGAGGACAGTGAGTTTGGGAGGGGGGTCATCTGTGATTATTGCACAATGTATGCCTAGCTAAACTAAAAACATCAGTGCTATTTAGAAGAGCATTATGGCATCCGATCACATTCAAAAAGTTGACGAAAGCCTCTCCTTGATCTCAGGAACTACCATGCAAAATCTGGTATCTTAAGAGGTCTCCAAACGAAGAGCGGACAAACAGACAGGCAACTTTCCTAAGTACAGAGTAGGCCAGGTGAGAGCTCCCTGCCCCAAGGAACCTCCATTAAATTCTGTAAACCTCAACTATTATAAGGCCCCAATCTTCTGGGGCTTTTAAATTGTTCTTTAGGAGTAATTGCTTAGCCATCCCTGTGAATAAACAGTCTCCAAGCGCAACACGTTCTTGAGCAAAGGGAGGTTGATCAGACCTAAAGGTTTTTGTGACAGTTCCAGCAGCCACCGCCCTGTTTCTCGCTAGGGTGGGTCCATCCTGCAGCAGCCAAAATGTGGTTTCTCGGTTCTGGGTGTGTAGCAACATCCCCTTCCTCTTGTTTTGCTGGGTAGGGCACATGCCACCATGTTTTTTTCAGCAAAAATACAAAAAGCAACCACAACAATTTGGTCACCTCACTTTTGCCGGGAGAGAATTGGATGCTGCAGCCACCAGCACTGGGGGGCCAAATCCATCAGAGCAGGTGAGCCTGGAAGAGAGGGGAGTGGCAGCTATTTAACTTTCCTCCTGTCCATCTTTCCATTCATAATTATCCACCTGTCCACATAAGCTCCCGCTTTCAGAACTGCACACATCATGCATTTAAAGCACATTCCTCCCAACCAAGAACTTCAGCCTCGTCTTCACAGAGTTACCGTTCCCAACACTCTTAACCAAACAAGAGTTCCCAGGATTCTTCCAGGGGTGTGTGCTTTGAATGCATGGTGTTTCTGCAGTCCCTCTCTTGCCTTCCACATCTGAGGTCCTGGTGACTTCAGAGGATTCCTTCTTTCACGACAGATTCTACATCTAGACCAGTATTGCTTACTCTGACTGGCAGTGGCTTTCCTCTGGTTGAGGAGGTTTGTTTGCTGTTTGATCCTGGAGTTGCCAGGGATGGGATGTGGGGGTGGATTTATGCAAGGGCTACAGCTCAGTAGGTAGAATGTGGGTTTGAGCCCCACACTGGGGGAAATGTTCCTGTGTTGCAGGATGTTGGACGAGATTATCCTTGGGGTCCCTCCCAACTCTACAATTCTATGGTTCCTTTCCCTGAAAAAATAGGGATCCTAGTCCTCATGGTCCTATTAAAATAGGAAATGTAGAAATCTGCCTTACAATGGCTCAGATAATATCCTTCTGTCTTGTCTCCACTGACTGCTTCTTTGCCATCTCCTGCTAAGTGATTATTTGATAAAGGGAGAACCTGGGACCTTCTGCATGCAGGACACCTGCTCTTGCACTGGCAGAGCGTCTGCTTTGCATGCAGAAGGTCCCAGGTTCAATCCTGGTCATCTCCAGGAAGGACTGGGAATGTCCCCTGACAGAAGCTCTGCAGAGACACAGCAGCCGCTGCAGACAACACTGAGTGAAATGCTCCCGTGGGGGACTCAGAACAGGGCAGCTTCCTGTATCCCAGTCTGAAACCGTCCTCCTTCTAGAATCACGAGGATTGAAGTCTTACTTTGGGGCAGAGGTGCCCAAGGAGGGTGGTACTGTCCGGGGGGGGGGCAGGGAGTAGCATGGAGGGTTGGAAGTTTTAATAAATGTCTATCCGACTTTGAAAAGCTGGTCTCTGAATCAGCTTTGTCGAATTAATGAAACCAAGTAACTCTAATTGGGTTTTGAATCAATGTGCACTTAATTGTAACTGTTCCGAATGTCATTGTGTTAGCTCAGTTGGCTACAGCATGGTGCGGGTAAAGGCAAGGTTGCCGGTTTGATCCCTGAATGGGACAGCTGCATATTCCTGCATTGCAGGGGGTTGGGCTAGATGACCCTCAGGGTCCCTTCCAACTCTACGATTCTATGAGATTATGCTCCTTCGTGGGTTGTGTTGACTGCTCTTTTATAGGGAGGGGTTGTGGACGCTGGGGGTGAGTTTATGGGACCAAGGAAAAGTTTGAGAGCCGCTGCTTCAGGAGAAAAGCATTGCTCAGTCTGACCCACTGCAAGGCAGTTCCCTATATTCCAGGGTTCCTCGCCTGCATTCATCTCCCTCCTTCTGTGGTCTATTCAGATCTATTTCCCTCTTCACTTGCCCGCTTTTCTGTCTCTCTGCTGCGGTTCCAGGCTTTCCACATCCACCTGCGATGCGTTACTTTGCTTAATGCCTTTTCTTCTTCATTTCAACACTTTGATCCGAGAACTGGGGTGACGCACGGGGGTTGCTGCTGTGGTGTTTTTTTCCTTCCCGGCACCTAGAGCCTCAATTAAGACTTGCAAAAGTTGCAATGCGCAAATCATAAAGAACATTGCAACGCAAGCCTCTGCAGATGTGGAGAAACAGGACATGACTTCTTTTTTAACAAATAAAATCCTGCAATTTCTCTACGGAGCTTAGGCCGGCGTATAGAACATGCACGTGCCCTGATTCCTTCCCTTTGTTTTTATCTTCACAACGACCCTGTGGGGCAGGCAGGCCAAGGGTGCCACTGGCCCACGGTCACCCAGCAAGCTTTGAGCCCATGGCCCCCTCCAGTTATTCTGAAATGAATAATAATATTCACTGTGAAGAATACGGTGCCTAGACAGTCCCCTGTGGCGACCGTAACCCAGGAGCGGAAAGAGGCACGTGCCTCCACAGTTCTCTGTTCTGGGTGTTTGTGAGGGCAGATTAAGGACGCAGGAAGCTGCCTGGTCCCACTTCCGCCTGGTCTCTCATGCACACTCAATCACACTCTTTCTTTCTGTGGGTGGGGCTTTGTTTTAATTAAACAATTTGGACATAAAAAAAATAGACCAGGCTGCCTTTCAGTCTGAATTTACCATTTAAGCAACTGCATTTAGCAAATAACTGCAGCACTAAGAGAACAATATAAGGCAAGAACAATAACGCGAGTGGCATCTGCAGAGAAATGTTGCCGCTCGTGGCATCTGCTTACACACCACAGGTGGTACTTGACCGCCTTTCACTTAGTCTGCCCATTAATGAATGTGACCATGTTAGTTCTATTCATTTCAATAGGTATACTCCGAGCAAGACTTAGCTGAACGGATCTACTTAAAGCAACAAAATCCATTTAAGCCTACATCAAGGAAACAAGTATGGGACGCGGGTGGCGCTGTGGGTAAAACCTCAGCGCCTAGGACTTGCCGATCGTATGGTTGGCGGTTCGAATTCCTGCGGCTGGGTGAGTTCCAGTCTTTCGGTCCCAGCTCCTGCCCACCTAGCAGTTCGAAAGCACCCCTAAGTGCAAGTAGATAAATAGGTACCGCTTTATAGCGGGAAGGTAAACGGCGTTTCCGTGTGCTGCGCTGGTGCTGGCTCGCCAGAGCAGCTTCGTCACGCTGGCCACGTGACCCGGAAGTGTCTCCGGACAGCGCTGGCCCCCAGCCTCTTAAGTGAGATGAGCGCACAACCCTAGAGTCGGACACGACGGGCCCGTACGGGCAGGAGTACCTTTACCTTTACCTAAGGAAATAAGTAAAAAAAATGAATATTGTATACTGTTTTATTTAAGCCACTTTGATATTTATTTGATTAATATAGATGTTGCTCCGTAAATCAATAAAATATCAAAATGCATGGGGAACGAAAGGTCAGGTGAGCCGTTGCTGTTTCTCTACAGCTGTTTTTTTTTGGTATGCATTCTTCTCAGCAAAGCAATATCCTCTTCTCCCACACCCCTTCCGCAGCAGCAAAGGAACTTGCGGTTCCTCAATACTTATTCCTCTTCATCCAGCGTCATGCACTGATTGACGGATGAGTAAGAACAGAAAACGTGTTGTGCTCTGCTCTGAAATGATGCCACCGGAACACCCCCCCCAAAGGCAATACCAGGAACTGCTAAAAAGAGGGAGCACATCCTTAAAAAACAGGAAACATGCCCTCAGGTGACCTCTTTCTCATTTCCACAACCTCTCCTCATTGACTCTCCTTTCTTCTCTTAATTTTGCAGAAATCTGGCCAAGATGGAACTCTGGACCGGCCATGGACCACAGGTGGGGCTCTGGTGAAATTTGGGCAGCCATAGTGAGGTTACCGCTGCTTGCTTCCCAACCAGGTGCAGAGACTGAGTGAGCTGCTGGTTCTTCTCATGTTTGAGACCTTGTTTGGCAGCCATCAGCTCAAGAAGACGCACAGACTTCTGACTTTCACCAGCATCACACCTTGTGTCCATTATTGTGAGATCCTAAGCAGTGGATATCACTTTGCCTCCATCAAAGGCCAAGAGGGCTCCTGTGTTGCCTCAAACAAGTCTCCCCAAGAATAGGCCCAGTTTTGTTTCCGTACTGATCCATCAAGCAATCTAGAAGATGACTGACATGGAGCTCTTCAACTCCACCTCCTCACCCTCTCCTTGGACGGCCCTCCCCACGTCTGTCCCAGACCCCCGACTTGCTTCGGCCCATCGCCCAGAACTCTGTTACCCAACGACGGACACAAACCACTTCAACATCATCCTGTACCATTACAACTTCACAGGGAGGATGCAGAATCGCCGTCCCCAGGAAGACCAGATGAGCGTCCTGAAGATGGTCATTATTGCTGCCAGCTGCCTCATCATCCTGGAGAACCTGGTGGTGCTGCTGGCCATCATCCGCAAAGTGCGCACCCGCCGGTGGGTCTACTCTTGCCTGGCCAGCATCACCCTCAGTGACCTCTTAGCCGGCACGGCCTACTTGATCAACCTCTGGTTGTCGGGGAGTCGGACCTTCCAGCTGTCGCCCACCATGTGGTTCCTCCGCGAGGGGGTCCTCTTTGTTGCCCTGGCGGCCTCCACCTTCAGCCTGCTGGTGACAGCCGTGGAGCGCTACAGCACCATGGTGAAGCCCATCGCCGAGAAGGAGTCCAGCAAGACCACCCGCCTGAGGGCCCTCTTCGCCTTCTGCTGGATCCTGGCCATCCTCATTGGCCTCCTCCCCTTGCTGGGCTGGAACTGCATCTGCCACGTCTCCCGCTGCTCCACGCTCCTGCCCCTCTACGACAAGAACTACATCCTCTTCACTGTGATCGTCTTCAGCATCATCCTGGTGGGCGTCGTGGGCCTCTACGCCTCCATCTACTGCTGGGTCCAGAAAAGCGCCCAGCAGACCTTTTCTCGGGGCAGCCGGAAGAGGTCTCTGCGGCTGCTGAAGACGGTGCTGGTCATCCTCTGCACCTTCCTCATCTGCTGGACGCCTCTCTTCATCCTCCTCCTGATAGATACCTTTTGGGGGAACACAGCCTGGGCTCCCCCTAAACTCTTTGGCTGGATCTTGACCTTGGCCGTGACCAACTCATTCATCAATCCCATCGTCTACGCCTTGGGGAGCAAGGAGGTGAGGAGGGCTGTCGTGGAGCTTCTCTGCTGCTGCTGCATCTGGGCTGGGGTGCGCGGCCCCCGAAATTGCCTTGTTGCCAGCGATATCCATGCCAGCTCTTCCACAGGCTCCTTGAGAGGGCGTGGCAGCTTCCGTAGCCCAGTAGCCTTCAGCAGGAGAACCAGAGAACCTCTCTCCAGCAATTCAAGTATGCTGAGCAATGACACTTCAGGGCTGCATCACACCCAGGACTAGAATCTCCACTCTTCCGGACATGAGGAGGAGAACCCTCAGAACGTGTCTAAAAGATTCTGTTTTGCATGTCTTCAGGTGGTTCAGAGGAAGACCAGAAACCTCAAAGACGACTGTAGTAATAGCAGGGACTATCCACCCCCCTGACCAGTCCTCCTAACCCCGGCAGAACCTGGCAGGAAGAGGGAGAGGTTGCTAGGTCAAACGGTAAAGTTGCCACCACCTCCTTTCCTGGGCCACCCTCAAATGGGGCTCAAGGAGGAGAACCCTCCTTTGATATTTACCAGGTTGGCCAGCCCTGTGTCACTATACCATGACGCAGACAGAAATTCAACAGGTAGGTGTCCTAAACAGCCAGGCACCAGTTTAGCTCCGGGCAAAAGTCCTTTTCCAAGTTTCTTGAAAAGGCCACTCAAAAAGTTGGCACAGTCCTTGAAAGTTTATAAACAGAAAATAAAAACGTTATAAAATATAGCTAACTAAAAACCATACTCATGCAATAACAGTTCAGAGCACAGCAAATAGTCATAGAATCCTAGAGTTGGAAGAGACCACAAGGGCCATCGAGTCCAACCCCCTGCCAAGCAGGAAACACCATCAGAGCACTCCTGACATATGGTTGTCAAGCCTCTGCTTAAAGACCTCCAAAGAAGGAGACTCCACCACACTCCTTGGCAGCAAATTCCAATGTCGAACAGCTCTTACTGTCAGGAAGTTCTTCCTAATGTTTAGGTGGAATCTTCTTTCTTGTAGTTTGGATCCATTGCTCCGTGTCCGCTTCTCTGGAGCAGCAGAAAACAACCTTTCTCCCTCCTCTATGTGACATCCTTTTATATATTTGAACATGGCTATCATATCACCCCTTAACCTCCTCTTCTCCAGGCTAAACATGCCCAGCTCCCTTAGCCGTTCCTCATAAGGCATCGTTTCCAGGCCTTTGACCATTTTGGTCAAAGTCCCTTTACTGGTCAAACGCTCTCAGGCAAAACACCAGGGCAAGATGTTCTGCAATTTGCATCTAAATTCCCCAAACCCTTTATTCTTGAACACCCCAGAGGAGGATCATTTCTTTAGGTTAATTACCAATTTGCCAATGGCTGTATGATGAGACTATATCTCCTGATTGTCAGGAGACCAGCACAACTGAACTTTGTTTATGCTCAGGAACCTTGAGATCAAAAGGCTCTCCCCTCCTTCCTTCTCTGACACGTACCAGGCTCTTGAGTTGTAAATTACTGGCACCTTTTCACCCCCAATCCACATTCAAGCCCCCAGCTGCCGGATCTGCAAATCAGATAACATCTCAACCTGCCCAGAGTCAGGATGCAATTTAGCTCACACTTCTAGAGACAGGGAGTTTTATATTTAAAAAGACCAGACATCCATTCCCCACAAGGCCACAGTTTTAACTCTCCCACAATGCCTCACTCCAGCACGAACCAGCGTTTAACATACCAAGCTTTCCCAACTTCACTGCAACGACAGCGCCATTCCTGCAATGTATTCCCTGGATGTGTATTTTGTCTCACCGTTGTATATTTTTTAAATCACATATATGCAAGTCTGAACAAGAAAACTATTTGATTCAGATTTTTCCACCAAGGGTGGAATATTTAACACCTTTGGATTGATGTGTGAATTGCTAATTCTTCTTTGCAATCAGCCAATCAGAAATGGTGGGCTATTTCCATTTTACCCCTACCCATTGAAATTAAAGGACTTAGTATACTTATACTTTACTTGTTGTTGTTGAGTTGTTCAGTCGTGTCCGACTCTTCGTGACCCCCTGGACCAGAGCACGCCAGGCACTCCTGTCTTCCACTGCCTCCCGCACTTTGGTCAAACATACTTTACTTACTTATACTTAATTTAAATGGGTCTACTCTGAGTATACCTTGGTGGCATACAAACCCTATGATGTGATTGGGTTTGTGGGATGGACTGACAGGGCCCCCTTGAATATTATTGCAATCAGCCACCAGGCAGGATGAACCTCCTGACACTCTTTAGTGGACTGTCCAGCTAAATTTCTCAGCCCTGAGCCATTTTATAGAAAAGCTCAGCCAACACAGAAGATAGTTAAACTGCAGGGGCAAGAAACCCAAGACCCTCTAGGGGGCACTGCTGAGCTGCACTGGAATGCAGAGGTTCTGAACAGAGGCTGTTAGCCACTGATTGTGCTCACTGGTTTGCCAGGCTTGTCTGGATGGGCAAACCATGGTGGTCAGCAATGCTGCAGCTGCTGAGGCCCCTCACCCTCAGGACAGGGGGCTGAACAAAGGGGGAACAAAGGCAGCCTCAACAGCATGGTTTGTCTGTGTGCTTGGATGCTTAAACCATCTCTTGGGTTCTGAATTACGTTTAACATTACATTTTAGGAGAAGGGCTGTGGCTCCGTGGCAAAGTTCCTCCTTTCCAATAAACAGATCCCAGGTAGAGCTGGAAGGGGCCCTGAGCATCATCTAGTCCACCCTCCTGCAATGTAGGAACAGGCAGCTGCCCCATACAGGGCTCAGACCTTGGCCTTCCCAGCACCAGCTCTAACCGACTGAGCTACTCAGGCCAGGGCTGGGGAAGACCCTCACCTGAAACCTGGGAGAGGAGGAAGCCAGAAGGAGCACACTGGCCGAGTTGTTATGAGGCAGCTTTCTAAGGTTTGGCGGGGTGCTTTGCACTGAGCCCCAGAATTTAGGATAAGGACTTCCCCACCACCCAAAAAATAAATGAACTGGATAAAGATCTAACATGATGCTGCTCACATCTAATGGAGGCAGGAGCACCCGAACTGCGCAACATGACGCTTTGCTCTCCAACTCAAGGAAGGCAACAGGCATTGCAGCACAGGAGCTTAGCATGATGGTCCCTACTCACGTGTAGCATTTACACACATACCAGCAGCACACCCAAAGAGGGCTCCAATCTAGGCTTCTTTTTCTGCCGGTGAGCGGATGGGGGGCAATTTTCACAGGTCCCCACAGACTTGGAAGGACCCTGGAGGGTCAATCTAACCCCCTGCAAGGCACATGCGGTCCCCGGTCCAATGTGAAACCATACCAGACCTGCTTAGCTTTGCAAATGTGTGAGTAGTTTTATTGCTGCACCAGTCACAGGGATTCCATGTTTTGTTTTGTTTTTAATGGAGTGTCAGGGCTGGAATCAGACACAGGTCAGCAGGAAAGATGCAAGGCTCAGCTGTCAGTGAAGTTCAAGGAAACAGCGCACAACTCTTGCCCCATGGAGCCATTGCCAGGAGTGAAGGTCCCTCTCTAAGGCTTCTCCTCTCCCAGATGTTTCCCAAGCAGTCTCAAACTGCGTCTGCGCACCTCTGGCCTCTGTTCTGCCTTCCTCATTATTCTGAGCGTTCTTGGAGACCAGGGCACAGGGGAGCTTGTTGTACCAAGAAGGGGAGACTCCCTTGCTTCTTCAGCAGCCTCTTGACCCCTCCCTCCTCTGCGTCAGCCTCAGAGTCTGAACTGCTCCCTGTCACAGACTCCTCCTGCTCACTAAGCCCTGTGCTCCTCCCCTCTGACCTCTCCTTGGTGTCCCACCTCCAGTCCTCTGGCTCTGAGCCTTCCTCTGGGGTTTTCGGGGGGGGGGTGCACCTCCTACCACTCCTCTCTGTCCAGCCGGTCCATGACATTAGGGTTCCTCATATCTGGAGCAGATATGAGTGGGGGAGCTGCAAGAGGAAGGGGGCATTCGACAAAAGTCACTTCTCCCTGCTCTCCTTTAAGAGTCAGAAAATGGAGTCACGCTCCCTGTAAGGAAGGAACGGGGAGCAATTACAACCCCAGGAGGGGGGCAAGCGCATGCTTGGGCTTTGGGAGAGACCCAGAGGCAGTAAGTTTGGCTACAGGGGTGCCAATTTGAATACAGTGGTACCTCGGGTTACAGACGCTTCAGGTTACAGACGCTTCAGATTACAGACTCCGCTAACCCAGAAATATTACCTCGGATTAAGAACTTTGCTTCAGGATGAGAACAGAAATCGTGCTCCAGCGGTGCAGCGGCAGCAGGAGGCCCCATTAGCTAAAGTGATGCTTCAGGTTAAGAACAGTTTCAGGTTAAGAACGGACCTCCGGAACGAATTAAGTTCTTAACCCAAGGTACCACTGTAAAATATTGGGCCAACCCAGGTAAGCTCTGTCCCACATAATGGATCACAAGATGTGGCATATACACACCATTTGAATGGCAACGCCAATCAACTGGGGGGGGGTGGCCCTCTCAAATATTTTAGGGGGGGCAAAGGGATCCTGGTCCCCAGAAGTCGGCTCCTGTGGTTGGCTACGTTCCAACCACATGACACTTACACAACCCCTGCCATCCAGGCCAGCAAAAGGCATTATCATAGTTCAGTGAGACATCCCAGGTAGGCATTGCAGGGGGTTGGACTAGATGACCCTTGGGGTCCCTTCCAACTTTACAGTTCTATGATTCTGAAATCCAAACTATTCTCTCTGACACTTCGCTGCCAACTGACTGGCTGGAACCTCCAGCCAATCAGAGTCTGCTGTCAGTCTACCCAGACCAATCAGACTGAATTTAACTGATCCAGGCCCCACCTAATAAATTTTCAAAGTGGTCCTTTCTCTCTCTCTCCTCCATCACAACCTGTCACCAAAGCAGGCTGGGAGCTTCATTGACTGTACAAGTCCCCAAACCTTTAAAGCTCAGTCACAGGATATTGCTTTCTCCAAAACATGAGCACAAACCGGCATATATCATTGCAGCAATTATCCACAGATTTTGCATGATGGACTCCCCCACTAGGGTTAGCAATGGCTGCTTACAAGCTCTCGCCTCTTTCTTCACAGACTTTACTGAAGAATTTAATAACAATAACCAAACTAAAAGCATTCTCCTCCAAGACAAATGCGTGTATAGATGCTAAGCCTTGTGCGCAGTTGTCCACATGGCGTCAAAACAAACCTTGAAAAACCTTTGCATTCCAGATACAGCTCACACCCACAGGGTCTACTTCAGTCTAAAGTGTTACTCTAATTTCTCCATAGCTGCTGTTTGCAAGCTTGTGGTTGGCTGTTGGGGATCATCCTCGTGGAAAGAGGCACACATGATTCTAAATGTTTTTATTTTTAAAACGGTTTAAAGGTATTTCTGCACCATTTCAGCGCAGACAATATTCAGCCAGGTGGACTCAGTATAAATCAGCTTCCTAGTTGGATTGCCTTAAATTGATACACCCTCTTGTGTGAGGCTCCACATTTGGCGAACGAATTTGCTATGGATTGCGGTGGGACCCAACGCACTGTATTTACTCCGAGGGAAATGTTCGCACGGAATCAGCCTGTGTGCATCTTTGCTTACTTGCAAGCCCTCGTTTGGCCACATGGGGGCGCTTTAAACTCACCCGCGCAGGAAGCATCCTGAGCTCACACTCGGCTCATGCTCAGACTCACCCAGCCACAAAAAAGGCCCTTTTGTCGTTTGCAGGGAGAGCTGGCTGCCCGCTCCCCAGGTCTGTCTTGAAAAGCAAGCCAATTCATCTTTCCAAACAAACCAGAGCAGACAGCTCTCAGCCTGACCTACCTCACAGGGTTGTTGTGGGGACTGAATTGGGAGCAGGGGTTGCCATGAGCTCCTTGGAGGAAAAGGTGGGATATAAATGCATTATATAATAAACAGGGAGATCCTGGGAGGGTGTCAGGGATGGACTGCAGGCAGCTGTGTGGAGTGGGGAGGGCAATAGCTCAACAGCAGAACATCTGCCTTGCATGCTGGAGGTCCCCAGTTCCATTCCTGACATCCATGGATAGGGCAGGGCGGGATCCTATTTGTAAATCCTGAAAAGCTGCTGCCAGTCCGTGTTAACAACACTGAACTTGATGGGCCAATGGTCACCAGTTATCTAGCTCAGTAGAAAGCAGCCTCCTATGTCAGGCCAGGAGGTGCCAATTGGGTCAGAATTTGCAAAAACTGATTTTTTTAAGCTCTTTCAAACGGCACTATTTTCAAATGGCTTTCGTGGTGATTTTGACGCCTCCTAAGTCAGCCGGGGGTTCCTGGGTGTCATATAAATACCACGGGCAAACCATCAGCCAGCAGTGTGATGCAGCAGCAGACACGCCAATGCCGTTCTAGGGTGCATCCACAGAATTAGTTTCCTGCGGTAATAGTACTTCTCTCTTCTGCCTTGGTCAGACCACACCTGGAATACCGTGTCCAGTTCTGGGGGCCACAGTTTAAGGTGCATATTGACAAACTGGAACAAGGTGACCAGGATGGTCAAGGGTGTGGAAAGCAAGCCTTATGAGGAATGGTTGAAGGAGTTGGGTATGTTTAGCCCGGAAAAGAGGAGGCTGAGGGGAAATATGATAGCCATCTTCAGATATCGAAAGGGCTGTCACAAGCAAGCTTGTTTTCTCCTGCTCTGGAGGGCAGGACCTGAATCAATGGCTTCAAGTTAAAGAAAATTCCAACGAAACATCAGGAAAAACTTTCTGGCACTGAGAGCTGTTAGACTGTGGAACAGACTCCCACAAGAGGTGGCGGAATCTCCTTCCTTGGAGGTTTTTACGCAGAGGTTGGATGGTGTCTGTCAGGAATGCTTTAGTTGAGATTCCTGGATTGCAGGGGGTTGGACTAGATGGCCCTGGGGGTCCCCCTACAATTCTATGATTAATAAACAAACCTGGGTTCCCAGGTCTCTGTGGTTCAGATGCCATTTCCGCAGTGCCTGTCTGCTTCCATTGCTTGTGGTGCAGGGGTTTTTCATGCCAAAGGACGTTCCAAGCCAAGGTCACCCAAGCCTCCATCTGCAAGCCAGAGGGGAGCTCTTGCTTCTCTGTGTAACCAGAAGAGACAGGGGCTGCCTTCAGGCTTCATTTATCTTGATTAGAGGACCATTTGGCGTTCATTTTTCAAACCTCTCGAATCGATTGCAGAACTGGTTGAGGGGACCGGCATCTCAGCTGCAGAGAAAGCTGTTGGCTGAGTGTAGGGCTTGGAGCAAATCAGTTCAGTTTTCCAGTGAATTGCTTCAAAAATAAGATTTAGGGTAACAGATTATGCTAGTAGGACTGCAAGAAGTTCTGGAAGGAGGACTATTTGAAAAACTGCAAGAAAGACTATGAGGAGAATTATTAGTTAATGATAATTAAGAGTAATAGAGAAATGCAAAATAAGTGATAAAGAACGGAAAATCATCAGAGGTGTTGACGGAAGTCTAAAATATTGTATAAGATAAGAAGTTATATGATTGTTGCAAATGATATGTTTAAAAAACTAATAAAAAATGTATATAAAAAAATATTTAGGGCAGAAAAATGAAAGGACTTCTTCAAGCAGTGCAAAGTTAAACTATGGAACTCACTCCTGCAAGAGGCAGCGATGGCTTTAAAAGAGGATAAGACAAATTCAGAGAAGGCTGTCAATGGCTCCCAGCCTCCACAATTGGAGGCAGCGATGCTTTTGAATTCTGAATATCCGTTGCTGGAAACCACAGGAGGGGAGAGTGTTGCTCTTTAGGACCTGCTTGTGGGTTTTTCACTGGGGCATCTGGGGTGATGGGTATCTCAGTTGTTAGAGCATGAGATTCTTAATCTCAGGATTGTGGGTTCGAGCAAAAGACCCCTGCATTGCAGGGGGTTGGACTAGATGACCCTGGGGGTCCCTTCCAGTTCTATGATTCTATGACTACATTGATTGATTCCATTTCCATGCTGCCTCAAGCGTCTTACAAGCAGTGAATAACAGTAGCATCATAAAACATACCAAAACAAAGCAATACAGCATAACTCGTATAAAATAATTAACAAATCATCAATAAAACTATCACAACCTATAAATCACTATTAACAAAACGACAAAAAATGAAGCTGAATGTCACAATTACAGCAAAAGTCATATTAACATTAACAAAATAGCAGCTTTTAAAAAAGCCCTGTTAAGGTCATGCGCACTGTCTCCATGCCCCCATGACTCATAATCTGATCAAGAGTCATGGGCCTAATAAGTCATTGGCCGTCTTTTCCTGCATTGTCTTCATGTCTCAGTGGCTTCTGAATCCCAGTTGCTTGAGGCCCCCAGAGGAGAGTGTTGCTCTGGGGCTTGGATCCTGCTTTTAGGGCTTCCCATTGGGGCATCTGGTTGGCTGGGCTAGAGGGGCCCCAGCCCTGATCCAGCAGCCAGGCTCTTCTGAACTACACCTGAATGTAGCTCCCAGGGCTGCCCAGTTAACTGAACATGAATTAAGTTGGTTTCAGTTTGAGCTTTGAACAATTCCAAGTTTGTCTTCAGGCTCACTCTCTTGAAGGTGTCTTCGGACCCTTGGAAAGGGTTTCCCAAACCCAGACGAGTCGGAGGTTTGTGGCAGTTCACGAGTGGCCATGTGCAAGAAGCGGCACTCTGCACATGCTCAGAGTGCATTGCTTTTAATTTGCCACACCTGCTCCAAGGGAGAGCCTGGGAAGAAAAGTTCTCCAGCCAGCCACAGGCAGGTCCACAGCAGTCCTGCTTCCGTCTCCTTGTATGTCAATCAATTTCTGATTCCTTGTGCTGAAAACTTGCCAGCTGCGTTTGGGGGCTGGTGGGATGAGCGATATGACAAGCTGGCGCATTGAGCTGCAGAATGAAAGAAGCTTTTTGCCGTGGTGCCCCCCCTTCCCTTTCTCTGTGCCAACTCCCCCCCCCCCATTTCTCCTGCCTGCCAGTGGTTCTAAAACACTAATTGGATGCTTAATGGTGGTAATTAATGGGGAAACTTCATTATGAGCTTGCATGACATCTAGCTTCAGGGTTTGGGGGGAGGGATGTGAGGTCAGAGGAGCGGAGGTTTGCAGGCAGGGAGACAGACAAGGAGAGAAACCGAAATTCAAATGACAAAGGGATTTGCAGACTTTGCTGTTATCTCTGATGAACAGGGAATGCAGGTGACTCTTCTCTTCCCTGCACTGGGGGTCTTCTGGCTTTTCATAAATGCCATTTGTTACATCTGGGCTGCAACACTCCGACTCCAGAGAGAGGGTCTCAGGGGCCTTGGAGGAGATAGCAGCTTACCCTCTCTGCTGTCAAAGAGAGAGAGAGAGAGAGATCCAGTGCTGTCTTGCTGCAGAGATCCCACCGCCCGGGCCCAAGTGAAGTTGGCAAACCCAGAAAAGGACCGAGAAGTGATAGGGATCAGGGATCAGAGCATCTGTTTTGTGTGCAGAAGGTCACAGGTTCAATCCCCAGCATGAGCCCTCTTCTGAAACCCTGGAGAGCTGCTGCCAGTCTGTGTAGACAGTACTGAGCTAGATGGAACAATATATCTGATGGGATATATGGCAACTTCCTATTTTTATTATTATTATTATTATTATTAATTTATTTATATCCCACTCATCGGGCTGGGTTTCCCCAGCCACTCTGGGTGACTTCCAACAAAACATTAAAATACAATAGTCTGTTAAACATTAAAAGCTTCCCTAAACAGGGCTGCCTTCAGATGTCTTCTAAAAGTCTGGTAGTTGTTGTGCTCTTTGACATCTGATGGGAGGGCGTTCCACAGGGCAGGCGCCACCACCAAGAAGGCCCTCTGCCTGGTTCCCTGTAGCTTTGCTTCTCGCAGTGAGGGAACCGCCAAAAGGCCCTTGGAGCTGGACCTCAGTGTCTGGGCAGAACGATGGGGCTGGAGACGCTCCTTCAGGTATTAAATGTTGGCACCTGTCTGTCTTGAGAGAAAATGGAGTGCACCTCTGGGGTGAAGTCAAAGTGCTGTGTTTGCAGCACCAAAGTGACCTCTCCAGGGTGCAAGCCTGGGCAGCGTGTCTGGAGGTCCTGGGCTGCCCAGAGGACAAGACCCCCTTCTCTACCTCACTGAGGTGGTCCAAGCTTGGCTGCAGGAGTTGCTGGAAGGAGGTGTGCAATAAATAATAATAATAATAATAATAATAATAATTTATTTATATCCTGCCCTCCCCAGCCGAAGCCGGGCTCAGGGCGGCTAACAACAATAAAATAGTACAACATTCTAAAATCATTTCATTATAAAATTAATTCAACTCAAATTGATGGCAACCATTAGGCTAAAGTTCTGTGAAGATTGCCAAAGGAGGGAGTCAGGCTGTGCCCTGACCAAAGGCCTGGTGGAACAGCTCTGTCTTGCAGGCCCTGCGGAAAGATGTCAAGTTCTGCAGGGCCCTAGTCTCTTGTGATAGAGCGTTCCACCAGATCGGGGCCACGGCTGAAAAAGCCCTGGCTCTGGTCGAGGCCAGCCTAACCTCCCTGTGGCCTGGGACCTTCAGGATGTTTTTATTTGCAGACCGTAAGTTCCTCTGTGGGAAAGGCGGTCCCATAGGTACGAGGGTCCTAGGCCGTATAGTGCTTTAAAGGTTAAAACCAGCACCTTAAACCTGATCCTGTACTCCACTGGGAGCCATTGCAGCTGGTATAGCACCGGGTGAATGTGATCTCGCGGTGAGGACCCCGTACGGAGTCTCGCCGCGGCATTCTGCACCCGCTGGAGTTTCTGGGTCAGTCTCAAGGGCAGCCCCACGTAGAGCGAGTTACAATAATCCAGTCTGGAGGTGACCGTCGCGTGGATCACAGTGGCTAGGTCAGGGCGAGAGAGGTAAGGAGCCAACTGCTTAGCTTGGCGGAGATGGAAAAATGCCGCCTTTGTTGTAGCTGCAATCTGCGCCTCCATGGAAAGGGAGGTGTTGAAGATTACACCCAAACTCTTAACGGACGGTGCTGGCACTAATTGCGCCCCCACAAGAGATGGGAGTTGCCCCCCCAATCCCCTATCGTCCTGACCCAGCCAGAGGACCCCTGTCTTCGAAGGATTTAGCTTCAACCGGCTCCCACGTAACCATCCAAGTCACCACCCAAGTGCCTCAAAGACTTGTGGGTTTGTGTAGGCCTTTCCTTGTCCTGCAAGGTAGTGGTTGAGGACCAGAGTTTTCCTCCTGGCTGATGGGTTCCCTTCCCAGGTGGATGAGCCCCACCTGCCCCTCATTTCCCTCTACAGCACATGCAGAAACCACCTTCTTGACTGTTGGGTCCCCTCTTGGTCTCCCTTTAAATAGGTTGCTTAATTCAGATCTATAAGGTCTAGAATCTTACTTTATTTTTAAGGAAGCAGCCAGACCTCCAGGGCTGACCTGAAGTCTCTAGGTTTGCCTGGCTCCCCCCAGGTGATGGTGGAATTGAATCTCCAGGTGGGTGAGAGAGTGCCTTCAAAAAAAGTTTATTATTCATCTTTGCAGGATCCAGCTGCAAATTATTTGACTGACTCTCAGGAGCCCTCCTCCCCTCTGGCCTTCAGTGGCAGAGGAAGGGGTGTGTGGTAGGGGGCTGGCCGCCCCGGGTGTCACCACTGGGGGGTGACAAAATGCCAGGCGGCACTCACCGTGGGGCCTGCAGGGCACCCGAGCCACATGTCTCTCCTGGGAGAGAGGCAGTGGCTGAGGTGCGCACAGGCTCCGAGCTGTCCAAACGGTCCCCCTGCTGCCTCCCCCTCAGCTGTAGGGCGGCTGAGGAGGAGGAGAAGGCAGGCAGACTCCTCGAAGGCCCCATGGAGTGTCCTGCCCCGGCTGGCCCTGCCCCACGGGTGGCTGGCCCTGCCCCACGGCCAGCAGGCCCCGCCCGCCGCCCCAGGCACCCAATCGGCTTTCTCTGCCGCTGCTTTCCTCCTCCCAATTAACCTCCATCTCTCGGGCTTTGTGGCAGGAGGGAGTGCAGAGGAAGAAAAAGATTTGGGCTGGGCTCAAGAGGAGGAGAGGGTTGCAAGTGCCCATCTCTGGTGGAGCACCCCTCAGTCACATCACCAGGGGCCACACCTTGGTCTCAGGTTTGGGCCCTAAAACTTCAAAGTCTGGGGTGCTCCTGACGTGGCAGCCCTAGAGCTTGAGAACATGTTATCCAAGCAGAAGATCCCACGTTCAATCCCCGGCAGCATCTCCTGTTGGAGCTGGCAGAGAGAACGGCCTGAAATCCCAGATACCTGCTGCCAGTCAGTGTGGGCAATACTAAGCCCGATGGCCCAATGGCCTGGCTTGGCGCAAGGGAGCTCCTGGTTTGGGAGGGCGCTCAGCTGTCAGAGCCGAATGAGGCCCAACTAAGCCTGGAAGTGGAATGGTAGGTGGTTTTTTGCTTTAAGAAAGCACCTTGCAGAACAAAGGCAAGTATGCAAAAGCATACGATGGTGAAGTTCTGCCCCGCTGGGCTCAAGGCGTTTCGAGGGCAGCACAATCCGCAGCTCCATCAGGCTCTGCCTCAACTGCTATTCCATCAGGCTGCGCAGTGGGAGAAATGAGAAGGAGGCGGCTCATGCCACCAGATCTGCCAACAGACCAGCTCCATCAGGCACCTCCTGACCCCAAACTGTTTCTAAAACAGCTGGTCGTTGTTAGAACTATTTAGGAATTGAGGTCTGAATTTGCTTTTTTCCTCTTCCCTCCCCGTCTCCTTTTCCTTGAGTCTCTCTCTCTCTCTCTCTTAGATTGTAAGCCTGAAAGTAGGGATACAATTGACGTAAGCTGCTGAAGAGGAAAGTGCAAATGCTCTAAATAAAACGAAATAAAACGAGGCATCTCTCTCCAAAGAATACTCCCCATAGATATGCATGGTCTGAGGATTTCCAGCTCCCAAACTTCCAGAACT